ACGATCAAGATATGGGATGCAACGACAGGCGAGCTAGAGAAGACGCTGACGGGTCACTCAAATTGGGTCAGGGCGGTGGCATTCTCACCCGATGGTCAACGGATTGTGTCAGGATCTGGGGACAAGACGATCAAGATATGGGATGCAACGACACGCCAGCTGGATACATTCGAGTCAAAATCCCCGGCGACCAAGGTGTCCGATCAACCACGGTCACGGATGCGATGGACAAAACGTATCAGTCTCCTATCGCACCGTCGCAGCAACAAGCTGCCTGACCTAGTTAACATCTCAAGGTCACGTTCTCACGATCCAGAAATCCGAGAAATCCAGACACCCAGACCAGTCACCCAGCTGAAGTATTCTTCGGATGGCACACGTCTTATCACAAACTGTGGTGTATGGGAGCTTGGAACTGTTACGACTAACTCAGCTATGCGTATAGATGATTCGCCAGAAGCCTTACATGTCGATGACCAGTGGATTCTCTGTGATAATCAGCCTATCCTCCGCCTACCCGCCGGGTTCGATGTCACTTACTTTGATGTGAAGGGAGACCAGCTGGCTATGGGACTAGTCAACGGCCGAGTCCTAGCCTTTAGGATCGATCGCAGATGCGTGAATGCGAGCTACAGCCTTGATCGAAGAGGCTCTCAGTGAATGCTTAAATATCCTCTCATATACTCCGTACTCGAAGAGCACTGGGGGGACTTTAACATTCCTTGCGAATAGATTTACTGCCGTCGATAGACATACAGTATGCCTGATCAATACACCAAGAAGTTACCTGTAAAGTATCGTACTAGAAATACGACGTACAGGCGAGATAATTCTTTCGTGTAGTGGAATAATACGGTATAGTGGTCATCGTCAAAAGTTATGACAAGACTGTATTTCTGGCTGCGTTTTGACTGGAAATGTCGAGCTGAGAAAGAAACATGATTAGTGGAATGGCAAAGCATAGGCCGTTCAACCTGCCGAATGGCATGTTTCTACTGGTGGCCCCACAATTCGAGAGACAAAACATTTTTGTGGTTTAGGTGGAAACCCGTTTTGCAAGTCTCTGTAATATATTTTATTAATAGTTTTCGTTCTAAATATAGACACTCTTACTCTAGTATACGTATCGAAATATCTTCTTCCGTATATTAGTAACCCTAATCGAACACGTGACTTTTCGAAGGAACGATTCGTGATATCGACGTTTATAGGTCTCTAAGGGATAAGTTCTTTATAAGGGTACTAGGTAAGGAGATTCCCTTATAGGAGATTATCTTCCGGAAAGTCTATCTAGGCTACTTATTCTAGAGAACTACGGGAATTAATTTTACGAAGAAAACGATAGACCTATTACGAGCGTATAGAGATCGAATAGGACTCTTAGTTAGTCTAGCTAACCTATAGAGCGTAGTACGCGTCTAATATAAGATTAATAAGGCCGGGGACTTACTCTAGCGCTTTCTCTATTAGAAGGTTATAACGGGGTCTTAATTAGACTAGATATCGAAGTGATAGTAACGATACTCTATCTATAATATAGCCCTAATAGTTACGTATATTTAGATCGAATATTTAGTCTCGACCGTAGTATAATATACGTTTAAGTAAGTTTAGTTATACCTCTCTAGGACCGAGGCCTCCCGGATAAGAACTATTAGCGAGATAATAGCCTTTCTTACGCTAACGTTAGGGCTATAGGGTAGGGTGCTTAAGAAGAGATAGTAGCTACTATACTAGTACGCGGTTTAGTATATATAGAAAGTATATTCATTATACTCCTTTAATAAGCCCTATATATACTAGAACTCCTCTACGGCTAGAGGGTATTTTATTAAGTTAGTCCGACGAAGAATTCTTATCGATAGGGTTCTCTATCTAGATAGGAGGTATTTAAGCCGCGAGTATAGTACTAACTACTTCGCCTCTTTATAGGGAGAAGATCCGATTAAGCTAAAGATCCTCGAGGACTCTAAGTACCTAGTAGCGCTTAGGACTAACGAGGATCTAGCTACTATATTCGCTAATAACGTGTTTAAATAGTTACCTATAGTACTAGAGTTAGTCTAAGTTAAATAGTTATACTCTTAGGGGGATCGCCTTAGGATTTCGGCATATATCTATAATAATACCACCGAGAGAGCGATAAATAGATTTAATCCCTATTTTAAGGTGCTTAGTAGGCTATTATCTCTTCTACTATGTATCAACTAATTACCTGTAGATAAGTGGGTATATAGAAAATAAAAACAAGTATTTACCTTTAATACGACAGCCTCCATCAGCTGCCGCTGTTCAATCAAACACGGCGGCACAATACAATGTAGAGTTGATTATACTGGTCTGATATGTATTGCATCCAGCGCCGATGTTGGTGCATTATACGTACGCATATAACCGTCTATCCCAGCGAGGTCTCACAGACAAAAGGTGCTACTGTATGTGAAGGTTGCACACTCGCCTCTCAGCTGAAATCATCGTCGGGACGTCCAACTTCAATGGCCATGATCCTTGACACGAGTTCCTTGGTCTCCCGAGCAATCTGGAATGCCATCGGCGGCAACTTCTGCGTGAACTCCTTGCTCTCTGGCTGATTGTCGTACGCGGCCGATTCTGAGTAGGCCTTCAGCAACTGTTCTCGACACCCTTGCAACATCGTTGCGCTTGTATGAGACTTGTCGCTCAACGTTGACTGATACGAGTATGGCTCATTCGCCGTTCGCTCCACCGCACCCACAATATTCTCGATCGTCCTAGCAATAGTGGTAATGTGGTTACGAATTGCTGGCATGGCTTCATCATTGCGGATGGCATCCACCATAGCGGTAATGGATTCGACCAAACCATCAGTCTGATCTTCGAGGTACATCTAGTAAAAGAATTAGTCTCAAGTCACTGTTCAGGATTGTCCAGCACAACTAACCTTGAGATCCTCGAGATCGGCTGCCTCTGGGCTCGTCGCATAACCGGCCTTGATTCCAAGCCCGGTACCATTCATGTAGTTTGACCCTCCTCGTTGATGGGAGTTCGAGACCGCCTGGTTCGGACCATTTCGCACATCGGACGGAGTGCTCAAGGCACTGTATACACTTTCAATAGCACTCCTCCGTCTTAAACTCTCGGCAATGTTGAAATATCCGTTACTTTGCAGAGGCTCCAGGGTGCTATCGTCCTCATCTTCTAGCTCCCCATCAGGGCTGGGACGGATCTTGACCGTGTGCAGGAGATCGACAACAGCCGCCGTGAGGTGCGACGCAGCGGCATCCACAAGACTGACAGGGTAGAGTCCATTGGCCGACGCAAAGTTCTTGGACGCCGTGATAAGATTGTTCGCTGTAGCTGACACTTTGCTCTTCAGCTTGGTCCGTTTCTTGGATAGTTCATCATCCTTGTCTGGCGATGCTCCTGCATCGATATCGGACGTAATGCCGCGTACAGCCAATACCACCGTCTTCATGTGGTCGAGGACAGCTTGAGGAGTGTCAGATCGGGCAATGCGGAGCAATTCATCAATTGAGATTTGAAACTTGGTGACATGAATGTCCTTTACCAGTCCATCACGATCCTGAAGCACACCTGCATTTCGACTAGCATCCAGCCGCGGGATATTTAGTCCTAAGGAACTCGTGCGAACGCTGCGGAGCTGTGTTTTGGCCTTGACGTATCGGGCTTTCCATTCTTTCACCTCTTCTTGAAGTTTGTGGATCTCTGTCTGCAATTGATCTTCTCGTTCAAAGTTGCTTCCTCCGGATTCTGCCATGGCCCTCATTTCCTCGAGATAAAGCTGGCCTTGCCGTCCGACTTCCTCAGTCAGTTCCCTCTGTTGCGCCAACTGCTCTTGCAAAATCCCGTGGTTATGATCGAGCTGCAAGTACTTGGTTTTCCACAGGACATTTTCTCCGCTGGAATGGGGTTCCTCGGTCTTCAATTTCTCGATTTCCTCCTTCAAAGATTTGTTGAGGGTTTCAGCCTGTTCGACCTTCTCCTCAAGACTCCGCTTTATGGACGCCCACTCATCACTTTGGTTGACCAATTCCTGGAGTTGGTCATCCTTTGACTCCAGCTTGGCTTCCAGCTCCGCCACCTTATCTTGCAATTCGGTCACTGCGGGCGGATTAGGCTTTGGGTTGGAAGGCAGGCTCGCTCCACTCTGAGAAGTGACCGAAGTATCCCGGTCGCTCCTGGGGCTCGTGAGAGAGCTTTCCAGACCAAAGGCGTCACTAGAACGGTCATATCTCGAATCTGTGGCCTGTGTGTCATCCTCGTCTTCGACCATCACGCTCTTATTGGGAGTAATGGTATTGCTTTGGAATTGCTTGGCCATCGGTCGACCATAGTCACTCGACGGCGGTGGGTTGTCAAACTGGGGAACATTTGTCACGGAATTCTGCCTCTGCTGATAACCTAGCGGGCCGGACATGCCAAAGGATTGGGACCTTGGTGGCCCTGAGAAGCTGTTAGGTCCGTCTCGCGAACCACTGGGGGTTGGCCCTTTTGATTGAGACCGAGAACTGTCCCGTCTAGCGCCGTCAGGTCTTGCGAAATGGGGAAATCTTCGTTCCTGCTCGCAGAAGACATCCGTCGACAGATCCCTGAATCTTGGGGCTTGGAGAGTGGACAATTTCTGTCTGGCTTGATTGCGCTTTTCATGGAAATCAGGTCGTGGCTGTAGAAAGGGTGGGACGTTCTGTTGCCGCGGCGGGCGGCCCGGGAGAGGAGCTGATGCTTGTCTCCTTTGTAGCTCGTCAAAAACATCCGTACTCAACTCGTGAAATTGAACAGGCGACAGGCGTAATAGTTTATCCCGCGCCTTGTTGGGGCGCGGAGGCGCCTGCGCAGCTCCTTTCAGATACCCCTTTAGGACAGTGTAGTGCTGAAACAGCTCCGCCTCCATTCTTTTGTACTTTCTACTATGCTCGTCCGCAATTGTGCCGTCGCTTGATCGAGAGTTCGCAATGGATCCGGTGCGTGATGAACCTCGAGAAGCGGTATCTGATGGGCGCGGTTGTCCCATGGGTTCGAACGAGCCGGGCCCATAGTTCATGTTCCCAGCGGGTGGAGGACGGAATGGCAGTTGTCTGGACTGGGGGTATTCATCCCCAGCAGGGTTATATGCGGCGTATGGCCCATCATTCCGTGGCAGTTGGTTGTAGGTGTTGACGCCAGACCATTCGCTGCCTGCGGTCGAAACGGGAGACATCTGCGAGCCTCGACTGGGAGGGGATATGGTGGCTTGCATCTCGGGACGCGCGCCTTCACGGCATGCAAGATGGGTAGAGGGCACAGGGTCGAAAGAAGATCGTTGAAAGAAGGGACAGGCTGGTGAAGGTCGCTAGAGCGTTATCTTCGGCGGTCGTAAAGCTGAAGCAGCAAATGTCGGAGGTCCCGCAACGGGTCAAGGAGTGGAAGACTCGACTGGTCAATGCGCAGGCGCGACTGGAATCAGGAACAAAGAGAGCGTACAAGACGGAAAGAAAGGGATGATCGATCCGGACTGCCCAGCAGACGGCGAGAACTGAACGTGGTTGTCTGGTTGTGGGAGAGCACTGGAGATGGAGGAGATGAAGGACGTTCTGCTGGTTCTCTTGGATGGCGGTTGCTTCTAACACCCATTATTTTATTCGCTAGTGGCAGGGGAAGGAATGAATGCGGTTCAACTTCCCAGTGCCTGATCTGATACAACATACAATACAATACTGCTTACGGAGTGCACTGTGGTAACGACCCTGGTACTCCGTACTTCCAGATATTCTGTCCGCTGACTGCACTACAACGCCAGCTTCTTCCTGTTTTCACCCTCGTTCACCACTTCATCTGCCCTACGGGACCAGAGGCGCCAGAGGTCTGGTGATATTCGTCTCAGAACCCCAGCGATGCAGCCATCCATCCTGCAGTTGCTCCGGGCGCTACATTCTGCTCCGTACTGTACATAACATCCCTCTGAATCCAGGCCTTACACATGAACTTTTCCGCTGCCCCTTACTAACCGTGAGGAACTTAGCCTGGCCACTTAGCTTCTTACTAGCCTCTCGATCCGCCATCCTTTCTTCACCGACGCGCTCCGCGCCTTTTTCAAACCCCGCCCCTGGTGGCCCTGTCTTCAGGGGTGACAAATGCAGTCTCGCCCACAAGCCCGGAGATACTGGTGCTATGGCAGAAGACTCAGGGTGGGTGTCACAATACGGAGTAGACGGCGGGTTACAAGGTAGCAAACAATGAATAGGATATATACTCTAGGGCCTTGCAAGAGATCTAGATACCCAGCAGAGCTGGGGATTTCCTTAATGCTATGCAAGACTGCAAGTAGTATTTGGATAAACCGGCATTAATTCTGGCACCCATCACGAAGCCACGAACGTCCAGTACGACAGTCGATCAGAATCTAATTGACCCGAGTTCTGTTCCAACAGTCGGGAACAATGAGAAGAAGATTCGGTTGAAGTCAGTTGTACAATGATAATAGTTATGGTCCCTGTTGCTCGTATGTTATATCTGCGCTGATCAACTCGACGAACTGCTGGCTTGAAGGTTGCTCCCCGTGGTCGATTCTTCCTCCAACAACCGTCCTCCAGCGATGATTCCTCTTCCCTGAGCACCTCACACAACAGCTGTACAGTCGCCTGCGTCGCTATAACTGAGCATCGTTTCGATCTCAAAATGCTCTTGAGCAAACACCACATTATGCAAATTAGCACCTGGCCATTGGGCAACCATCTTCAAACGCCGTTCGCTCAGATCCCATATATACGATGCTGTTCATGTGTACATCAACATAACGGACTGCGGTTGTCCGTCTGTCATCTCCCGTTCGTCATTTTGAGCGAAGGTGGAATGCCAGGCCCGCTTTGCGCTCGAAGGAAGGGCTCCATCGCTGCAGATACCGGTGTTGATGTTCTAGTAGGAGCAGCGCTGCGGTTATGTGCCATATGTGCCCGGACGAGATGGCCCGCAGCGAGTGCACTACACAGACTGAGCTCCCCTGCAAGAACGCCGGCACCAATGATCCTGGCCAGTTGGCGGGCGTTGTCGCCTGGGTTGGTCGGGTGCGCTCCTCGAACTCCAAGCATCTCGAGCATCGCCGATTGTGCTTCAAGGATCGTTCCTCCGCCGATGGTACCGACCTCAAGGGAGGGCATAGAGACACTGATTTGAAGATTCCCATTGTTGCTAATGTGGGTTAGTATTCTGACTTGGTGTCGTTGCAGCAGGAAAAGACTTACTTCTTCATAACTGTGATGCAATTGCCACTCTCCACAACTTGAGCGGGATCCTGGCCCGTGGCCAAGAACATGGCTGCGACAATATTAGAGGCATGAGCATTGAACCCCCCGATGCTGCCCGCCATTGCACTGCCGATCAGGTTCTTAGCGATGTTGAGCTCCACCAGAGCATCCACATTGCTTTTGAGGACGCTGCGAACCACGTCGCCGGGAATGATGGCCTCAGCGACGACGGCCTTGCCTCGACCGTCAATCCAGTTGATAGCTGCCGGTTTCTTGTCAGTGCAGTAGTTGCCCGATACTGTTATCGTCGACATATCATCAAAGCCGCATTCATTTGACATCACGGAAAGCGCCTTTTCAACTCCCTTCGATATCATATTCATACCCATAGCATCGCCTGTTGTTGTTTTGAACCGAATATAGAGGTAGGTCCCTGCTAAAGCCGTTTTCAGCGACTGTAGTCGTGCAAAGCGACTGGTCGAGTTGAATGCCTCGCGCATTCGCCGTCCGCCTTCTTCCGAATCCAGCCATACCTTAGCTTCTGCAGCTCGGGCAAGGGTTGGAAAGCCGACACAGGGGCCTCGTGTCATGCCATCACCGGTGACAATCGTGACCGCGCCACCACCGGCGTTTATGGCTTTGCAACCCCGACTTACGCTGGCCACCAGGACACCTTCAGTAGTTGCCATTGGCAGGAAGTAGCTCTGGCCATCAATTGTCAAAGGGCCCGCAACACCTAACGGTAGAGGCAGATAGCCGATCACATTCTCACAACATGCACCGTGGACAAGTTCGTAGTTGTAGTCCTTGTAGGGGGTTTTCGATGATTCCAAAACAGCAGCATAGCGTTTGGTAGCTGGTGTCCTCGAGACCACAGCTCTCCGAACCTTGATAGCGCGGACGAAGGATTCCAACCGTGTCATGGCTTCAGGATGCTCCAAGGTCTTCTCAATTGCATAGCCTGGAATTTTGCCCCTTAGCGATAGATCAATCAATTCTTCGTCTGTGAGAAAGGCCGCCCGTTTCTCTTTGAGCATTTGCTCAATCTCGGCTTGAGATCTGTTTGAAGTGTTTGCAATATCAAGCCTGACTGGCTTGGGTTTTGGCGTCTGGGGCAGTTCTAGTTGTGGTGGATTCGTCGCAGATGGCGAGCTCGTTGGCGATTGTGGCTCTTTTAAGCTCCACCGTGCTGCGTTGAATAGATATCCGTTCAGGATCAAACTCAGTGTCAAAGCTATAAGCACCCATTTGCTGAGGGCCGGGTCTTCGAGGCTCTTCAGGACACCTTCAATAACGCGGCCACCTACCACATTGAGGAATTGATCTGTATACTCGTAGTCAAAGAAGCCTAGGTCCTCTTGCGTGCCAGGCCGATGTAGAGACGGATGGTCCAGTTCATATTTAACAGGCGGTAAGACTGTGACGAAGGTTTCAATCTTCTTGCTCTTCGCGGCAACATATATGGCGTCCAAACCGTTCTCCGCGACTTTGAAGGGATCAATAGGCGCTGGAGTCAACACACTTGGTATAGTTGCACCGGGAGCCTTGATACTGCTGGCAGTGCGGAAGGGAATCTCACAAAGGTTGACGAGATTGATGATGATGAACCCGGTCACCATCCAAATCTTGAACTTCGGTACACTGCTAGCCTTGATCTTTTGACCAAAGATGTTAAAACCTGCTCCCTGTTCGGACTGCCCACTGGGCCAGTCGTTATTTGTGGCGACATTCTCGGCCACACGCTGGTTGATGCCGTCTTCCTCAAGAGCCTTACGAAGGGCGACGTGTCGCTTGATGCGGTTGATTTCAAGCTTGATGCACAAGATTGTAGTGTAGAAAGTAAATAGTAGGAAGCAATCGTACGCCAGAATCCAGGCTGCAAGGAAACAGAATTGCCGAAGCCCGCCCTGGATCCCGGAGGCCGCACCAAGAATCAGAACAGCAATCTCGATGGCATAGTCCCGCACAATTTCGAAGCCTGTGTCTTTGACAGCCATCTGGATTGCTTCTTGAATAGAGTTCGGCATGACTGGAGCGACTGATGAGGCAGCATTTGCCGATCCAGTGACCGGTCGCCGCTTGGTGTCGTAGGAGGCAGAGAGCACAGCCTTTGTCAGAATGATTGACTTTTCAAATCCAATGGTGACAACGAGAAACGGCAGGCCTTCTGATAGCAATACCATGTTAACTGGAACTCCCAGCTTGGTGGTGGTGACTAATCCAAATAGGAACGCAAAAAGGCTGGAGAACAAAACGGAGATGGCCAGCCAAGCATTAGACCCAAGCCGCTTCATCGAAAGAAATAACGAGATGAAGGTTAGGTGCATCGACAAATAACCTAGAGACATGATGATGATGTCCAGCGTCTCGGCGTGCTTGATTAAGTCCACGAACGAGGTCCAGCCCTCACTGAGCCAGGCCCTGTATGACCCGCGAGAGCCATTGCCATTCAACCGGGCAGCCTTCATGACCCACACAGCATGACTATCATCGCTTGATGCGGTGTTTCGGGCTGGGAGCTCCTGCGCTGCTCTGAGAAAATCGCCGACCTCGGAGAAGGATGTATAAAAGGCAAGCGAGGTGTCGTGCGATATCGGCGAGAGAACATTGGATGTTGTCGGGATGTTGGTGGCTGTGATGTTGGCCGGTGTAGGTACGGCATGAGCTTCAGGCGCCAGCTGCAGTGATGAAGAGTCCGGGAAAACAAATGTGACGAGAGCATGATGATCGGCTCCCTATTGCAACGAGGTCAGTACTCAGGACATTTCATCTTCGCTTTCCATCCATTGACTGACCAGTAATACCTGTGGAACTCCAGAGTGAGGAAAGTCGTCTGCAAAATTCCACTTCCATGCAGTCTTCTCGGACAATTCTAGCGTGCGACTGCCTTTCAACAGTGCTTCCACATCGACTCCGCCATTGTACTGTATCGATTTCGCGCCAGTATCAAACAGGCTCTCTTGAAGTAGACCAACGTACGAGGTGCTGGCAAGCAAAGCAATGGCGACAATAGTGTGGATCGGGTGCTGACAGGCAGTATGCGAGAGTGCAAGTAGACCAGATGTGAGAGTACGGTTCAACCAGCTGTCGCTTTTGCCCAGTGAGCGGAGTCGTTTTGGGAGGAGGGAGGAGCCTCGCATGATGACGGGGAGAGAGGAGTCGGACGTGGAGGAAGCTGAGCAGCCAGGACAAAGGTGCCGGGCCTATCTTGCCATGCTCTCAGGGCTGGACGACTCCTGGCCACTTGTCAGTTGTATGCACAAAATAGATTCATTGGCCAGGTCATGAATTAAGTGGCGGTCAAGAGAGCAGCGTACCAATGCAGACACAGAGTCTGTTCTCTTCTCACAAGGAGAAGACACAACAGCGCCGTTCAATTGGGAAGAAATGCTGGATAGCACGAGGACGTTCAATCAGTAGGAACTTGACAGGAAGAATACAAGATCGGTAGGAACGGAGTGAGGGTGGATATTGAAAGAGCGAGAAGTTGACCCAGCCACTACTCTGGAGTGAGCGTAGACTATCGCAGGGAGCCTGAATAACGATTTGTTGGACGATGTCGGAGTGGCCTAGAGTCGTGGTGTCAGCCGGGCCCAGCATCAAAAATTTCCAAGCTCCCTGCAACGGGACTGTGACCTGGGACAGTTATCCGTATCTAGTAGCTTGCGGCCAATGATAATACTGGTAGGTGACTGGCGACGCCCATTCCTCCTCTCTGCCGCGCCACCTGCAGCTCCACGGCACCTGGGGAGATGACTTGTAGTAGGCTTAGGAGGCCCTAAGGCCATGCCATCCCAGCCTTTGAACGGCTGTCAAATCGTGGGCCCATTCGGCTTCTAGAGATCCCCCAAGCCTGGGCCAACACACTCGTCATTCCTCTGCCCGCTAATGCATATGTACCTGCATGAGTTCGTTAGTAATAGTACATACAGCCGTAGCATCCCTGCAACTGTGACGGCAAGGCCCGTAAGCCTTTGTGGGCGATCAAAAAGATGAGAGGGTCGTAGACATCTTGTCAAGCGGCCGCCCTCAAAACTACCCTTCTCTTAGGCGACTCGTCCTCAGGAGCACCGTAATACTATTCTGGTGATCTATTGGGCATACCCTAAGACTCTATGAAGGCTTCGTTTGGAGAACCAGGACACAGAGAACTGCAAGCATTACGAGGGTGAAACGCGGCTGTGATTGTGCGATCCTTCCAAGACTTGTGGTTGCGTTTGACTGCTATAACTTCCTGATCGCAAAGATGGCTGGTTTCGTCGAATCCAGGGAACGCGAGCATGATCGGTTCTATGCGGCGACAGTTGTCAAATATAGAGATCAACACCTGGCCACTGAACCGCTCGAGTACCACGAATGCGGCTTATTCACTTTTGGGATAAGAGTGCCTGACTCGTCACCGTTAGGCTGCAGTGAGATGGCACCACCATTGTCATCCGGCCCAGTGCCACAGTCCAAGACTCGCTGCCTTTGATCTTTCGCCCTCACTTCTAATGAGGAAGCCTTATTGGCTCGTGAAGAGATGTATTGACTCCAGATGATGACACCTCTGCCGAGACTGCGGCGACCTTCTTCCCCGACGACCCGACAGCAGAGATTGAACAGACGGTGTTGAGTCAGATCCAAGAGACATATGACCGGGTTGAGGCCTCCGAAGAACCCGCTCAGTCTCTTCAGCACGCATAGCAGACCGGGCTTTAGGCAGTGAGCGAGGAATGATGACTGGGGTTCATAATGACAGCGCGCACAGTTACACTAGAACAAGGAAGTCGTGTGTCTGTTCTTCTGCGCAACCTCCATATTCATTTCCGACCTTGCAGCACTTTTGCGCCATGTTTCCGGATAACATCTTCCATCTTTCTTCGGACCTGCTTGCAGCCGTCAACACCTGTGGCCATCATACTCTCTAGTTTGCTATTCGCTCCACCGATTTGACATCGTGACTCCATCGTCAACACAGAAACCTTGTCTTCAGAGCCCGGATGACCTGAAACAGTTGCAATCGACAAGAACGGTAACTCTTGCTCTTCCACATTGTTGAGATCTAGTATAGGCTCGGGTCTTGTCGAAGAGTCATCTGTCGGTGTGACACTCCCACTCGAAATGGCCGCAAGGATCGAAGGCATTGGAATGCCTGCATCTACGAGGGCAAGGCTGGCAGCATTGAGACATGCCACTAGCAATGCTCCGTCGAGACTCAGCACGTGGAGGGATATCGAGATCGTCGAACGTGGATAGAGGTGGGTGAAAAGATGGCTCTGAAAGGCACTCGAGACCGTGCTTTGGAGCTCCTGGATGCGCTTATCGTTCCTGACTCGTCTTCGACGGTCCATCTGCGCAAAGGATGCGACATTGATCTCGGTTTCGACCGTAGCATTTGTGTTGTCTCGTTGACCGCGCCTATTGCTTGGTTAGCAGGAGTAAATCTATGCGCTTGACAACGACTTCGGAAGTATAAGCCGTACCCTTCTCTTGGGCCAGTCACTGTGCATAGGACCATTGTGTTTCCCATCGTGAGAAGGCTACTGCCATCGCTGGAAGGTTGGGTTGAGATTGAAGCAGTGATTCTGCGTAATTCGTTCCATCGCCGGCCATCTTGTCGGAGCAGTGTTTGCGCATAGGTGGATATGGTGTCAAGAGGCATACTGAACAAGCGCGCCAAAGACGGACACCTCGAACCTTGGAATTAGCAAGGCATGGGGTGGGTTTAACCCACGATTTTAGTATATTGCGAGGCACCGCTAACTTGGGCCAAAGTGAGGCCCAATTTGTTCCCGTGCTCTGGTGGAAATTTCGTGTTCACGCAGCGCGCGACTGCGTCACTTCGCGACTTGTTGCCCCGCAATCTTTGTACATCTTCGCCATTATCTGTACTAATCACGGAGGACACCGTACCATGCAGCAAATTCAGACACCGTCTCGACTCTCAACACTGCAGACTGCAGACTGGGAGAGGGTGTCGCAAAGCCTGGCTGGAAGTTGCCTTCACGATGGTTTTCACCGACAGCGAAGACGATGACCTGGATGACTCCCAGGTAAAACAAGAACCTCGCAACGGGACCAAGGTAGTAACAGCGAACCAAGCAGACAGCCATGGGACAGATAGCCATGAAACAATATCGTCCACAGTAACCGAAGCAGAAGACTCCGGTGCATCGTTCGCTGCGAAAACAGCCAACTCCGAAAGGCGGCGCAGTCCCGCTGCAGCCATCCATGAGCCCGTCCGGTTGGATTCCGACGACGAACTGAATTATGCGTGGACCGATGATGAGAAATCTAAAAAGAGAGCGGCGGAGGCCAAGAAGCGAGCGATGAAGTCTGCCCGTAAGGCCAGGGCTATTGCTAAAGAGATGGATGCTCCTCCCCAAGTGCGGACAGGTGGTGCCACAACTGGAGTTGGACGGCAGGCACCGAGGAAACGGAGAAAACTCAAAGAATACGATGAATCTGATCCAGATGAAGATCTCATGGAATGGACTACACCGGACTACGTACAAAGCCGGAAAAAGACATTCGAAGAGCGTACCAGGAGGCTCAAGGCAGGTGGCCTGCAACTACCACCCAGCTACAACGAGGTCTTCTTTTCAGACGACGAAAACCCGCAAAATTTGAAAGAACGGCCGGACTTTCCCCAATCCTCTGCAATCAGGGAATACAAGGACGTCGAACTGCCATATTCTCTTGGTTTGATTCCGGCTCCCATCGCACAATTCCTGCGAGAATACCAAGTTACGGGCGTGGCCTTCCTACACGAACTTTTTGTGTATCAGAAGGGAGGGATCCTGAGTGATGACATGGGCTTGGGCAAAACCGTGCAGATAATCGCATTCCTCACTGCTGCATATGGCAAAACCGGCGACGAGCGCGACAACAAGAGGATGAGAAAAATGAGGCGTGCTGGGCAGGAGTATCCTCGGACTCTCATCATCTGTCCGGGCACGCTGATGAATAATTGGAAAGATGAATTCAAACGTTGGGGTTGGTGGCACGTTGATCTTTATCATGGCAATGCCTCGCACCGACACGAGGTCTTTTTGGAGGCTCAGGCGGGCATGCTTGAAGTCATGATCACCACATACCATACCTACCGTGCCAACCGAAGTGAGATCAACATGGTGCAATGGGATTGCGTTGTGGCAGACGAATGCCACCAAATCAAAGACCGAAGATCGGATACCGCAAAGGCGATGAATGAAGTTAACGCCCTCTGCCGTATCGGGTTGACAGGAACCGCGATTCAGAACAAGTACGAGGAGCTTTGGACGCTTCTCAACTGGACGAATCCTGGCCGGTTTGGTCCAGTTTCTACATGGAGGACTTCGATCTGCGAGCCACTTAAATTGGGCCAGAGCCACGACGCATCTAACTATCAGCTTGCAAGGGCCAGGAAAACGGCAAAGATGCTCGTGAATAACCTTCTACCGCAGTTCTTTCTGCGACGAACGAAAGCATTGATCAAGGATCAGCTCCCGAAGAAGACTGATCGTGTAATCTTTTGTCCGCTCACAGCGATGCAGGCAAGAGCGTATCAAAACTTCATTGAGAGTGACATCGTGGACCACATTAAGAACAGCGGGGAGCTGTGTGATTGCGGAAGTGGGAAGAAATCGGGCTGGTGTTGTCATATGGAATTGGCCGATGGAAGCAAGTGGCAAGGCTGGGTCTTCCCTGCAATCCATGTCCTCCAAAAGATATCAAACCATCTAGCCGTCTTAATTCCCCAAGGCGCGGATTCATCAGAGAAACAGGCAAAAGACCTGGACATACTCCAGATTACGATGCCCGAGCAGTGGCCTTCAATCTACCGGACACGAGACAGCATCATGCACACTGGAAATCCCGAATACTGCGGTAAATGGCGCGTGCTGAAGAAGCTCCTAAGCTTCTGGCACGACCAAGGCGACAACAAAGTCCTCATCTTCTCCCACAGCGTCAGACTTCTCCGAATGCTTCGGGACCTGTTCATCAGCACGGAGTTCAATGTCAAATATTTGGATGGAAACATGCAATACGACGACCGATATGCAGCCGTTCAAGAATTCAACACCGACCCTACCCAATTTGTCTTTCTCATCAGCACACGAGCTGGTGGGGTCGGACTGAACATCACGTCCGCCAACAAGGTTGTCGTTGTCGATCCGAACTGGAATCCGGCATATGACTTACAAGCACAAGACCGAGCCTACAGAATCGGACAAACCAGGGATGTGGAAGTCTTTCGTCTGGTCAGTCAAGGAACCCTGGAAGAGGTTGTCTATGCTCGTCAAATTTATAAACAACAACAAGCCAATATCGGGTACAATGCAACCTCTGAACGACGATATTTTCAGGGTGTCCAAGATCGCAAAGATCAGAAAGGAGAGATCTTCGGACTTCAAAATCTCTTTGCCTACCAGAACGAGAATCAGGTGCTGCGAGAAATTGTGAATAAGACCAATATCGCAGAGTCCAAAGCAGGCGTCCGCGTTGCGGACCTGGATCCTGAAGAGCATGACTCTGATTACAACGATGACTCGGACGCTATGAAGGAACAAGGTATCCTGCCTCGCCCCATCAAAGGCGAAGAGGACGCAGCCATATCTCAGCTCGCAGCAGAGATCCTTGGAGAACCTCAACCACGGTCCAAAACGCCTTTCGCGCCCGGGAAGATCGCAGTTGTCAGGAAGCATGATCCGATCCAGGCAATTCTTTCATCGGTTGGGGTCTCATATACCCACGAAAACAGCGAAGTGATTGGCTCCTCGAAGGTCGAAGCGCTATTGTCCAAACGCGCCGAAGAGGCTGCCAGTACCGACAGACACTGGGGCATGCAGGAGCAGCAGTCCAAAGTTTTCCAGGACGAATCGCAGACCGAGCCAACCAATGGCACTGTGTACATGAACGGACACGAGGTTGACCACGGCAACATCACACCCAATGGAGGTATCCGATATAAATATCGTCCTCCACAGGCCGTCATGAAGCGCCAATTCTGCAGCATGGCGCGCTGGGCTGGATATGGCAATGATGTGGTGTCGTTTGCACTGGTCGTGGAGAACTGGACTCAAGCTGAGCGCAGAAAATGTCTGGATCGATTCTACCGTTACCGTCGAGATGTCCTTGACAGCCTGCTGGACAGTCCGGACATCAAAAACAATGAAGCCAAGGCCGAAAGAGGTGTTGGAGTGAGATTTGAGATGACTAACGATCTTCAGGACAACCCATCCGTCCGGGTGAAATCAGAAATGAAGAAAGAAGTCAAAGCTGAGACCTGTGTAAAGCAAGAAATGAACGCTGAAACGCCTAGCATGGAGCTCAAGGCCGAGACTTTGGTCAAAGGAGAAGTTAATACGAAGGCCTCCATCAAGATCGAGTCGGATACCCTTGTGCTTGATAATGAAACAGACACCGAGGAGGAGGACGACGAGCTTTGACCGGGGCGGCCTAGGTTCATTTTGCTGCCCTAGTTTGATGACATACGACGATTTCATGACATAGATACCCCTGTATAATACGAAATGATGTACTGTAGGACTATAGGCAGAAAGCCTCAGAACGATATCCTCGACGGCCTTTCTAGAATATATATCCTATCTATCATTTTCCCGCCTTGTAACCCGCCATCTATTTTGACACCCACCCCTAGGCCTGCCTAGAATGAAAGGTTCGTTACTGTCTACTGAAAAGGTCCAGGGGCCATACTAACTATATAGTAGATCATCTGAAGAGGCTCGTTAAGAAGACTGGGGAATGCTTCTTAGGTTTTGACAAGGCCAAGCACGGAACAGGTACAGCATGAGGCTGTCTTCTGGGGCTTCCAGGGCGGGGCAATCTCATATGTCTCAGACTGATATACGGACCAGGTCATGCACTTCTCTTCATGGTCAGAGATGTCGTCTCTATTACCGGGCAGCCAAGCGATTGAGTTTGGAGCTGGGAGTATACTTGAAGTATTACGGGTGCGTTGTCTGTCCCAGATACTCGATTTGGTTAGTCCATTACCTCATGCCTCAGTCTCCGATGCTACAGCCTCGTGCAATTTACCGAGTAACATACTCCGTATACTGGAGAAAGACGCTGCAAATCCTTGGGACGGTGCATCACAAAACACTGCTCTCTAGCAATGCACTAGATTACCCTTCAGCTTGCCAGCATGGCCGAAGCTATCCCCATCGCCAGCGTCAAGAACGAGAACGAGTCCCCACTCGACGTGTTCGGTGAACAGCCAGGCCTCTACAACCTCTACACCCAAATATGCCTGTGCTTTCCCGTGCAGGATTCCTCGTCGCACTCGGACATTATCGCAACACTGACCAGTAGCCTGGTGCGACTGTCGGCCAGTTTCCCGTGGATAGCGGGCCAGGTGGTCAACGAAGGAGGGCCCACGGGCACCTACAAGATCGTTCCGTTCGAGCAGATTCCGCGCCTGGTCATCAAAGATCTCCAGGCTGACCCCGCAATCCCGTCCATGGACGCGATGAGGAGGGCCGGGTTCCCTATGAGCATGCTGGATGAGAACATCATTTGCCCGCGCAACACACTCGCCGCCATGACCGCCGCAGAGGGCGACCCGGCACCCGTGTTTCTCGTGCAGGCCAACTTCATCACCGGCGGGCTGCTGCTCACATTCACCGGCCAACACAATGTCATGGACATGACCGGGCAGGGCCAGATCATCCGTCTCCTCTCCAATGCCCGTCACAATGTCCCGTTCACAGGCGACGAGCTGGCCAACGGGAATCCAGACCGCCGCAGCATCATTCCTCCGCTCGACGACGCATTTGACCCGGTAACTGAGCTCGCCAGGATGCTTGTACACTCGCATCTTCCCAGGGATGAGGACTCATCCTCGCCAGCAACACCTCTACCCAGCCCTCCGCCTGCTCCTCCGAAAAGCTCGTGGGCGTACTTTATATTTTCACCTACTTCGCTAGCGGCCTTGAAGTCTCTCGCCACTGAGTCTATGGTCCCCCAGTTAGGCTACATCTCGACAGACGACGCGGTCAGTGCCTTCATCTGGCAGTCCATCACACGAGCCAGGCTGCCACGCTTAGATAGCCGACGAGCGACCACCTTTGCCCGAGCTATCGACCCACGGCGCTTTCTAGGTATACCAGACGGATACGTAGGCGTGGTGCAGAACATGACATACCACACCTATGTATTGCAGAAGCTGGTCCACGAACCGCTTGGTAGCGTAGCATCGAACTTGCGGGCGGCATTGAACCCTGCATCCTCACGAGTGGCCTACAACACCCGCGCGCTGGCAACCTTCTTACAGCGGTCTGCGGACAACCGGCGCATTGTCTCGGTCACGGCGACTCTCGATCTAAGCTCGGACATTATGCTCAGCTCATGGGCGAAAGAGAAGCTTTACCAGCCCGACTTCAACCTGGGCCTGGGCGGACCCGAGGTGGTGCGGAGACCAGCCTTTGCTCCGGTTGAGAGTCTGCTATATCTCATGCCTAAAGCTTTAGATGGCGAGATAGCCGCAGCTGTTTGTTTAAGGGACGAAGACATGGAGAGATTGAAGGCAGACGAACAGTTCACCAAGTACGCACAGTACATTGGATGAAGGCCAGCAGACCAGACGATGGGGAATGTGATCTCGATCCTCGTCGCCCCGATCGCTCAGCAAGACGAATATCAATGGCACCACTCGACAGGTATCTGCTGTGCTTGTTGTGGAGCCACATAGTGCTCAATGAATATCTACCATGTAGGTGCCATGACTTAATTTATCACTGAACACTGAACAGCCTGGTGCGACGAGCATCTCCAGGGACATTCTGACGTTCTGACATTCGGGTATTTGTGCTTCACCGTAGACATCGCCGACCTATCTCGCACGTGATCGTCTGCTTTCGCCAATCGTGCACGCATGTGACATGGCCACTGAGCCTGGTGTCCCTATCTACATATCTACACAACGTCAGTTCGATGGATCCGTAACCATCTGCGGGCTGTTCTCCCATCTCATATCATGGCCCGGTCAGAGGAACCCCTCCTTGCGAGATCGCCCTCGCCGAACTCCTCCACCAACGATATCGAGGAGGAAGACGCCCTCCTGACGGGCCAACCTACAAACCGATCACCCGCCTCTCGAGCGCGAAAATGGAGAGAAGCCGGCCTCTTCGTATGGGCACTCCTGGCCACCGTCGCGGTCATCATTCTAGCCGTTGTCTACCAGCACGAATCCTCCGTTGCCCGCTCAAGGCCGAAGACAGGAGGGTGGGGACCTGATGGAAAGCCCACGGGCAAACGCAACATGATTTTCATGGTTTCGGACGGCATGGGCCCAACATCTCTGTCCTTAACGAGGAGTTGGAGACAGCATACTAGCGGATTGCCTATTGATGATATCCTGGTACTGGATAGACACTTTATCGGATCCTCGAGGACCCGCAGCTCGAGTAGTCTCGTCACCGACTCGGCTGCCGGAGCCACGGCCTTTTCTTGCGGATTCAAGAGTTACAATGGTGCGATTTCAGTGTTGCCCGACCATACACCATGCGGAACGGTGTTGGAAGCGGCCAAAAGAGCAGGGTACATGACCGGCCTGGTTGTGACGACCCGGTTGACGGATGCTACTCCAGCGTGTTTTGCAGCCCATGCCAACCGAAGAGAATATGAGGACCTCATTGCTGAACAAATGATCGGCCGTTACCCTCTGGGCCGCGTTGTGGACTTGCTTATCGGTGGCGGGAGATGTCATTTTCTGCCGAACACGACCGAAGGGTCCTGCAGAGCAGATGCGACAGACGTGGTGTCCATCGCCAAAGAGGAATTCGGCTTTCAGTACATTGACAATCGACAAGATTTCGACCAGCTCGACAACGACGGTGCCATTGACTTACCTCTCCTGGCCCTCCTGGCCGAAACGGATATCCCTTACGAGATCGACAGAGTCCAAGTGTCAGACGTCTATCCTAGTGAAGCAGAGATGGCTAGACTTGCACTCAAAGCATTGTCCGCAGCGACCAAAGACTCAGACAAGGGATTCTTCCTCATGGTCGAAGGGTCCAGGATCGACCATGCCGGCCATGCCAACGACCCAGCCGCTCAAGTACGCGAAGTGGTAGCTCACGACGAAGCATTCGCCGCTGTGCTGAAGTTTCTCGAAGACGACCAAACCGAAGGTGTCCTTGTCTCCACGTCGGACCACGAGACCGGCGGCCTCGCCACTGCGCGACAGCTTCACGACACATACCCTCAGTACCGATGGTTTCCAGAAGTTCTGACGAACGCGAGCCACTCCACCGAGTTCCTGGCGCGAGAATGGGCCAAATACCTTGCATCCTCGTCTTCGCCGTCTCGAAAGGAGAAAGCCCAGAAGGTCGCCGATTTGCTATCATCCGGACTTGGCATCACAGACCATACCGACGAGGAAGTCGATGGGATCATCGACGCCACTCCAATCTGGCCTCCGGCATACCACTTCGCCGACATCATCTCGCGGCGTGCACAGGTCGGCTGGTCCACACACGGCCACAGCGCGGTCGACGTGAACATCTACGCCTCCCACCCCAAACACGCGCCGGGACTGGTGGGGAACCACGAGAACATCGAAGTCGGCCAGTTCATTGCGGAATACCTCGACCTCGACCTCGAGCCCATCACGAAGGAACTGCGGGAGAAGAAAGTCAACACGTCCTCCTCCGAGCACCAAGGCGAGGCTGGAATTCAAGACTGGGGCGCATGGATGGGTCCGCCCGGTCTTCCGGCCAACGACAACGGCGAGCTCGTCTCTCTCGACGAGTACCACGGCGACTTCAAGCATCGGAAACGCGAGGCCGAAGCCGGCTTGGACTGTGGTTGCGGCATGAAGCATTAAATGATCAAGTCGTGATGGTTCGCCCGTATTAGATCTTGGGATGGGATTTTCGTCGCGATCTGAAGCATCGCGCACACATACCTCACAGCGAAAGAGCGTCGAGGCACGGGGCACGGGGCACGGGCACAGGGCGTGAGATTCAACCCCAGAGAGTTGCAGCGTGTCGATGTCGAGCGTATTGTTACCCAAGTGACATGGACACGGTACCTACAAGTATTGTTGCTACTGCATGGAAATGGAAGCAAGCGAGTTGTGAGGCACTGAACTACCTTGATGTATCTAATTACAGTACGGATACGATCTCCTATAATTCACGCCAATGTATGTATGTACCTTATCGCTGGACGGAGTATACAGAGTGCAGAGTGCAACAAGTAGTATGTATAGATACCTATGTTAATCAGGTACCTAGAGGTATTCTACAGATCCGGATCCAGATCCAGATCCAGATCCAACATCAGCATCATGAAGCCCCTACTCCTGCTTGGGGCCAGTCGACCATCGATGCTCGTATTGCTTGGTACATTTGCTGGCTGGGCAGATGTTTGAAGCCTAAGCCTGTTGGGCGTTGAAGCTACTGCTTTGAAGGCTTCATGAAAAAAACAAGAAACACCGTTAGAGAAACCTATGCATTTTCGCAACTCACCGGAGCATTGACTTCCCCGGTAGATACATGCTCGCTCTCCCTATTTATATGGATGGTTCGGGACCGATGACTTGAAGCTTGAACACCTTTGTAGCAACAAGGCAACATGTGCTGCTACTTGTAAGACTTCCGTCTTGTCCTCATTACTTCATGTGAAAATAATTAGGTACTTTTCCCCCTTGCTTGCGGGTCACTCCATGTCGCCACTCTCCCTTCTCCACGTCTCACGTCGCACGCGTCCCTTGCTCCTTCACTGTTGGGAGCAGTTTATGCCTTGAACAAACGGCCAGGGGCGGCAGGTGGGGCGGCTGTCCCGCCGATATCCAAAAGCCAAGCGGCTGAGTTGAATTCACTGTAGAGCGTCTCCAGTTGGTAGCCGCTGGGACCGACCGTGTCGGGATCCGGACCGGACTTGACGGCATATAGGACCGAAATGCCCTTCACAGTGTCAACGTCGAGTCCGACGGTAGCTACCCAACGGAAAACAATAACGCCTTCACTGGTCACAGCGTCGATGTTGAGGATATCAACTCCAATGGGAGGCTGTGAACCTTGGCCGGCAATGTACGCTGCTGGAGATGGGAAGGTGACAGACCCCACAGGAATACCGGCCAGAAAGTTGATTGAGTCCGAGGTATCAGTAAAGCCAGGAGCAAGCAGGTTGGTTGCGACGTCGGCATCGAAGGCAGTCAGGGTGGAAACGAACGCGTCAACCAGCTTGACGGCAGTATCGTAGGGGATACAATCTCCCTCTCGTTTGTAGGATGGCAAGGCAGAGGCCATAGAGAGCAGACTTAGGGGGGCGAGCAAGTTGAGAAACTGCATTTTCGTTGACTTGACGAGGTGAAGACTGGGATTATGCGTGACGACCGTGATGCTCTGAGGCTGAAAGGTGTAGGTAGGTAGCGAGTGGCTGGAATGGAAAGAGACGGTAAGGCTGGGTAGGTGAGGCTTACAGTATGATCCTCTGGGCCGGCGAGAAAGTGGCAGCCGAAGGAGGTGAAGCCTGCTTTATAATGGACATGGAGGGTTCTGACTGCCAGTGGGATGTCGCTTGATCTGATTAAGCAAAGGAGCAACAGACAGCTCAGCTTACCTTGGTTTCTGTGCTTGCTTGGAGCTTGCGCTTTGCATGGCCCTAGAGAGCAGTAGGGCTGACATGGTATGTCCGGCGATGTTGCTTTCATCACCCCGCTGCAACCAAGTAATATGCAAAATGCCGGACTCGCTCTAACATCGGTCTGATGTGAGACCCAAATCGGAAGAAGACATAGATGGGTAGAGACGCGGTGGTAGTCATCCCAAGTACGTGAGTTGTGCTCGGACGTCTGTTGCTATCTTGAGACACGGGCGTCTTGAAATCGGACCATCCCCATCATGTCTTGCTCTAGATTGGTCAAGCAACCTGCGTAGCATTTGCCCTTGGGATGTAGCCTCGACAACATGAAAGCGAGAACGAGCGGGGAACAACGTGGCTACCCAGTAGGTTGCCGACCCTCGCGTATATTAGCAACTCATTGTTCAGCTCAGGTTTGGCTTGTCATTCTCATCGCTCCGATTGGGTAGACATGGGAGGTCAGCTGCGCCCCCGTTGTGTGTAGGCAGGGCTAAGGGCCATTATTGTCCTAATAAGGTCTTCCCACACCCCACGGTGTATGCCTACATGGCGGTAGTAGTAGTAGCTGGAGCAGACGCAGGAGCGGACGATGCCGATGTCGATGGATCGAGGCCAGATGGCGCGACAGAGGCGAGGACAAGTGGCGAATAGCGTAGGATGTTCCAGGAATTGTACGGAGTACTGTAGAAGAAGATGTTCTGCAGAGAGATCCAATGTGGGTGTGGGCGCAGGCAGGCACCAGCAGCCGCAGTCTGGCGTAACAAAGTAGGTACAGTAGTACTACCTGACTCATGGCCTCACCAAGTACAATTTACAATTTGATCCTGGAGCATGATATCTGAGCACATTGATTGGCTGAACCTGCCTCTTACTCTCAACCAGGCATCTATTTCAGATGGAGCCCTGCCCTTGCGCTGCCTCATACAGTATACCATGTGTAGCAGGGCATTCTTCTCTCCACTCCGCTGCTCCCGGACAGCAAGCAGCAGGCGGTGGAGGACCGAGGTAGGTACGCAGTGTGTTGAGGAGCTATTTGTAGATTCAATTGTCAAGCCCGTTGACGCCGTTCCCTCTGTCTACAGGATTCCTCGAGTTATCCCGGCGTCTGACCTACCTCTATCCGTATATGCTTGCCAACATAGCGAATCAGTTTGCTAACATGATGACAGCATCGCCGCGAAGCTACGCCACCGCCATAGCGGATACGAGTGTCACTCTCTCCCAACCTGACCAGGACGGATATCGTTGGAGTGGAGGCGGCTGACCTCCCTCCTGGCTGTATCCATTCGCACGATTCCTGTCCTTGTCCCTACCACCAGATCCGCCGTGTGGAGCTGTCTCTCGACTGGAGTTCAACTACGGCTGTTTCGACCGAGGTGGAATTTGGGGATCTGCGGTGGCTGGAGTTGGAAGGAAGATAAGATAGAAAGAGAGAGATAGAGAGAGGGAGAGAAGGATGGCGACAGTCCCAAATCACCATCTGCCCGCATACCAGCTTCCCAGTAAGCTAGGTCGGCGATCTGGTCGATTTCGTCGCGTGACGACGGAGGAATTTGTGCAACCAGAATCCAGGTCCTCCATGGTAATAGGATGTACTCGACCAGTCCGAAACTCCCAACCTAGGTCTGAGATTGTGCGTCTTCTTCTCGAGGCGTGACCAGTCGAACACTCTTACGGGAGCTGCTGAAACCTGTCTGTTGTGTCGGCCTGCTCCGGTTGCTTCCTCGCTCGGCGGGTATACTTCGCTCATCACCACTCTGTGTAGCCCGCTCGGCGCCTACGCTCTTGCGCAGTGCCACTCGCGCTTTGTCCACTGCTGGACTGGGCGTCGCGCGGAGAGGGTCTCGCTTGGTCGAGCCGTTCCCTGCATTGCCCCCACGAATGAGCCTGGCTTCCTCCTCTCGTTTCATTTGTTCCTGAATGCGATGTACCCGGGTCAAACCCGGCCCGCAGTCACACCCGCAGCCTTGAGCTGGACATGCTCCCTCACTGGAAGACTCGGCAAACCATTCCATCAAGCAACTCACATGTCCGGAATGTCCACATGCTTGACAGTACATCCACATGCTCCCATTTTTGCCCCAAGCTTGCAAGTCGGATGCACAACCAGAATCAGTCCTGATTGACTCGCAAATTGGACACACGGATCTGAGTCTTCGACAGGTGTCACAAACATTCATCCCAGGCATCATCAGTCTTTGGCAGTTTGCACAAGCTGCCAAGAGACTCATGGAATCTCCTGTGCTGAGGCTGCTGCTGTTCTGCCTGTTGCTGTCTGATGGAGTGTAAAGTCGGGGGTATTCCAGTTCCACACACATCTTCCGCAGGAGTGCTGCCGATTCAAAACATCCCAATTGCTTCAGAAAGAGAAGGTGATTCTCCAGAATGCTTTCGATAACGCGATGGCCGAGGTGCGGGATCATTAGTCTATCAGCAAGAGAATCTCCTCGCGTGTCGGATCCCTTGAGCGTCCGAAATCGGGGGTGGAAAAAGTATGGTTGCACGTGGAGGAGCAGGTGGCTCGCGAATTGCCCATGGCCAATCCCGTTATCGACATCAAATGCGATGCTTTGACATACCAAAGGGAGTGACGACCAAGCAAAGGGCAGTTTGGGCTCATATCTCGACAGATCGATGGGGCGGAAATCCTGAAATAGATATGTCTCCTTGTCGAGCTCTTCCATAGACATAGTAGTAGATGGTTCGTCCAAGCGTCGACTATCCTTACCATCGGTCAACGTGTCCTTCTCTGTTCGTATGGGGTTAGAAGTATGGATACGTGGCTTGGGAAGCGATGTCCCCTCTTCGAAATGAAAAATATCTGGAGATGACGAAACTCCTGTCTCAAAATGTGACTTCGTAACCGACCCATATACGTTTTCGGCGTTCCATGTCGTCTTCTCCTCCTGTACAGGCACCCGACCGATACCCTGATTTTGTTCGCCATGTCCTAGACTCATGTCCAGTGGCGTGTTTACAGAGGAACCTCCGGGTTGAGCCTCCGCGAGGTTATCAGATCTCTGTTCCGATTTGGGCCGGGAGTGACTATACTCGTCTGAGGAAGAGTCCCCGAGTTCAGCATCTTCCTCACTTTCAGGGTAGATCTCGCCCCGCCCATGGGGTGTTCTGCGATCAGTCCCTGGAGACTCGAATGAACGTGCAAGCGATCGGGCTTTATGCGAGCTGTCTGTTGATGCAGAAAACATGAGAAAGCTGTCGGCCGAGTCGTTTCTGTCGTCAGACTCGGGCTTGTGGGGTGCCTCATCCAACGTGAATATAGGCCGAGCTTGCGCGCGATAGTCTCGCAGCGCAGCCCTTCGATCTTCCTGATTCTGAGGCTCTCGTTTGACCGTCGGGATATCAGGACCGGGGGGACTCGCCACTTGTGTCGGTGACTTGCCAACTGCTTCACGGTTGACGGTCGATTGACTTGCATTAGAACGCACAGGCCTGAGGATTTCCGGTGAAGAAGCATTTGATGTCGTTCTTCGCTCTGGGCTGTCGATGAGGGCACGAGCAGCAGCGACCGCCGTTGAGTGTGAAGTTAACAAAGACGGAGGAAGGGGAGCAATACTTTCGATTGCTTCTTCACTACTCGGCCCACTCCATCTCTTGCGATCCTGGGGGGATGAGTTTGGGACTGGTTTAGCAAGCGGCGTATTCATATTCGACGTACTGTCCAGCTCGGACCCCCGGTATCCACGTTCAGCATCCACCATGTCTTTCAAAAGACTGTTCATCAGTTTCTGAGACCTACCTTCGTTCTTCGGGTTGAACCCACGATGAGGGAGTCCAGCTAGAGGAGAAACCGCGCTTCGGTGGGCGCCTAGCCGAAAGCTCTCCAACGTCTCCCGTCTTCTAGCGGCATCAGCTCTTCGCTTCGCTCGGTTTGCATCGGCCCAATCCTTGAGCTCGGGAACAATAACTGCTCCCAATATCCTCCATGATTGAGCCATACGGTGCATAGAGACAGCATCACATGCAGCGGCATTCTCATTGAAGGCAACCTCTAACCGTTGGAGAATGATGTTGGGCGAATGTCTTCGCTCATCCTCTGAGGCTGGAATAGCATAGTGTGTTGCCAGAAACTCAACGACTTCTGGCTCGGCTGCCACGCCGGGAATGCAACCGGCCACACCCACTTGTGCATTGTTGAATAGTTCATCACGATCCAGCACAGCTTTGTCCAGCGGGAGAACTGGTGATCTGTCGTCCAACGAAGGCGGGCTGCTCGCCTGGGATTTGTTCGACCTGGTGGATGCGATAGCCCTACCCTGTCGCCGAGAGCTCGCTCCCGTCGATGTGTCAAGGCTGCCTTCGTCATCAGTGAAACTTCGACTCACGCCACCATCATCACCACTACTCAGTTTATCTGGTGGCACGGTCAAGAAGCCAGCTGCCGGGTCATCTCGAGAGAAAGCGTGTCTGATTTCCCTATCTTCGCTGAACATATAGAACTGTCCATCGGGTGTGAATTCCGAGACACAGGGTGAAATTTGGTTGTAGAAGGGAGTGGTATGTTTGAGATCCCACTGGGTGAAGATGCCTTCATCCCCAACGGTCCATAGCATGTCCTGGTTGGCCCACAGCATATCATTGGGAGGTGTATTATACTTATCGAGCTCTCGGAAGGGGAGCAGTGGTCTCCGAAGATCCCAGATATGGATTCTCGGGTCATCGTGATAGTAGGAAACGGCGACTTGAGTGCTCTGCCAATAACCCGATTCTGAGGTTTGCGACGCCCTACTAGGGGGTCTCCACCTGATATTTCTCACTGCATGGGGCGCTTTCAGTTGGAGGACAGGCTTTTGGCGTCGATTGTCACTTTGGAAATCCCATACCCGGATGTATTTGTCGAATCCCCCGGATATCACGTGCCGACCATCAGGGTGCCAATCCAGAGAATAACAAGCCTTTTCATGTCCACTGATGCTCAGGATAGGCCGGGACGGTGACCGAGCATCCCACTTCTGGATGAGCCCTCCATCCGCACAAATTGCAAAGTCGAGTGGTTCTAGGGCGGACGGCGACCAGCGAACATCTCGGACCGCACTTCGGACGTCAAATTTTCGGAATGCTTTGTCAGGTTTGATACGCAAGTCCCAAAGCCTGACCGACTTGTCTTGGCTGGCTGAGAGTAGCAGATACCCGGCTGACGGATCGAAGTCTAACTTGTTGATTTGACCTGTGTGTTCGTGGAGCCAAGCGAGTTCGGTCTTAAGACCCGATGCCTTCAGGTCATACAGGGCAATGCGACCATTTGTAGCTGCAGTTGCTATGATATGATCCCAGTTGCCCGTCGACCACCTCACGTCTCTTGCTGGTAGATATTCCCGGCGCTTGCCGACGTCATCCAACTGGGGGGAAGTATGAGTCGAGGCGTAGGAACTGACAGCGGCACGAAGGTTGAGGTCTTCGGTGACCTTGCCATCGTGGACACGAACAGTCTTGAGAATGTCTTTCCCGGCCAGAATGGCATGCGTTCCGGCCTGATTGATATCTAGAGCGGCAATGGGGATGCCAGTGCGATGGGTCGCTGTTGGTGAGGCGAGAGAACTGAGATTTCTCGTTAGTCAATGCCGAACTGGCAGGCGGAATGCGTGTCAAACCTGTAGGTGTGTATGGAGGTGATTTGACGCAGCGCATAATCACGGTCGCCCTGAGATGGGCCGCCATGGAATTTCGAACCAATGTGTCTTCCCCAAGGGGCTATTATTCTCTGCAACTGGCCAAGCCGACTGGGTGGGAGCGGCGGTGCTGGCGGAGGAAGGAGATTCTGAGTCTCCGTAAAGGCAGGATCGGCCATGTTGCTTCGCGAGAGGTTTCAGCATCCGCTCACATGCCGGATATCGATGACAGGCAGGCTAACGCGCAAGGTAGGATCCCTAGGGACATGGCTAACAGGGAGAGCCATCACCGGAATGGCTGGCGGACGATGGCTGACGCGACTTGCTGCACGCAGGCTGCAGGCTGGAGGCTGGAGGCTGGAGGAGCGGCAAGAGACTGCCGAAAGGTGGAAGCGCTGGAGGAGACAACACGGACGAAGCGACCAAGGGGCGGAAAGATGAGGAGACGGGAAAGCAGAGTGAGTGGCTGTAAGGCTGCGAAGAATGAAGCCCACAGTCAATTGGGCGAGGTACTGATAGACAGCCCGAGTAAAGTCAAGGTTGTTGGGACAAAGCAGATGCAGCCATGGGTATGTCATTGCTTCGTCAAGCATGCCCGACTGTCCAACCACCAGCAACCACACAAGGCCAAATTACGGCATGAAGGTGGCATGGGTCCGAGAACGAAGGCTTGTCTGACAAAACCTCCACCTCAGCTGTACGCTGTATGCACGAGAACCGGGGATGCAGGTTCGCTGTACTGCAGGCCTCCTTAGCCCCCTAGCCTCTATTCCACGGCGCCTATAAGCTTGGCCCGGTTCCGATGCAGCATACCTGGTAGGTGCCTGGTAGGTGCCACCAGTGCCTGTACCCTAAGGTACATACCCGGCCGGGGAAGTGTGGCCGCCCAAGAAAGGCCTGGCCTCTTTCCGCACCGACAGGCACCTAACAGGTAAAAAGGGTCGACTGATTCGTCAGCCGTGATGGTTAGTTGGCTTATGGCCGACAAGCTCAACACCCAGCTGGCTTCACTGCACCTACTGGTGTCGGGGGTTAATCATGCCACGGTAAAGGATCGAATTTCCCTTGTATGGGCCTTAGCCCTGAGGTAAGCTCTCCGCCTAGGGCCAGCTGCTACTGCAGACTGTGCAGCTGTTTACAGGGGACTCCTTAGACTTCGCATCATACGGATAGAGCGTGCCTGGGGTCCCGGCGAGTCGCTGGTACTTGGGCAGCAGAAGTCCCGGTGCTCAAGCTCTCTTCTCGACATGCGACTTAAGTCATTTAGCTGGCCTGGACGGCAGACAGACCGACCACGCTCGTGGTCTTCTACGACAGGCGGCGGTGAGCAGCCTGCGCTCTTCTCCTCCCGTGGCCAGTTTGCACGGCCGTTTTCCTCTTCTGCTTCCATCCAGCATCCAGCATCCAGCATCCATCCTCATTCTTCCGTCCACCAACCTCCGACCCGTCTACCTATAGGTACCTAGGACCTTGGTGCCTTCACTCTACCCATACCATCTCTTTGTTGTCGACGTCAAATCTCCAGCAATCGGCATGTCACTGGTTCCCTTCATGCGCAGATGCCGTTGCGAGGAAGTCAAGCACCTGTCCAGCAACCGACCAGTTCCTAATCCTTCCATAACCATGATCAGATCGAATATAATTCTGCAGACTTGTCCCCTTCCGCGCGCACCTTCCTCTCCTCTCTACATCGCTGCCTCCATCGTCGTAACTGCCTGGCTGCCTTTACATTTGTCACTGGCTTTGTCTCACGCTGGCCGAGATCTGGCCCAACGTTTACTACTAGTAGTATTCCAGCACACGTTCGCCTTCCTGCTTCCTCCTCTCTCACATACATCGATCGATTTGACATCTCTTCCTTTCTCACATAAGATACCATCTACCACCTCCTTCACATCCATCTCGGCCGATCTGGCGTCTTGACGCTTGTACGGAGTATCTGGCGGGACAATCCACTGGCAGCTGCACAGCTCCTAGTGAACAATACTACTAGGTGACTACCTCGGTAGCCTGGCTCCCACTGGCCCAAACTGCGGTGCCACACGGCGGTCTAAGGCCCTCCAGGCTCTCTTCAGGCCCAGGCGGCGTCCCCACCACCGCCTGCGCACACCCACAAAGCACCCAAACCGATACCAATACTATCCATCGTCGAGCCCGATCGAGACTTAGTTCAATACCTATTCGGCACCTATAATCTTCAGCGTTTCTTGTCACGCGACAAGCGCGATCGGGAACTATTCCACTTGACGAAGACGATTTGGGCCAGTCTGAGATTTAGCTACGAACCCTGTCGCCACCACCAGACCAGACCCTTCTCACACATCGTCATTTGTCAAGTTTACACTTCTACGCTTTATTCATCACCTGTCCGTCTCGACACCACAGTCGCTATTTCATTCCTCCATTATCTGTTTTCGTTTGTTTGTCGTACTGGTTCATTTTGTCATTCGCTCACTTTCGGCATTCCACAAACACGTCTGCCGGCCCCGATCGACTACTGGTCCGATCTTCAGTTTTCGCCGAACCGAGGCAGCACAGACGAACCGCCTGTGCCGCCGACTTTCAAACGCGAGGAGGAGCACAACGCACAGTCTTCGGTCCTCGATTTGAATATTAGGGCAGCAACTAATAACTCGGTTCTTTCATTGTTGGGCGGCCTTCTCCTTTTTGCTTTTGCTTGCAAGACTCGGTTGGTGGCGAGGGTTCAAGGAACATGCATGGTAAACCAGATCTGAGTGCCATTCAAGCCTCCCTTCGGGTCTTGAATGTAGCCAAATTGGCATATCCCGCCATCGTTCTGATCATTTTCCTCGTCGCCTTCATCACTTATGGCATTAAGACTGCCCCCAATGATAGAGACAAGGTCCAAATTCATCCCATGCGTGGGCCAGGGGGGAGACCTCTTCCCATCCGCCGCAAATCCGCCAATCAAGTCAAAGAAGCGGCGGCCTGCAAAGATCTGTCCCCCTCAACCAAAACGTTCTTCAAGGTCGGTCAAGCCGGTGTCATCCTGACCTTTCTGGCAAATGCAGGTCTCCTGCTTTTCCAGACCATATGGAATCGAAACGAGGAGTGGTGGCCGGGGCAAAATGCCGTCATCTATGTTGTCGCCTCCACGTCTCTTTGGCTGGTGGTCTTCATCTCCCTTATAGACTGCAAGCCTTCACCAAGCGTTGTCCACTTGGTCACTTGGATCTCTGCAGTTCCCTTGGAAGCTATCATCTTTGCTGCGAGTCTCCGAATCTACACTGTACCCCACTACGAACCGCGGGTTGGTGATCAGCTGGGCGGGAGGTATAGGAAGTCAATCACCGGTTGGGAAACACTCGAAGTCATCGTCTATGTGATTCGGCTGGTTCTCCTTCTAGGTCTATCGGTTGTGTTCATCGCTCTCAAGCTCAACTTTCGCATGTCTAAGGATTCCTACCCTACAGTGCAGAACGAAAGGACCCCGCTGCTTGACGAGAATGCTGAAGCCGGCAGGCAGCCTAATGGTCACGCCAACGGCACTGCACAACAAGGCTCAACAACGGAAGCTAAGGAGCAAGTTGATGCTTGGGCCAAGCCAACCGAAGTTCCAAACATTTCTTGGTACGCCTACTTACGAGGTTTCGTGATGCTGATTCCATACCTGTGGCCGAAGAAATCTGTCAAGTTGCAGCTGCTGGCAGGGACATGCTTTGTCATTATGATCAGCCAACGGGTCATCAACGTGTTTGTCCCAGTCATGGTCGGGAAAATCACCGATGCGCTGTCGGGAGATGACGGGAGAGGTGTTCGCGCTCCTTGGCTCTATATCTCCTTGTATATCCTGTTTAGGTGGCTTCAAGGATCTCAAGGCATTTTGTCGGCAGCAAGATCAATCTTGTGGATTCCTGTGGAGCAGTATTCGTACCGCGCCATTTCCACCGCTGCGTTTGAACACGTCCACAATCTCAGTGCCGAATTCCACACTGGGAAACGAACCGGGGAATTAATTTCCGCATTGAACAAGGGAAGTTCCATCAACTCTTTCCTTGAAATGGTCACCTTCCAAGTCGGTCCCATGGTCTTTGACCTGGTCGTCGCCGTCGTCTATCTCACGGTCAAATTCGACGCCTATCTAGGCCTGGTCGTGGCTATTGTCACATTTCTCTACATCTACGTCACCATTCGCATGGCCTCCTGGAGGGTCACACTACGCCGGAATTATGTCAATGCTGATCGAGAGATGGAGGGTGTCAAGAATGACTCCCTGCACTCCTGGGATACCGTCAAATACTTCAATGCCGAGGAGTATGAGTTCAACCGGTTTAGATTAGCGATCAAGACCATGCAAAGGTACGAATACTGGGTGGAAGTCACCCTATCTTACATGAATACTGTCCAGGGGGCTTTATTCATGGTGGCCTTGCTGGTTGCTAGCTTTATCGAGGCGTTCGAGGTTGCCCAAGGTGATCAAACGGTGGGAAATTTCGTCCTTCTCGTAACATACATGGCACAACTGCAGGGCCCATTGAACTTTTTTGGAACTTTTTACAGGTCAATCCAGTCGAACCTGATCAATGCTGAAAGAATGTTGGAGCTATTCAAGGAGCAGCCTCATGTTGTCGACCGAGAGGGCGCGAAGACCCTACAAGAGTGCGCAGGGGATATTGTGTTCGACAATGTGACGTTCAGCTACGACAAAAGAAGACCGGCTCTCAATCAACTGAGTTTCCATTGTCCGCCTGGGACTACTACTGCCCTTGTTGGTGAATCGGGCGGAGGAAAAAGTACAGTTATGAGACTGATTTTCCGCTACTACAACCCTGACTCCGGCCACATCAAAGTTGATGGCATCGATGTCGAAGACATTACAATTGACTCTCTACGCCGATTTATTGGCGTTGTGCCCCAAGATTGTAACTTGTTCAACGAGTCGATCATGTACAATCTGCGATATGCAAACCAACAAGCCACGAATGAGGAGATCTTCAATGCTTGCAAGGCTGCTTCGATCCACGACCGGATCACGCAATTTCCAGATGGGTACGATACGAAAGTTGGGGAGCGAGGTGTCCGCCTGTCAGGTGGTGAACGTCAACGGGTAGCGATCGCACGAACCATTCTCAAAAACCCGCGAATTACTATGCTGGACGAAGCCACGGCTGCGCTGGACTCTGAAACCGAGGAAAAGATTCAAGAATCATTCAATACTCTTGCCGAGGGCCGGACAATGATCATCATCGCACACCGTCTTAGTACCATTGTCAATGCCGACCAGATTTTAGTACTTTCCAACGGTACAGTGGTTGAGAGAGGTACCCACGAAGAGCTTATTACGCTAGGGGGCAAGTATGCGAGCATGTGGCGCAAACAGTCTCGGGCACAAAAGGCCGCAGCGGAGGCCGCCGAACTGAGAACAAGAGCAAAGCGGGCATTGGAAGAGGCTGAGGCGGATAGTGCCAGCGTCAGTGAAGAGGAGATCGAACAAGCAAAGAAACGCGAGAAGGGCTTTACGAAAGGTCACAAGAGGGTGAACTTCAGTGAGAGTAGTCATCTGCGAGCAAGCTTGCAAGTGGATGACCAGGATCGTGGTAAGGACGACAGATCAGAAAGCCCCCGACTCGGTCATGGCCACTCCGGAAAACCGCCGGGGCATCCTTGAGATGGTTAATAAGAAGATATGATAGGGTATCTGGCGATGGGTGGATGATCGCGCGCCGGTCTCTGGTGTGATGTGAAACACTTAAGACTTCTTCAGTGGTCTTTGGGTGGGAATTTGGCTTTGATTTGGTTTCTTGCACATCATCTTTGAAGACTGCGGATTCGACAATGACTATGACGACAATGAATGATGGTGGGAGGTTGTACAGGCGGTTTGAGATTCCGCTGACGAGGTTGGGCATGGCACGGGGCATGGTGCGCATACAGCCTTCGGATAGGCATGCATTGCGAAAAAATGAGAGCCGGAGAAATCAGTAGAAGACGAAAACACCTTCACTTTCGGGAGCAGTAAGTATTATGGATGAGCGACTACCATAAAAGGCTTGCCTGGATACGTTCTTTGCGGAGACCTCAGAGTCCGGGTGATGCATGAAGAGCTCAGAGCCTCGCGGCGATGATGGAGATATAAGACAACAACAACGAAGGCGGAACACAACAGCTTCGCAGCTATGACGGTTGCACGGAGGAAGCGAGGCCAAGCCAGGTATCAGAGTGTCGTGTCCTCTCCACCACTCTTGGTTCCTACTAGTAGACAGTCGGGCACGAGCCTTGTTGCTGGATTGTATTTTACCTTGTGATTGCAATTAGATAGGAAAGCTCCTGATCCGATTCGACCGGAGTGTTGCCAGCCAAAAGATGTTATCTCCATAAGAAGAGGCTTTCTCCTTTTTCTGCTTGGGACTAGGACAAGCAATCTAGTCGTGTCCTTGCTTCGAGTGGGCGTAGAATCAGTGTTTCCAGCCAGTGACCTTTTGAGGCGTGGGCGGATGATTATGGTTGATGGTGGTCTTTTTGGTGTCGTGTCGTATCGTATCATATCGCATCGTGGTGTGTCAGAGTCGATGTACGCAAATGCGTAGAGAAACGCAGAGTAGGGGGGCCGGCCTCAAAAGCGCCGTTTCTTCTTGGTTCCCGTGGATGCAGCGAGCGTACGTTTGAGCTCCAAGCGTCGCCGATCGGCTTTCTGCTCTTCTGTTTCTTGCTTCTCTTCGCCCCCTTCTTTCTGGTCTACTTCTCCCCTCGGCCGTACGCGCCTAGCTGTTTCCGCGGCTGGCAGAGAAGTTGTAGATCTGGGATGGGAAGCGAGCGTGGTTTTCGTTGTGGATCGAGCCGACGGCGACGGCGATGGCGACGGAGAGCCAGTTCTATCTGAGTCATCGTCTTTGCCGCCCCTAGCTCTGGTGACTCTCGTCGTTTCGTGAGTGGCAGCTGCTTTCCCTTGTGGAGACGCTACATCGGTCATTTTGGTCGAAGGCTGTGACATCCCCCCAGCTGGCGACCCTGCATCGAGACCGTGGGGTTTGCGGCCTAATCTTCCGAGACGCCTTGTCGGAGTGGTTGCTGGTGATCCTTGTGACTGCTTCGCTCTTGTGTCTTGTTTCGGGTTCGATTTAGGCTTTCGTTTGTGTGTTCTTTCCGACTCAGAGCCAGTACTCGTAGATCCGCCGTCAGTCGCGGTGCTATCATCTGGTCCTGGTATGGCAGCTGGACTTTGCGTTTGTGCAGACCTAGAGTCACTGCTCCGCCGGGAGGATGGTGCCCGTCCCGCAGGGGAGTCTCGCCTGGGAGAGGACTCCGTATCGTGGTTGAGGCGGCCGTACTCGTCCCGCTTAGACTGGTTTCTCAAAGTCGAGATTCGCGATGGCGATGGCGAAGGTGACGGCGTTGGTGATGGGCTTACCTGTCTTTTCTTCCTCAACCCGCCCAATTTTGGTTGATTGCTGGTCTTGGTCTTGCCATGTTGTCGCCTTGAGGGTTGAGGTTCGGAGTCTGCACCATCGTTGTCGTCTGATGGAGATGGAGTTGCCGTTGCTGTTGACGCGCTGGAGCCAGCACGGGGCGGTGGTGATCGCTTGTTCAAGGAAGATGATGAGTCGCGTCTGGCTTTGGATCTTCCAGAGGCCTTGGTGGCATTGAGTCGGCCAAGGGAAGATGTTGACGTTTTGGTGACCTTCGACAGAGCTTCTTCCCCTTCGACGTCGTCTTCACTCGCTGCGTTGGCGGGCTTTCTGACTTCGCGTCTATTTGAGCTCGGGCTGGGTGGGGTTGCTTGTCGCTAGCATTGGTTAGATGTAGATGAACAGACTTTCGTGGAGTAAGGGGGCTCACTTCGAAATCGTCCGAAGCCGTGGACTCATCACCTGACTCTGGCTGTCGCGCAGCAGCCTTAGTCTCTGGAGGGCTGGACAGGCGGCCCTTCTCTCTATCTTGGATCGACCTGTCTGATGATGGAAGCCCGTTTATCCAGTCTGCGTGTTGAGATGTTGTGTGCACGAAGCATTTTTCGCATCCCCGGACAAGATCACTCAAGCCGGTGCGATCGGCGCCTTCGTAGCCATCGTCATTTGCGAATTGCTTCGTCCAGGATTTCTCATTGAAGTTCACCATCCCAGGCACGTGCTTCCTTGCCTCTGTGACGGAGATATGGCCCCCTTTTCGGGATGCCACCCCCGTGATGCTCGGGAAGATCAGGCTCAAGTCAATAGAGGAGCTGTCGACTCGTTCAAGAAGACGTGAGATGACATGGTCCTTGTCCCGCACGATCCGGAGAAGAGACTCTATCTTCTCTTGGGCAACCGCGACTTCGTGTAAGCTGGGACGGAGGATGCGCTCGGCCAACTCAGATGCCGGCTGAGGGGCGAGCTTGAAGGCCCATTCCAGCGGTCTCAGCGGCTTCGGCAGGTCGATGGATGTCTTTAAGCGCAGAGCATGCCCGCCACGCTCGTTGGCCCTGACAAGGACGTTTCTGCCGTCGCTCAGACTCTTGGCAATTTTCGATAGGAGGACCGCAAGTTGGTCGGATGAGGCGGATGGGTCGATGCTCGTGTGCTGGCGTGACGCTTCGGCTAGGATGTCGTACCTGTCCAACGAGCATTCCCAGATGGAGATGAGGTCGGTGAGAAGCAGTTTGATGGACTCGTTCTGCGTCATGAGCGAGTAGAAAAGTTTGGGGCATTGTCGCCGCGATGGCAGTTGGAGTTCTTGCCAGCCCTCGTTGTTTGAGTCCGTCATCATGAGCAACAGTGTGGGCGGTTTTCATCGACTGTTGGTCACATGCCTTGCAGACTATGCGCCATCAGTGATATCGGCCCCACTGGGTCTATCATCCCACGGGAGATCTGGATCAGACGGTCTGGATCAGCCAAATGGAAAAGGTAGGCGCTTCGATGACGCCGGAGTAGGTAAGTCACAAGGGACGTGGGCTCTCATGCTTCACCGTTGTATCTGCAGGCCGGCTACGGGGGCGCATGAGGCGCATGAGGCGCATGAGGCGCAGCCTTGAACACATCCAGTCAAGTTTCCAACTACATCCCTGTTGTTCATGGTAAAGACCTCAACTTAGCCAGGCCTCCAGCTCGCAGCACCATCCTCCACGACGCTTAATGCTTGACGCTTGACCCTTCGTCACCGTGACATGGTGAAAACCTGCTGATAGCGAATCATTTTGACGCCGGGGAGTTGGCAAAACAATGGTGTTTCAAGGCTTGCACTTTTCGGCGGCTAGCTGTTACACAGGGACAGAAACCTTTACCGGCACCCTTCCTGCCGGCACGCTATTTGACAAGATCTGTGTCTAATCTAGGGCAGTGAGGATATCAGCATTGAACCCCCAGCTACAAGGGGGAACTTTGTGACTACCATCAATGTGGTGCTTGGTATGATGTCGTAAGGTATTTACTCTTTCGTTGCCCTTGGTCGTTTGTGCCACAATCATCGCTACTCATTTTGAGAGGGTGTTGCATGAGCCTTGTCCTCTTACATTGGTTATTCGTCTGATCTACAATTGCTGCAAGTTGGGTGCAATTTGTCACACATCTTTCTTCCTTGTCAGTCGAACCGTTGTCATGTCCGAAAAATACGGTGTAAATGCGGTGGTGAGCGAGGTCGACGATTTCCAACGATTCAAGCATATCCACTGGCGAGCACCGATTGTCATGGGTGTCAGCTTTCTCGGAGGTGTCGTTCTGATGGCATTACACCACGTATTATACCAGACTATAGATGGCGAACCTGCAACCGCGGCTGCCGTCCAGTCATGGGTTATCCGAGCCGGCACTGCGTTGGCTTTCATTTCGAAGCTATGTCTTGCGATCGGTACAGGAGTTGCATACGATCAGTGGATGTGGGTGGACCTACACTCAAAGCCGCACGAAATTGGATGTTTGGATTCAATGTTTGCAATCCTCCAAAACGCCTTCGAATTTCTGAAACTACGAGTATGGTTCAATAGGCCGGCATTGGTCTTTCTGGCCGCCGTCACCTGGTACGCATATGACACCTACCAGCCTGACTGATGCTAACCGCCGGAGGCTACTACCCATATCCTCCATATTCACGCCGGGCACAATATCGATCCAGTCTGTTCCAGTGACCGTAAATGGAACGTTGCAGGTTCCCCAGCGGTCATATACTACTGCCAGCGACCTATATTGCGGAACATCAACTGACGGGAACCTGACTTCATACCAGTCTTTGGCGACAGGACTTCTCAATCCGACTTTTGCTACCCTTCTCGCCAATAGCGTTCTCCCTGTCCAGGCCTCGCCTACTAATCTCACTTACGACCTTGGATTTTACGGACCCGCAGTCTCGTGCCAACCCTCCAGCGACCAAGATTTTCAATGGGCAAAGAAGGCAATTTCGGGATACGAGAACATGACGAACACCAGGGTGTTTTATTTTGGCTGGGTTCCGCAGTCAGGATGGGGACCCGAGGTGAACGGGTCGTTTTTCGCTTCAACCGATGTTCAAATTGGCAACTTCCGGATTGACTTCCAGTCGCAAGATGCTGCGCGGGTCTTTGTCTATCTCAACACGACCGGCGTTGATGCAAAGGGACACCGAGCCCCTTTTGTCCAGGCACCTGCCGCGCAAATGATGACATGTGCACTTTACAACGCGTCCTATGCGGCGCATTTCGACGTTGAAAGCACTGGATCACAGAGAGTCACGGCATACCAAACCTTTCAGAACTGGATGGCGGCTTCTAGCACCATGAACGGGACTGCCAGCGATCCCTTGGTCACCCTTCAAATGAATATGCAAGCTGTCATGGAGGCTTTCGGTATGATGATCATTGGGCCCATAACATATTCAAATGTGGACCAGGGTCCTACTCTAAACTCGGTGTATGCATTAAGCATGAATCCAGCCATGTTTCCGTCTCAACCAGGACTGAATCAGACCGAGATGACTCTTCGATCGATGAAGTTGAATGAAGCTCTATTTCAGAATATTACGCTCAGCATGCGTTATGGGGTATCCTCCGGGTATGTCTGCAACTGTCCGCACCAGTCTTTCAGAATCAGCTGCTGACCATGTTTCAGAATTGTGTTCTCTGATGAGACTGCAGCTGCAGTTGTCAAAGCAGATTTCGAGCCACAATTTGTCTATCAACCGCGAACGTTGCTCATAGCATACGGAATTAACACTCTGTTTGCTTTTATATGCGTCATGATGGGGGTCCATGCTCTGCTCCAAAACGGGGCGTCTTACACAAATTCTTTCTCGACCATTGTCAGAGTCACGCGAGATCCTTCTCTGTCCAGATTGATTGCAGACGAAGGGGCCCTGCAAGGGGCAGAGCCTGTGCCCAAACACATCCGCAGGGCAGAGGTCCGCTTAGGGCGAATGGCGAAAACCTCGATTAGCAACTCTTCTAGTTGGCTGTGACATTTGTACTTTATGGATTAGTGACGGGCGATGCTACCAAACGTGTAATGAGCTGAAATGAAGTCATCGGGGCGTGTAAAGTAGCATCAGGTCGATTGCTCTGCCGCAGCCTTGCCTACTGGGGCAAAACAAGTCTGCCAAGCCGTAGCCTGGTGCCAGCGTGCAGTGGCGGACATTCTACTTCACATGCGCTTCGCAGGTTGCCAACCCCGAAGGCACCTTTTCGACAATGCTGCCGACTTCATTTTAGCAGTTAGCGGGACATAACTTTTCAAGATTTCTGGACTCGCGACAGCGCTGTTACAATGAGTGACTATGCTCCCAGCAGCAAACGAAAGAGGTCGCATTCTCCCCCGCCGTGGCGACAGCGCGAAAATGAGCGCCGGTATCGCGAGCGAGATGCGCCTCAACGGCAAGACGAAGGCCGGCCACAGAAATGGTCTCACAAAGACCAGATGAAAATCAATCAATTACAGGAGGACGAACGCATGAGAGAATGGGTGGCACAAGAAGATGAGTTTGTTCTCAAGCAGGCGAAAAAAAAGGCAGAAATTCGAGTCAAAGAGGGTCGAGCGAAACCTATAGATTGGCTGGCAGTCACACTCCGCGTAATCGATCCTACGAGAGACCCGTTGGATGACGAGGTTCAAGAGAAAGACCTTGAGTTTGTGGACCCCGGGAGTGTCTTCGACGGCCTATCCGAATCCCAGTTGGCGGACCTGCGCAAGGATATCGACACATACTTAAATCTCGAGACTAACCGAAAGAATCGGGACTACTGGCGGTCTATGCAGATTATCTGCAAGGACAGGCAGAAGAGGCAACGCACCTCGGGTCCGGAAGGAAGAGCTGTAAATTCGGTGTCGTCGGATATTGACAAGCTACTGGCGCCAAAGACATACGAACAGCTGGAAGTGCTGGAGAAGCAAATCAAAAACAAACTTGACTCCAACGAGCCTATCGATACAGATTATTGGCAGCAGCTCTTGGACAGTCTCTTGGTTTGGAAGGCAAAGGCGAAGTTAAAGAGAGTCTATCAAGATGTTCTCGACTCTCGGTTGAAGCAACTGAGGCAAGAAAATGAGCACAAAGCACATCAGGCCCAGCAGCAGCTTCATGATGCCGGCGTTGTCGCCGCTGCCTCGGTTACGTACTCGAAAGACGTCGACCCAGAGGCGCTGCTGGGGATTCCGTCTAAAGACAAGGCCTTAGAAGTCCAGGACGAGAGCGCTTTCTTGCGAAATGTCGCTGCCAGCAGACGCAAAGTTGCCAACATGGGCTACGTCCCGGCCCCGAAAGGCACTGCTCATCAAAAGGTGTCGACACAGTCTCGTCCACCCGGGCTACCCGCAGCAATCGACCCGACCAGCCGCTTCGAACAGACAGCAGCAACAGACTCTTCTGCTGTGACGAAAGCCCTTTTCGACCGGGAAGTTGCCAAGGGAATGAACGAAAACGAGGAGATCTTTGCGGGCGAGGAAGAAGTTGCCGGGATGTCTGACGAACAACCGCTCTGGAGCGGGAAGTACCGTCCGCGCAAGCCCAAGTACTTCAATCGGGTCCAGATGGGCTACGAGTGGAACAAATACAACCAAACACATTACGACCATGATAACCCTCCGCCGAAGGTGGTCCAGGGCTACAAGTTCCACATTTTCTACCCCGACCTCATTGACCCAACCAAGGCGCCGACCTACAAAATCATGCGCGAGGGCGGCCGGAAGAAGGGCCAGACCATGGCGCCCGCGGGCGAGGAAGACACATGTATCATCCGTTTCATGGCCGGCCCGCCGTACGAGGATATTGCGTTCCGCATTGTCGATCGTGACTGGGACTATTCGGCCAAACATGACCGCGGGTTCAAAAGTACGTTTGAACGAGGTATTCTGACCCTGCACTTCAGTTTCAAGAGGATCGTTTATCGGAAATAGTGGACCATGGATGATTGTGTGAGCTGCTCGACTCCTCCCAGCTCTGGTGTCAGTACTTGCGAGCTGTAACGCGGGTGGCACTATATCAGTATATGGAGATACAGGAAATGTTACGTGAGCTTAGGCTGTTCTTGAAATGAGAAAATCCGCTGCGTGTTCTCTGCGAGCAGCATACATATTTTGCCCATAGTTCGTTCCGGGCCCTCTAGATACATCCTCGTGTATTCGTACTCCGTACATGCAAGCGCAAAGTCACGGGATTCGCCCCAAATGGATTCGTCCAAATGGCACGGCAGTCCATCCAGTGTCCCCATCCATCAACTTGAAGTACCTGGTAGTAGTCGCGACACATGCCGCCTGGGGTTTGCTTTCTGCCCCTACCTACCTAAGTGGACAATGTCTACTCTGGACGGCACTCGTACGATATCCCAACCGTGGAAGTCGACCTCGCCAACCTGGAACTCACCGAGATGACGAACTCTGGGTGATCTTGGTTATCTGATGTCACGGGATGACGTACAACTTCAAGATGATCGGCGGGATTTCGTCGCGTCAACCACCAACATCTAGTCACCTAGTGGGTACCTACTACACTACGAGTACCTGCGCGCGAAAGCACGATTTATTTTGCTGGTGACGGAAAAGCGAAGGGCGAAGGGTGAAGGGTGGTGGGTGGTAGCTGATAAGTGATAGGTGATAGGCAAAAGTGAGGGACGCGGGACCTCTGATATGGGAGCGAACAACGGGCATGTGCATGTGCATGTGATAGTTGTCCCTCATGTGCGGATATATAATATACCACATACCAAAGAAATAAGACATGGTGAATCCAACGCTAATCGATACAAAACAAAATCTCTGTCTCAGTTATTGCCGGCTCGCAGTGATATTCGTCTTCCCAAAGCTTCGGTCCTGTGCCCTTCTAGTCCGGACCAAGTCACTAGTCCTCGCACACTGCGTCGGGGTTCTCGGCGCATCGTAACAGGTTCGAGATAGTAGTACAAGGCAGCAGACAGCGGTGATCAAGGTTCGGGTTCGGGATCTTTGGGTGGCGTCTCGCGCTCCGAGTCGATGGGTTCGAGCTTCTTGAGCGCCTTCATCTTCGATGGCTCGACGCCGTAGTCTTCCTCCCACGTCACCCTCTCCTTGTGCATGGCTCGTCGAACCCAGGGGATGGTGATGGCGGACCAAATGGTTGCCCATAGGAACGGGACGCCCCATCCTAGCCTCTCGCATTAGCATGTTGTGCGGGTTGCAGCGAACCCTCAGCAAAACTTACCGATGGCGTATGCCACTGTCTTGGGCACGGGGTGGATGACAACCACCACCGTGCACGCTATCGCAATAACGAGTGAGGGGATAGACCAGAATAAAGACTGTTGCTTGATCATCCTCCGGAACCGTGGACTCGCCTTGTATCTGGCGGCAAGGGCTTCGCGATACGGCCTGCCGGCATTTGCATTGACCGCGACAATGTCTTCGATGAGGTAGTACACCCCGGGGTAGACCTCGCCTCCCTTCGGTGTCGAGCTGATCCGGAAGGGCGCTTTTCGTCCTGACAGACTCCACATAGTGAGGATAAAGATGCTACCGCCCAAGCCATAGAGTAACGCTGGTGCGGGCAGAGAGAGTACGCGGAGCCAGACAATGTGTGGGGCGCTACCAACAATCAAGAAAGTGGTGACAGCTCCGATGGTGAAGACAAGTATCCAATGGGTGATATCGAATGCCCATCGACTCGAGGTGCCCAGCGGTCGGAAGAAGTTCTCTTGCTTGATCAGCCGCCAGCAACGGACGGCAAACTCGACGTATGTTGGTCCACCCCAGATGGTGGCCACAACTGCGAAGACTTCGATAGGGTTAATAATGGCTCTGAGAGCAGTGGGTGCCCAGGGGTTGTAGACATACCTATCCATCCTTGTACATGGCCTGCGAAAGTCAGGCTATAATATAAAACAATCGGGACCACACACGCGTCCACCACCATTATAAAGATGGTGAAGAACAGTTTCCATCTCCGCCAACCGTATCTCCATGTGAAAGGTAACTGAGGGAGGAGGTCTGTGTGCTGGTCATAGTATTCTTGTAGCGTGCTGGCTCGTCTTCTAAACTCTTTTTTGGTTGCAGCACGACTGTCATAATATGCAGCTCTGTCGGGCTCGTCTACACTGTGTTTGTGAGATTCCTTCCTCCTATCTGAACTCTTTTTTCGACCCGACGAGGCGCTCAGTCCTGTGTCGGTCCTGTCAATTCCATGCAGAGATTGAGTACGCGCGGTTTCGCCGGCGAAGGCGCCTTCGGGGCCGAAGTGGACAGTTCGGGTTTCTCGTACGGGGCTTGCGGGTATAACGTTGCCATTGCGGTCGATTTGGACACTGGCACGACTGCCTCGAATGACCTCGGGCATGGCGGAAACGAGATGCGTTACGCCAGAATCAGGAGAGTGAGGAGAAGACGGACGCGGTCATGGTCGGCCAGGAGAGCCAGATGTAGGAACAAAGGGATGACCGCCGTTTAGGCCTCGAGGAAGGTCACAGATACCAACGCAACAGTTTCTTGGGCCCCCCAGTTCAGAAGAAAGGATTGAGATTTGTTGTTGAGAGAGAACGCTGAGGCGCAGTCACTGTAGACAAGCAGTTATGCCATGAATTGGCCAGCATCCACCATCATCCACCATCATCAGACATTCAGTCAGCCTAGACTCAGCAGCCAGGGTCGACGGAGTCCAGGACATCCTATTGGCTGTGGACTGTCAGAGGCCACGCCGCCAAGTTCTGCTCGGCCCAGGAATTTTGCGCTCTCCGGCTTGGCGGCCAGATTGGGATACCGCACGTGATCTCGGCTAAGTTTCCCAGCTTGTCTACATGTATATACGGAAACATATCACCGTGTGAGGCTACCCGCGGTCACGATTCAAGAGGGTCATTGCCCCTGCACTGTGCTAAGCTGTACTAGGCTTCACCTGAGCCTGTACAGGTACGGACACTTGATGCTTATCCACTGGATTGTAGACATCTTCTGAAGCACCGCGCTCTCCTGCATTAACAGATTCTCTCCGGCATGTTTGCGCAGTAGCCAACCAGCTATCTGCTCAACTTTGAGAACAATGCCAGCACTCCATGGTTGAAGGTGTTTGGCTCATGAAGAGGATCCTCTGTCTATCCGCTCGGAAGTCACAGCTGATACTTCCGCCAACCAACTGACTCCTGGGCTGACAGCGCCCTGTGAGGAAACTTGTCTCCTTGCCCGTCCGCTTTCTTCACCCGGTTAGGTTATGACGAGGCGACACCAAAGCACAGCCTGTTGCCCCTTTCATACCTACGCTAGGATGGCTCAATGCAAAGCTGTCTGAAGTCATGCTTATAATCAGGAAGATCAAGCTCCTTAGCACACTCTTAGTGATTCACATTACTGACTACAGCCGATGTTGATCCTCACATCACGCATAACAATGTCCTACAGCCACATCAGCCTCAGCCCCCTTCGCGGGCAGATCCTGCCCCATCGCTCTATCGGCCAGCCTAACTGGCCCTTCTCGCTGCAGGACATTGCTCTAGGTCCATAGCACCTCTGTGCCCTTCCAGAGACAAGACGCGCAGGCAAAGTCAAATTTTCTCGCAACAAGGTAAGAATGTGGATCCCTGCAGGTTGGCGATTTGAGGCCCAACTGGCTGCACTCTACCGTTGAGGAGAGGCGTTGAGTCTACATCTCGTTGCACAGAGGGCACCCCATACTGGCCAGAAACTGATTGGATGACGGCAGCTCCAGAATGCCCGGATTCTTTCTGGATGGATGTCGTACAGTACGATACAACGCTAGCAAGCAACAGGTCGGTGCAGTTGTCTTCTTCATACAGGTGAACGGACATGAGAGGGCTCAAGGTCAGGATTCCTTTGTTTGCGCTCCGCTTTCCCTCCCCTGGGACCCTGCCTGTTTGCATGATTCCATTGCTTCCCTCGCGTACCGCTAGATGCACATCACATTCGCTTGCTTGTACTAAATAATGCCATTTAGATCTTAGGTCTTTGGCCTTTCTTGATCTGTACCATCGTCCCTCAATCTCCATCTCCTGTTTCTTTGCCGTCTCGTAACCCGTCTACCTTTTCCAACCCAGAAGCTGCTGATTTCTTGCGGCGCAGTCCCAGGTCGTTCAGATCTATTGCCTGCATCTATTTGACACTTCTTGGTCAAGATGGTTAAGATGGAAGCTGACGAACCCCCTCATCAGCTTGAGTCCTACAACAATATGGTGGACTCTGACTTCTCGAATATCCTGTCAGTGGCGATCAACCAACATGCTCTGCATGCTTCATCCTCTGGATTCACACACATGCCTCTCTCTCAAGGCGGAGTTTTGCAGGATCTTCACCCTCTGCTCAAGGTTGAGGGTATGGTGGACGACTCCTTGGGCCCGGCTGGGATGTGTCCAAGTCACCATATTCCACCCACCACGCAAGTCCAGCTTTCTGATCTGGAGCTCGGCCCAACTTGGTTTTCCCAGCAGGCCTACCCAACACTGATCACCAGTGGTCCGGTCCTGAACAACGAAATGAACGGTTGGCCTATGGTGCCATGCTCGGCGGACATCATGACACCCCCATATTCAACATATCATTCTTTTGAAGAACTCGACAGCAGGATCCCGTGGTCCTCGTCGCCGGAGTTCGCCCACTGCAGGCCACTGACCTCCACTGGAGAACAGCCAGAAGGTTGCAACGACAAGCCATATGCGAGGCTGATCTATGAAGCATTGATGCAGGCGCCCGGGCACAGAATGATGCTGAGAGACATATATGAGTGGTTTCGCCTCAATACTACAAAGCCCGAAGAGTCAGGCTCGAATGGATGGCAAAACAGCATCCGGCACAATTTATCCATGAATCAGGTATGTTACGGGTGCTGAGAAACACGCAAGCAACTTCTGACGAGACTGTGCAGGCGTTTGAGAATGACAGAGAATGTTCCGGAGGCAATACGAGAAAAGCCAACAGTGTCTGGATGTTGACCGAAGACGCAGTCAAAAACGGAGTTCAATCTACCACCAGATACCGCAAGACCGCTGGGGGCAAAAGAACTGGGAGCAATCGTGCGGCTGCGGTCCAAAGACAAAGATCTGGAGCCAAAGGCGGGCGCGCCGCACGTTGGATGGCGAGACAGAGGCGGCAGGAGAACCCTCTCATTGCTGACGCGACTCCTTCCAGCAGTCCAACAACTCCCTCCTATTCGGACGTCAGCGAATACCAGAGCTTCGACTACCACGGGTTTCGACCTGCCATGACGAGTTGGCCCATAACGCCCGTGGACGACAGCCTCCATCTTCCGGATGATGCGATGCAGAACATGTGCCTTTCCCCACAAAGCTCGTTTGATCTCAATGCATCACAGGCTACTCACGCCGATGAAAGTTCGCCTTCGCGAGGCAGTTTGCTACGATGTTTGCGAGATCGTCAACTGCAAGAATGACAGGTGCACACCGGAAGACAGCTGCAGAATGATGACAGTGAGTACAGCGGAGATTGGACTCTGGAGTGGTGTGCAGGGATACAGTGAGATGATCAATGCTCGATGTAGATTTTTGACACGACATCGGTCGTGATGAGGGCAGGGTTTGGAAGTCCACCATGGGGGTTTCTGTGTATACGAGTATCTGGGTCAGTTTTGCCGGGGTTTAGATCTTACAGGGGTCTCCTTGTTCAGAGGACAGGAATACCCTGGCGGAAGTGCGAGTAAGTACGGTATATACCGTACTATACGGATGGGCCCAGGAGACTAACGAGGCCGGGGGCATACCCATTTGCTGCCTCGGGGGGCAGTCTAACAGCTCGCAAGTTGTACGAGTGAAGTGTTTAGAGTATAATACATATTTCCTTGAACGCGGATGCTACCGCTTGGCTCAAGGCTACTTTCGACCTCATCCCAGGTACTCGTAGCAACAGAACGGACGCTCCTCTCCAGCAACCCCTTTTATCCTCGTAGGTAGGTTGAGTTGCAACTCTGCAGCACGCCAGATCTTCAGCCAGCCTTCGTGTCTGGCCTCACTTCAAACAACCACATGAGCCAATCTACTCTGGATCTCTCCACCCTCCCCACCGGCCCCTCGCAGCATCCCAGGCGTCGCTCGGCCTGTGCGCTGGCACCAGGTGCCAATCCAACGGACGTGCGGCCGGTAATCCTGGACATCTCAGAGGTGATATCAAACACTCCAGGTCAGCCTCTCGTGAAGAGACGACTGACGCAGCAGCAAACTCGCCCAGGACCCACAGCTAGGGTTCCCAACCCGCCTGCAGGTGCAAGACGCAGCAAGATTACATGAAGACAACCCGGGGATGGCACTCTCTGTGACCTGTCAAGCCAATATCATCACGCTGGTGATTCCATGCTTTTCTTCACACTAATGCACAGCCTTGCCCCGCGGGAAACCGCTCCGCTTCCGCTGTGATCTAAATACCAAGGGGTCAGGAGGCCATGGTGGGTGGCTTGGCGGCCTAAGCAGGAACAAAGGACACCCGCCGTAGTCAGACTTTGCGCCCTTGGATGAGATATATTTTTGTCCGGGAGGCCGCCTTCAGAAAACGCCTTTCCAGGGAGGTGGTTGCATGTCGCACCTATCAGAAACAGACTCGGAGATAGTCATGAGCTCACGCCCTCGGTAGTGGCTCAGTGGCGGCCTGAGCCCCCAAGCCATGCCAATTGTCGGTACGGAGTACGGCTGCTGGCTTGCCTTGACTCCGAAATTCCCCAGTTCCTTCATCATCTGGCATTGTCACATGGGGTTCGAGATCTCACCGACTCCAGCGATCGATGTTATCCTCCCACACCTCGAGTCTAGCGAGATCGAACTCGGTTCGCCTACAAGAGGAAACCTCGGAGCCGAGATCGTTGGTCGGATCTCACCAGACTGCGATGTCTACCGTTTTCTGGGACTTGACCAACATCTGAGGATAATTCAGGGAAGCCTTGGTCACTTGCGAGTGGCAGCAACAAGTTCTCCATGTGATGCTGTGCAAGCAGACGGACATGTGCCTCTGAGAGCTTCGAAACAACCTCCCCAGGGTTGTGCGTATTTTTGGTTGAAGAAAGTCACCCTGCCACCCCGGCGCACCGATGGCAAGGGTATATCCCTGACGTCTTGGAAGATTCTGCTTCACTCCTTAACAGAATGGGTTGACACAGGGAGATGTAGCCTTGGAGTAGAACCTCTCTATCTCACATCACATCTTCCTGGTCGACCCAGCAAGTCGGCCCCCACAGCTAAACAAACACTCCTGCTGTTCAGCCCATTCGTCAGACGATTGGACCGATCCTTAGAGCTTGGTTAGCAGCTAGACTCGGTCGGTCGATCGGATACCAGCTTGGAGCTTGCATGGTAGGTGCATGGGCTAAGGTCTGTCCTGAAAATTCGTCCGTTGCTAGATGGCTGTTGTAATTTCCATGCCGGTCTGAAAGACGACTATACGCGATTTTCTTACGCAAGTTGGCCGTTTTGGTGTCATCCTGGCATGCAATTCTCCGACTATCCTGATCCCTGTTGTTCAGAACGTGTTTGACATATGCTAGGTAACGTGGGACAACACAACCTGGGATTAATCGGATTAGGATTGGCCGCAAACTATCACAGCATCCGCTAACGTCGAGTTTTCCTGAGGAACCCTGTGTATCACAGCCGCCTCATACGCGAAGCACTTCCTGGAGCTGGCGTCCTGGATTCATGCCATCTCCTGAGGACAAAGCCTCAGTCCCACAACCACACACATTGGAGCTCCTTGGCCAATGGTGATAAATGGTATCAATGATACTCGTACAATTGATACGCATTGGTACCATTTATCCACATTGCTTTAGCATAATTCCAACAGACGCGGGACATACCCTTTTCGGGCCGAGATCTACGCTTCCATTCCCGCATTGTCACTGGGACCGACTCAAATGTTCCAGGTACTAGCATTCATGAGGCATCTTAATGGACACGTAAGTATTTCCGGCACGGCAAAACGTCACAGGATCTTGAGCACGATGGCGGCAACTTGACTTTCTCGGTTTCACGTCATGTGCTGTAAACTCTGGGCCAGAATAACAGTTGAGCGCTGTCACAAGTTCGAGAGACGAGGTGCACTGTTCATTCGTCATTAAAGGAGAGAGACATCAAGGTATCAAGCAGCAAGAAACGGAACCTTGATTTGCGTCTGCCCTTGAACTCTATCTCGTCCAGAGCTTCTCCTCCCACGGGCAAACCATCGTCAGAACCACCGTCATGGAGGTTTCTCTGTCATTCAATGCCCGTCACGACTAAAATGGAGGAGAAGGTGTCTGGTCTCGCGGAAGCCTCTGTAACACTGGTGGCTTCCCTCCCCACCAACCCCGAGTTCCTCATTGATTCTGCCTTGATGGAGTGCAGGCTGGTAGCAGCCTGGCTCGCAGGCGCTGTTTTGCAGAAACAGTAAAAGATTTCGGGCTGTGCCTGAAACCGCAGCGGCCTTCCGGCCTTCCAAAGCGTTGCTAACATCTTCCAACCTCTCCAAACAAAATAGCAGAAGATCGCAGGTTCAGGTCTAGGTTGCACAATGGTCTCTCCAACCGAAACAGAAATCCCCCGATGGGTGCTCAACAAGCTCGTCTTCCTGGCTGCCAGCAGATATGACAGATTTGACAGCGGCTGTTGTACGCCCAGCAGAAAGTTCAGCCCCTCAGGCTCTACATCGTGAGAACCGCAATGAGGCTCACCTATCTCTTACTTCCCAGCTATTTTGTCATGCTAGCAATTCCCGTAAGCACCTGGAAAGGCCCGCGGCATTCGCAATTGACAATCACTGCGGCAAAACCCAGTGGAAAAGCATACTGTGTTGGGTCTGAAGTAGACCTGGGGATATTTTGCCTCGATCTCGTCCTGGTGGAGCGTTGTGATCCGTGGTGCAGTGTTACTTGCTCAATTGGTGGACACAGATTCCTTTGCAAGTCCATACATAGAGAACATCTAATAGGCGCAACGCAGGGAGCAGCAGCCAAAACGCAGGATTGTCTAGTTTCACTCGCCCTCGCCTGTGCAACTAGCACTGCTTCTGAGGAATATCAACGAATTTTATGAAGGTGGTTGAGCGTGGCCTTCCTCAAGGACATCTCACATGTCAAACACATGGGATCATGATTACAACATCAATGGTTCATCGAGTCGGGGCTTTTGTGCGCCATGGCTTCGGAGGAGATACTGGAGACTCAGGCCGGAGCATGGCTGTGTGCAGACTGCCGGCTCTGGAGTCCATCATAATACTTTACCTTAGACAGGGCATGCACAGAGCATATGGAAACGAGGCACAGGGGCTCCATCTGGCTTGACATCCGCTGGATTAACACGATAGGTGAAAGCATGCCAGTGTGGATTTGACGATTCACAAGCCATTTTCATAATCGCAGTAGGGCAAGGTAGGAAGCTGAGACACGAACAAGACACAACGTGCCAAAAAAGATAAGATCATGGGGGATGTAGGAGAGAATTTCGACCCAAAAGTATCCTTATTGAGGGATATTTTCGAAACCACCAGACTCGCGAGTTCTGTTCCACGGGAACATCGTGACCATGATAAGTGGTTAAAGACAACTTCGGTCGGTGGCTGAGCTGCTCATCCGACGATGCTGAGTTGTTGCGTTTTGTACCGACAGCACAGCATCGAGTTTGTCGGGCATACAAGTGCTTCGTGAAACCCATGCGCCCATGATCATCAACAAATTTTCAACCCCATTTCTCTGCACCAAGCTCACGCCGGATCTATTTCTTGCCCGTCTTCTTCTCGGAGGTCTCCTTCAGCACCTTCTTGACGATCTTCTGCTCCTCGATCAAGAATGCTCGCACAATTCGGTCCCTTACGCAGTTGCCGCATCTGGAACCGCCATAGGCACGCTGAACAGTCTTCTTGGGTCGGGAAGTCGTAGAGTATTCTCGGGGTCGGAGAGCGGGAACCTATTCACGATGGGGAGTCAGACTTTGTTTCTCTCTTCAGAAATTGTGTAGCTTCCCCATTCTCCATTCATGATTGCATTCGGTGGCTAGATTGGCACTTACACCTGGGAGTTTGACACCGCAGTCACCGCATTTGGGCGCTGTCCCTCGCTTCTTGATGTGCAGAAGTCGGAGCTTGCCACCGGGGGTCTTGATGACACGAACGTTGTTCGAGGTGGTGTTGTAGCTACATTGCGAATCCAGTCAGCCATCGAAACAGTTCGCAGGAATCGGCAAATCGGCAGATCAGGGGACGATTGGAAACGTACGGGTTGCGGCGACGGTACTGGAGTCTAACACCTGCCATTGCGACGGTATTGAAGGCGCAACAGGAGAAACTGTATGAAGGGAACCGTGGTCTTGATGCTGTCGTCGAACCTCGAACCGGCGAAGCGCAAAATCATTTTCACAAAGTGCGGATAATCTTGGCAATGGCTGTCCCGATGTAGACTAGCGTGATATGCGGCTACAAATCCAATCACGTGACATGAGGGCCCGCGCAAAATGTTGCGGAGTAGAACTTCTCACATCGTGGGTGTTCAGGTTCACAGTTCGATCGTGGAACCCGCGACTTCATCATCCCCCATTCAAAAATCCCTGCTCAGCTGGATGGTCGGACCGACATACTGGACTGAATAGGGTTGCTTACGTGGCCGAAGCAGAGAGCAGGTGGCGCGTCATAAATGGTGAGCCATCTTGAAGTACATTTTCGAAGCGTGATCATCAATTCATCGGTTCTATCACAACAGACACTTCCCGCCACCTGACGGCAGGATGGCTTCAATTCCACCACCACCGCCTCCAGGATGGAGTGCCGGCCCTCCGCCGCCCCCTCCAGGCATGGCTCCGCCGCCAGGATACCGACCTCCCGTTGATCCGCAGGTTGCGAAGTTTTCACAGAAGAAAAAGGAATGGCTTCGTATCCAGCGCAATCGATTCGGGGAGAAGCGCAAGGGCGGCTTCGTCGAGACGCAGAAGGCAGACATGCCTCCCGAGCACCTGCGCAAAATCGTCAAAGATATTGGCGATGTCAGTCAAAAGAAATTCAGCAGTGACAAACGCAGTTACCTGGGCGCGTTGAAATACATGCCGCACGCGGTGTACAAGTTGCTAGAGAACATGCCGATGCCGTGGGAGAGTGCCCGAGAAGTCAAGGTTCTGTACCATGTCAACGGGTGCTTGACGCTCGTCAACGAGAGTCCACGAGTTATCGAACCCGTCTTTCATGCTCAATGGGCCACTATGTGGGTGTGTATGAGAAGGGAAAAAAGCGACAGACGACACTTCAAGCGCATGCGGTTTCCCCCCTTCGACGACGAGGAACCACCTCTATCCTGGTCGGAGAACATTGAGGATGTCGAGCCTCTGGAACCTGTCCAAATGGAGTTGGACGAGAGCGAGGATGGCCCGGTCTACGAATGGTTCTACGAGCATCGACCTCTATTAGATACACCCCATGTCAACGGCCCGAGCTACAAGAAGTGGAATTTGTCCTTGCCTCAAATGGCAACACTCTACAGATTGTCCCACCAGCTGCTGAGCGACGTGTCCGACCAGAATTATTTCTACCTCTTCGATCGAGAAAGTTTCTTCACAGCCAAAGCCCTTAATGTTGCTATTCCGGGAGGGCCGCGTTTCGAGCCTCTGTACAAAGACATTGACCCCAACGACGAGGACTTTGGTGAATTTAACGCAATCGACCGGATTATTTTCCGAGCACCCATCAGAACCGAATACAGAGTTGCATTCCCTTATCTATACAATTCTCTTCCCCGGAGCGTGAAAATTTCGTGGTACCATCATCCTCAGGTCGTCTATGCCAGGTCGGACGATCCGAACCTGCCAGCGTTCTACTTCGACCCGGTCATCAATCCAATCTCTTCAAGATCTGTTGCTCCGAAGAACATCACCATTAGTCATGAAGATGAAATCTTCGGCGCTGGTAATGATGAGGCCGACGATTTCGAGCTTCCTGGAAATGTCGAGCCCTTCCTGGCGGACGAAGAATTGTATACGAGCGAGACAGCTTCCGCAATCTCGTTGTGGTGGGCTCCTTACCCGTTCGACCGCAGGTCCGGCAAGATGGTCCGCGCCCAAGATGTTCCGCTGGTTAAGCAGTGGTACCTCGAGCACTGCCCGCAAGGACAGCCGGTCAAAGTGCGAGTTTCATACCAGAAACTGTTGAAGAGCTTTGTGCTGAACGAGCTGCACAAAAAGAAGCCAAAGGCTCAGAACAAGCAAGATCTGCTTCGCACCTTGAAGTCCACCAAATTCTTCCAGCAGACCACCATTGACTGGGTCGAGGCTGGCCTGCAAGTGTGCCGGCAAGGCTTTAACATGTTGAATCTTCTGATCCATCGGAAGAATCTAACGTATCTCCACCTTGACTACAACTTCAACCTCAAGCCTGTTAAAACCTTGACCACAAAGGAGCGGAAGAAGTCACGCTTCGGCAACGCCTTCCATTTGATGCGTGAGATCTTGAGGCTCACCAAGCTTATTGTCGACGCTCAAGTTCAGTACAGACTTGGCAATGTCGATGCTTTCCAATTGGCAGACGGCATTATGTATGCTTTCAACCACGTTGGTCAGCTGACCGGCATGTATCGTTACAAGTACAAACTCATGCATCAAATCAGATCGTGCAAAGATCTGAAGCACTTGATCTACTACCGTTTCAACTCTGGTCCGGTCGGCAAAGGCCCAGGGTGCGGTTTCTGGGCTCCAGCCTGGCGAGTTTGGCTCTTCTTCATGAGAGGTATCATCCCGTTGCTCGAGCGATGGCTTGGAAACCTTCTTTCAAGACAGTTCGAAGGCCGACATAGCAAGGGCGTTGCCAAAACAGTCACAAAGCAGCGTGTCGAGTCGCATTTCGATCTCGAGCTGCGGGCCTCCGTCATGGCAGACTTGATGGACATGATGCCTGAAGGCATTAGGCAGAACAAGGTCAATACCGTGCTACAGCATCTGTCGGAGGCATGGCGCTGCTGGAAGAGCAACATTCCTTGGAAGGTTCCTGGCTTGCCTGCACCGATTGAGAACATTATTCTGCGGTACGTCAAGAGCAAAGCTGATTGGTGGGTCTCTGTGGCACATTACAACCGTGAAAGAATTAGGAGAGGCGCCACCGTTGACAAGACTGTGGCGAAAAAGAACCTGGGCCGCTTGACCAGGTTGTGGCTCAAGGCAGAGCAAGAGAGGCAGCACAATTACCTGAAAGATGGCCCGTACGTGTCTTCAGAAGAAGCCGTAGCTATCTACACGACCACGGTGCACTGGCTTGAGTCACGCAAGTTCTCTCCTATTCCTTTTCCCAGCGTGTCGTATAAGCACGACACCAAGATCTTGATTCTGGCCCTCGAAAGACTGCGGGAAGCCTATTCAGTCAAGGGTCGCCTAAATCAGAGTCAGCGAGAAGAGCTGGCATTGATCGAACAGGCGTACGATTCGCCCGGAACCACTCTGGCTAGGATCAAGCGCTTCCTACTTACCCAACGAGCCTTCAAAGAGGTTGGAATCGATATGAATGACAATTACAGCTCGATCAACCCGGTGTATGATATTGAACCCATCGAGAAGATCACGGATGCCTACCTTGACCAGTACTTGTGGTATCAAGCCGACACCCGACACCTCTTCCCATCGTGGGTCAAGCCTTCGGATTCGGAGGTACCGCCATTACTGGTGTACAAGTGGGCGCAGGGCATCAATAATCTCACAAATGTGTGGGAAACCGCTGATGGCGAATGCAACGTCATGATTGAGACCCAGCTCTCCAAAGTCTATGAGAAGATCGATCTGACATTACTCAACCGTCTCCTCCGTCTCATTATGGACCACAATCTGGCCGACTACATCACGTCCAAGAACAACGTGCAGCTGAACTACAAAGACATGAATCACACAAACAGCTATGGTTTGATAAGAGGCCTGCAATTCTCAGGGTTCGTCTTCCAATACTACGGGCTGGTTATCGACCTGCTTCTCCTTGGATTGCAACGAGCTAGCGAGCTTGCAGGGCCACCTCAGAGCCCCAATGATTTCTTGCAATTCCGAGACCGAGAAACCGAAACCAAGCATCCAATCCGACTGTACACCAGATATATCGACAGAATTTGGGTCTTCTTCAGATTCACGGCGGAGGAGTCAAAGGATCTTATCCAACGCTTCTTGACTGAGCAGCCAGATCCAAATTTCGAAAACGTGATTGGTTACAAGAACAAGAAATGCTGGCCTCGCGATTCCAGAATGAGATTGATGAGACACGACGTCAACCTTGGACGGGCAGTCTTCTGGGATTTGAAGAACCGACTTCCCCGTTCTATCACCACTATTGAATGGGACGATACTTTTGCGAGCGTCTATTCGCGCAATAACCCCAACTTGCTGTTCTCCATGTGCGGATTTGAAGTCAGGATTTTACCAAAGATCCGCAATCTCGACGACGAGTTCCCCATCAAGGACAGCGTGTGGGCCCTTGTCAACAATGAGACCAAGGAGCGAACTGCATACGCGTTCTTGCAGGTCACCGAGGAAGACATTCAGAAGTTCAACAACCGTGTTAGGCAAATCCTGATGTCGTCTGGCTCCACGACCTTCACCAAGATCGCCAACAAGTGGAACACGGCTCTGATTGCCCTCTTCACCTACTACCGAGAAGCTGCCGTCTCGACCATCAATCTCTTGGACACCATTGTCAAGTGTGAGACTAAGATCCAGACTCGTGTGAAGATTGGCTTGAACTCCAAGATGCCTTCCCGTTTCCCTCCCGCGGTTTTCTATACTCCCAAGGAGCTTGGCGGCTTGGGCATGATCTCCGGATCTCATATACTGATCCCAGCCAGTGATAAACGATGGTCTAAACAAACCGACACCGGGGTGACGCACTACCGATCTGGCATGACCCATGATGAAGAAACGTTGATTCCCAATATCTTCCGCTATCTCACCCCCTGGAATGATGAATTTATTGATTCCCAACGAGTGTGGACGGAATATTCTCAGAAGAGACTGGAGGCGAATCAACAGAACCGCAGACTGACACTTGAAGATCTCGAAGATTCTTGGGATCGAGGTCTGCCACGTATCAACACCCTCTTCCAGAAGGATCGAAGCACTTTGTCGTTCGATAAGGGTTTCAGAGCCCGGACTGAGTTCAAGCAGTATCAGCTGATGAAGAGCAATCCTTTCTGGTGGACAAGTCAGCGACACGATGGCAAATTGTGGAATCTGAATGCCTATCGCACTGACGTTATCCAAGCTCTGGGTGGTGTCGAAACTATTCTCGAACACACCCTTTTCAAGGCCACCGCATTCCCGTCCTGGGAAGGTCTCTTCTGGGAGCGTGCTTGTCTAGCTTACGGGACTCTGTTACTACGCCATGATGGCTCCAAGGTCGCCGTCGAGGGTGTCAAGGAGGGAGATCTTTTGCTGGGTGTTGATGGTGGTGCCCGCCGAGCATTCAACATCGTCAAGGGAACAGATCGTCTGTATCGCATCAAGATCAGCTCTGACAAGGAGGATCTTGTCGTCACACCGAACCACATACTGGTTCTACATCGGGGAGCTGAGCGCTCCGATACGGTTGAGATGACCGCCGCCGAATTCGCCTCCTTGAAGTCAGCAGAGAGGGCCGAATACCGGCTCTTCACATCTCCTGCGGTCAATAGTTCCACCCCGCAAATGCATCGCTTTGCCGTCGAGGACATCACACTCGAGTCTGAGCCTACGAAGTGGGCTGGTTTCCGCGTCGACAAGGATCAACTCTACCTCCGCCACGACCACATGGTGCTTCACAACAGTGGCTTCGAAGAATCAATGAAGTTCAAGAAGCTCACCAATGCTCAGCGGTCCGGTCTCAATCAGATCCCGAACCGTCGGTTCACTTTGTGGTGGTCACCTACCATAAATCGTGCCAATGTTTACGTGGGATTCCAGGTCCAGCTAGATCTCACAGGAATCTTTTTGCATGGCAAAATCCCAACATTGAAAATCTCTCTGATTCAGATTTTCAGGGCTCACTTGTGGCAGAAGATTCACGAGTCGGTGGTCATGGATTTGTGCCAGGTTTTTGACCAAGAGCTAGAGCAATTGGGCATTGAAACGGTCCAGAAAGAAACCATCCATCCTCGAAAATCGTACAAGATGAATAGCTCTTGTGCAGACATCCTCCTGTTCGCGAGCCACAAGTGGAATGTCACTCGACCGTCGCTCCTCTTCGACACCAAGGATCAGATTGAAGCTACGACGACGAATAAGTTCTATCTAGACATACAGTTGAGATATGGTGACTATGATTCTCACGACATCGAGCGATATGTCCGGGCCAAGTATCTTGACTACACGACCGACAGCATGAGCATCTATCCATCCGCAACCGGCCTCATGATTGGCATCGATCTCGCCTACAACCTGTACTCGGCATATGGACAGTACTTCCCTGGACTGAAAGCTCTCATCCAGCAAGCAATGGCTAAGATCATGAAGGCCAATCCCGCTCTTTACGTACTGCGTGAGCGTATCAGGAAGGGTCTCCAATTGTACGCTTCCGAAAGCACTCAGGAGTTCTTGAACTCGCAGAACTACTCAGAGTTGTTCAGCAATCAGACTCAGTTATTTGTTGACGACACCAATGTATACAGGGTAAGTCCACGAGTTCTACTGAAGTCTATATTGATTCTAATGTGTATACAGGTCACCATTCACAAGACCTTCGAAGGTAACTTGACTACAAAGCCCATTAATGGAGCCCTATTTATATTCAATCCGAAGACGGGACAACTTTTCTTGAAGATCATTCACACTAGCGTGTGGGCCGGTCAGAAGCGTCTCGGTCAATTGGCCAAATGGAAGACAGCCGAAGAAGTTGCCGCACTCATCAGATCTCTACCTGTCGAGGAGCAGCCCAAGCAGTTGATTGTAACTCGCAAAGGTCTCCTGGACCCGCTTGAAGTCCATCTTCTCGACTTCCCGAACATTTCCATTCGGGCATCGGAGTTGCAGCTTCCATTCCAGGCGGCGATGAAAGTTGAGAAGTTGGCCGACATGATTCTCCAGGCCAAGGAACCCCAGATGGTGTTGTTCAATCTGTACGATGAATGGCTGAAGACCATCTCATCGTACACGGCATTCTCCAGGCTGATCCTCATCCTACGTGCCTTACACGTCAATACCGACAAGACCAAGTTGATTCTCCGACCTGACAAGACTGTTATAACCCAACCTCATCACATTTGGCCTAGTCTGTCGGACGAGGACTGGATCAAGGTTGAAGTACAGTTGAGAGATTTGATCCTGAACGACTATGGGAAGAAGAACAACGTCAACGTCCAGTCTCTCACCAGCAGCGAAGTCCGAGACATCATTCTAGGTATGGAGATCTCGGCACCTTCTCTGCAGAGACAGCAAGCTGCCGAAATCGAAAAGCAGCAGCAGGACCAGCAACAGTTGACTGCCGTGACCACCAAGACCCAGAACGTCCGAGGAGAGGAGATCATTGTTACAACCACTTCGCAATACGAACAACAGTCCTTTGCCTCCAAGACTGAATGGCGTACCAGGGCTATTGCCACCTCCAACCTCCGAACCCGGGCGAACAACATCTACATCTCTAGCGATGATATCCACGAGTCTGATGATTCATACACCTACGTTCTTCCCAAGAACGTCCTCAAGAAGTTCATCACGATTTCGGATCTCCGCGTCCAAGTGGCTGGATATCTCTACGGCTCGTCTCCACCCGACAACGACCAGGTCAAAGAGATTCGCACGATCGTCATGGTGCCCCAAGTGGGCAGCACGCGTGAAGTCCAACTGCCACATCAGCTCCCACAACACGAGTACCTGAAGACCATGGAGCCGCTGGGCATCATCCATACTGCCTCTGGGAATGAGCCGTCGTACATGACACCCCAGGATGTAACCATGCACTCACGTCTCATGGCGCAGCATCCATCATGGGACAAGAAGACCGTCACACTCGTCATCTCCTTCACTCCTGGCTCTGTTTCATTATCGGCCTGGTCGCTTACCCCGGCAGGTTATACGTGGGGCGCCAGTAACAAGGACACTCAATCTGACAATCCAGTCGGATTCTCGACCTCCTTTGGCGAGAAAACGCAGCTTCTGTTATCCGACAAGGTCCGTGGCTTCTTCTTGGTGCCGGAGAATGACAGTTGGAATTACAGTTTCATGGGGGCAAGCTTCTCCGCTGTCGAGAAGAGGCCGGTCTATGTCAAGATCGACACCCCACGGCGGTTTTACGAAGACAGGCATCGACCTATTCACTTCAGCAGCTTCAATGAATTAGAGGATATTTGGGCGGATAGAGAGGATGCATTTGCGTGATGCGGCAGTCAACAGTGGATACTGGACATTGGATGTGAAAATGTGTGTGGCTGATGAAACATATGTTGTAATAACAAGATTTCTCGAGTATGTACACCAAGTTCTCGTAACGTTGTATACAGTGTTCCCTCCTTGTTGCACTGAGGCCGAGCTTCTATGAGGAGGTTCCATGCCAGGGCTTTGGCTATGCTGATTGATCTCTTACGACTCGACTGCTGGGAGAGGGGGGAGGGGGGGCAGTTGGCTGAGAAGTAATCTCTATAATATAAATGCGGCCTAGGACTTTTCATGGCAACGCTCTTGATCAGACAGCACTTCCAGATCATGTTGTGGCTGTGAGGAAGCTCTGGCGAGTCAGCGGGTACTAATTAACATTCCTTGGAATTTGACACTTCAGTCTATTATATCCTATATCTTCTACCCTCTACCCACACATCTCACAAGTTTAAGCTGGGTGGCAACGGAAGTTCTTGGTGGCCCTCTCCTTGACTCCTTGCTCCTTGCACACCCTTGCCGAATATGTCGGAACCTCAAAATCAAGACAGACCCGCAGGCCAAACCACAATTTGACTCCTGACTCCTGACTCCTGACTGGCAATATCGTCTCCAGGCTCTGGCACGGGGTCATCACATGAAAAAGACCCATTGCACTGGCTCCGGCTCCAGCTCCAGCTCCAGCTCCAGCTCCAGCTCCAGCTTAGAAGATTCATATCCATTTGGCATACTTGCCGGCAGAAAAGCCAGCAACAGCAACAGTCAAAAAGGTCACCGTCCAGGCCATCAACCCCCTTCGCGCGCTGGCCTTCATGAAATTGTCCATGGCTTGAGCATCGTTCAGCTTGGGGAAGGGGACGTCCTTGGGGACTGGGACGCCGAGGATGGCGCACAGCGGCTCCCAGCCGTCACGCACGTCGTAGAAGAACAGCTTCTCCTTGGGCACGACCTTCTTGAGGTGCTCGATGTGTCGGTCCCACATCGCTCTGGTCGGTCTCTTGGGCTCGCCGGGACGAAAGTACAGTTCGCCGACGCGGCCATCATCCAAGGCATCGTGGTAGGTCCTGAACATGCGCAGCGTCGGCAGAGGGGCCAGAATCCAAGACAGAACGGTGAGGTTTCCCTTCTCGATGATGGGAGCCAAGCTGTTCCACCATTTATCGGGATCCCGGACGGTGCAGATGACTTTGGCATTGGGGTAGATGTCCATCAGTTCCTCCACGAAGGCGTTGGATGGCAGATCGGTGCAAGCGACATATCCACCCAGCATTTCCTTGACTCCTTCATGCACGGCTTCTCGATCCGTCTCATCTTTGACCGGCGTATGTCTTATGATTTCGATCCAGCGTTTGATATGTGACTCGGGCGAGTTGAGCATCTGTGTGCCTCCATGATAGCATGGGCCGTCGAGCAGGTACGAGCAAGCGACACCAAAGGACGTCGTTCCTGTCCTTGAGAGCCCGGCTCCGATGACTTGCAGGGACTTATCAGGGACCGGTTGAGACGCTGTCTGACCCATCTTGTCGGGTGATGATTGTATTCAACGCAACGAAACGGGCCAGGTGGGAGGTGAAATCGAGTCAACAAAAGAACTTTGATGTTGTGAAACAAGCTTCGGTGACAGGCAAGGCAAGCTTGTTCGACCCAGTGACATCTATCAAAGGCACATCAAGTTTTAACACAGCGCAAGAATGGGGATTGACAAGGACGATCGAAGAGGTAGAGGGTCGGTGCACCAGAGCTGGAAGCAGACCTTATCTTCTTTTTCAAAAGTGTCCCTGCGCTGCCTGACTTACCACACTCGTTCAAGAAAAGGTACGGATACAACCACGGCCAACGTGACAGACAGACATGGGGCAGCAATAAGATGGAACAATCTAACTTAACGGCCACCCACTTGATCCCTTCAGGCGCGACAAGATCCACTCTTGGAGCGCGCGACCCATCCCATGAAGGGATGCTGGAAATGGAAAAGGATCAAGACGGCCGCACCAGCTTCTATTTCCGCTGACCGCCTGGCGATACGGACGTTCTTGACCATTAGCCGTGGTCTGTGGCTGTTTGCCCAGGCTGACCTGCATCAAATCATACATATGTACCCAGGATCCGTGGAAGGAGAAAAGCTGGGCATTCCGCTGCTGAATCCTCAACTAGCGGGCCTCTGCTGCCTTGATGATGGGGGGCCATAGTCTACGGAGATGGGACCAGGACGTTGTGCAGTGGTGACTCTACTGTAGGCCTCTGTACCTCTTCACGCTGACGTGGGAATGAGCATAGGCATCCTTAAGGCTCTTGTTCGCCCTCGTTCAGACAGAAGACGAAACAACAAAAACACACGGAGGATTGAGTACTCCTCCTACTCCGTACGAGTACAGGGCGAGCCGCGTCGATCAACCATCGCATCGCACCAGCAGTCCTTAAGGCTTATGCACTGTGGAATCAGCCGTCAGACTCCGACCTATTGGCTGCAACAGGCTGGCAATAAAGTGGAAAGTGGAAAGGGGATAACGTCAGGACCCAATGGGGCGGCCACCGACAGCCGAAAGGTTCACAGAAAAGGAGATGGAAATCAGCTATCTTGCCGATCCCTGGCACCACCTAGGAGTGAGAAATCTCTAGACCAGCCCTTGCATGTGGTAAGGATCAAGGAGTTCCTATCTGTGTCAGTGTCTGCCTCTAACTCCGTAGTCAGGTTGGGACCGAGCCAGGTCCAACAAGTCGGTCGGTGTTGTCCATATCTCCCAGGGACTTTAGCAGTCTTCGTCATGGTGAAATTCGCGGCTTATGGATATGCCATGGCACATTGAATTCGCTGTCAACGGTCAGAGAACCCTCTATGCCCATTGCCGTATGCCTATGCCTATGCCTACTGCCCTTTGTCGCTACGAAGGATGGAAGGCCAAATCTCCCCGGAAATGAAATCTGCCTACGGAGTACGGATACATACATGCCTTGGTCGGCTGCCACGAGAGATCCCTGCAAATCGCAAATCGCAGGGGTAGGCTACCACTTAGCGAGCCGACTACCTGCCGACTGCCTGCCGACTGCCGGTCAACAGCTCCAAGGTTCCAACCATCGTTGCAGAGCAGAGAAGAGAGTACCACCCCATCCAATGTCCATCAGCAACTGCTGCTAATTATTGTTATTTCGCCTGAAGTGAAGCTACACAAATATCTCACTCCATGTGTGACGAGGAGACTTGATGCAACTGACAGGGACAGGGACAGGGCCCAAGCCAGGGTTTCCAATACTACCTATGTATGCTCTGTACGTATTTGCACAAAGTCCTCGGTATCTGGGTGAACTGGCTGAACTGGCTGGAGAAGCTGGCACCTTTCAGCACGAGACTCCTCTTTGGATCGACCGCCACGGGCCACGGAGAGATCAGGCGAGAAAGTAACGAACGGACCACGGCCCTGTCGACAAAGACAACGACAACGCTAGAGAGGTCCTAACATCGAGGAACCCTGCCATATTTAACATGCTAAATTACCCAGGAACTGCCTTTGCCGGTATCATCTGTGGAAATTACTACATGTTGCTCTTGCTCTTGCTCTTGCTCTTCGTTCAATTTACCCGGATCTGCAGAGTACAGAGTACAGAGTCCAGAGTACGTGCTGATAGCCAGGACGCAGGACGCCCCAGGGGTTGGGCAACACCACGAAAGGCGTCCCGGACGTACATGCACATATGCAGTAGTGTGATAGAACCACGGAGAGAACCTTGGCTCACCGTGAGGTCAAGGTCAAGCGTCATAGAGATAAGGCGGACATGGACGAACCACCCGTCGAACAATTGATGTGTACGGAGAACGGAGTATGGATTTCCTAGATAGACCAACCATGCTAGGTATGTAGTAGGTATCTCGAATCATCCATCCCTGTACTCCGTACTCCGTATTTCTGGTTGCATGCCTCTTGACAAGGTGTCTTAGCGCAAGTGTAACTGCCGACGGCTGATCTAGGAACAATCCGTAGGGCGCCTTTGGGTACGGATAGATTGTACGGAGTACCTGTACCTGTACCTGTACGGAGTATCAGGTTCTACCTTCACCTCGTTAATAGAGTACGGGATCGGGGCCTGAGGGTTGTAATCGTGTGGCCTTGTCTGTGGTGTCTCTGTTTTCTATACGTCGGAGATCTACAGTACCTACGCCTAATGATACTGAGTGATGGTGAATCTACCAGCCAGCTAAGAAGTGGTTCGAGTATGTTGAGGCTGTACGAGTATGGAGTACACATACATAAGTTCCATGTCTGCCTGCTTGGCCGTGACAGTCTCCTGCCGTTAGCTCCCGCTCCCGTCGTTTGTGCAGGGCTACAGAAGGACAACTCCCCCACAAACAAGGAGCAGTCAAATCGAAGTAGGTAGTTTCGCTGTCACAGATACATATACCTATACCTATACCTAGGTATACATCTACTGTTCATGTAGTAGTCGTGGTCGGCCCTAGGCCTATTTATAATACTGAGTGAATCCATGCTCGATGCTAGAACCATTCTGGATTCCGGAAAACGGTCAGTCTCGGCCGGGTTTCAAATTACGCCCGACGTTGCAGTTGTACAAGTATCACTCAGCAGCAGGAACGCCTTGGCCTTGGTGGCTTCACCATCCCCTTCCAGTTCTTGGAGGATGCGCAAGAATGTGTCAGTCTCCAGCACTGTGTTAGGGTCGGCCCTCATGATCCTGTCCAAGTCCTTGATGGATCAGGCATCGACGTATTTCAGGATCTTGTCTCGCCGAACGTTGGCGTACACATCCAGGTCGTCTTGGTCAGCCTGACCTTGGTACATGCCCATCAGACGGTCTGCTAGAGCGCCAACGTCGACGACCGCGGTCATACAGCCAAGGCCGCCGAATAGGTTACACGCATGAGCAGCACTGCCGTCAGGAGCATCCTACCCACTCTCATTTGGTCGACACAACGGTTGTGGGTGCGAATTGATCGGTCTGAGTGACCCCGCAATTCCGGGGTCCGGACTCTCAGGTAGGATCTTCTTGAAGGCTGTCGCCCGTTGCTGAAGATACTCGTCGCCGGCGAGGCCGCTTTTGTCTCCATAGGTCACGCGCCAGAGATCTCCCTTCCCACGTTTGACCACAAGACCCCAAACCTCGGGGTCGGCGATATGATTGCCTCCATCCCAGCCATGCCTCTCGAATCCGTCGTACCAAACCTGCCGCCGGTGTCAGTTGATGTGACAGAAAAACCAAGGACTGATGCGACCGAACATTCTGGACTAAAAGATGACAGTCAAAAGGTTGTCCAGGCCACTCACTCCCCTCCGAACAAGGCTTTTCTGACAGCGCTGGTGGCGCCGTCACAGCCGACGACATAATCAGCGGTGAACCTCTTTTCTCTTTGGCTTCTTCTCACTCTCCGGGCTCGACATCAACCCAGGCGCCGTCCTGGTCTTGACCTGCATCAGTTACTCTATGGTTGAACTTGACCTCGACCAGTCCATTACCTTTCTCATGCATTGTCAATACATGACTTGGATGATCTGGGACAGCAGCAGTGCAAGCAAGATCCCAGCTGGGCCGGCGCCTACGATGATGATCTGTTTAGTATGAGCTTCAACTATTCATCGCCAAGAACAGTCGGGGTGAAGTTGATCACAATTTACCTACCTTCTCAAATGCTGTCTCTGGCTTTAGTCATCCAGTGTTCAGTCTTCATCAAATCAACTCCACTGACTGCTTAGGAGCCATACGAACACTATATATCGCTTGGGCGGACCGACAAGTTTGCCCTTCTATCAAGCCAACCGCACGTCCGGCTCACCGGCGATTCGCCGAACACCAATGTCTTTTTTGGTGAATGAGAGCGAGTCATAACTTACCTCATACAAAATCATTACATGTTGAGATAATTGATCAGCTGCAAGACTCTCCAACCGCATATTGACCATCGCTGTGTCTGGAGCACAACCGTATACCGGTAAATAATAAGTCAAGGCATGTTGTATGTTCTAGCTGGCAATATGAGTGGGCAAGTGCCGACCGGTTCTTTGACCAAGGCTAACGGCCATCACCCTGGATATGGAGGACTCAGGACACTGCAACCGGGCCTGGCCCTCCTCCTGAACCGTGCTCTGAAGCCGACGCCATCTGATTCGTTGGGTGGGCGAGAATACAACTGAAACCCCTGAGTTCGCCACGGATGATCTGGGGACGCCCAGCCGATGGGGCGAATAGAAGAGCCGGGCAGTGTCAACACCTAGGCTGGATCGAGTATAACGGGCCGTCGAAGGTGCCTGGATGTTTCACGCGCCGCGTCATTGCAGGGCTGGGTGTCTGGTGGTGTTATGTATGAAAACCTCCTCTCCTGTCTCTTCAGTGTCCTGGCCCAGTAACTACTCGTCGGCCAGAATGGCATCGTTTGCAAGGAGCATAGAGGAAGACGGCAGTTGTGGTCAGATCAAGAGGTCACTGAAAACTCCGTAAAGTGTCAGGTGTTGGATGTTGTACTAATTGAATGATGCGAGATGGTTGTATTGTTAGTAACATTTTTTGCCTGCGCTTTTTTGGGCCTTGACCAAGTTGGTAGACTGCGGCCTCCATCTCTCGATCTTGCTTCTTGCTATTCTCCGGCCTGTTCCATTGTAACATGATATTTCTTCCATCCTCTCCTTCGCAGTGCATGGTTTTCTTGCTGTGTGTTCTTCCCTCACAATAACAGCAGACGCCATCCTTCACTCTCGCTCACTGGTGACCCTTTATTCCAAGTCATTCGTTGGGGTGCCGGTTTCTTTGTCCAATCTCCCAAAGCATTCGACCTTCGGTCCGTTCGCTCTCACTCAGCCACAATCCGCCGTCATTGACGAAGCATTTTCTGTACGACCTGCTGCTGTACCTCTAAGGCCAACTGGAGTGCCGATTCTTAAAACGCCGCCTTTTATCCACGACTGCATACGATCGAACCCCTGAAAAGTTGAATACATCACATACACAATGGCAGGCCGTGTCCTGCATTCCCTCGCCCTCCTGGCCGTGGTGGCGCCTGCAGTGCTCGCCGCAACGACCTGTGGTGGCGGCACCTTGTGCCCATCAGATACGCCCTGCTGCTCACGTACGTCTGGACTACTCTGCCGGTTGACAATATGAGACTGATGGTACTTGATAGAATACGGCCAATGCGGTGTTGGCGCCTACTGTCTCGGAGGCTGCGACCCGGCCAACTCGTTCAGTCTCGATTCCTGTGTTCCCGCACCTGTTTGTCAGTCTAAGACGTACTCTTTCGACAACCTTGATGGCATAGTTGCCAACACCAAATACCTCGGAGACTCGAGCAAGGCCGACTGGGTCTCGTCCGGCACGCCCTTGTCCTACAATGGTGCGGTTTTGTTGACCATGGCTCAAGACACTGTTGGCACGCTATTGGCTAGCACACACTACGTCTGGTATGGAAAGGTATCTGCCAAATTCAGCACTTCCGCTGGTGCCGGTGTGATCACTGCCTTCATCTTGCTCGGGGACTCCAAGGACGAAATCGACTTCGAATTCGTCGGTGTCGAGTTGGAGAGTGCTCAGACCAATTTCTACTCGCTGGGCATAACAAACTGTAAGTCTATCCCCAGTTCTCTCATGGGTGAATTTCTCTGACCGATTTTTCCTCCTAGACAACAATGGCGAAAACGCTACCGGTCTGTCCGACGTCCACGAGAACATGCATGAGTATGAGATCGATTGGCAGCCTGACACTATCACATGGTCTATTGACGGGAAAGTGGTCCGAACCCTCGACCGCGAGAGTACCTGGAATGCCACTTCGAACCGCTATTCCTATCCTCAAACGCCCGCTCGAGTGCAGCTGTCGCTCTGGCCCGGTGGTCTTGCTAGCAACGGCGAGGGCACCATTGAATGGGCCGGCGGTCTCGTGCAATGGGACTCGCCTTACATGACTAACGGGTACTACTATGCGACCTTTGACGAGGTATCGATTGAGTGCTACGACCCTCCTTCTGGCGCAAACGTCAATGGTACCAAATCCTACATTTACACCGACAAGAGCATGACCAACAGTACGGTGGAGATCACAAACGACAACACCATTCTCAAGTCCTTCTTAGCCACCGGTACCAATATGTCAGCCGGTTATGCAAGCAGCTCGGCCAGCGCAAGCGGGACCGCCAAATCCAGCGATGTCGCGACCATCCCGGGTCTAACAGGTGCAGGTCCTGGTACCAATGGTCAGCGCGGAGACAACTCATCGGACAGCAGTGACAGTGCCAGCAGCAGCGTCTCCGGATCGGCCACTGCCAGCGCCACAGGCAGTGCATCGACCGGTTTTGTTCAAGGTGACGGTGGCTCTGGCTCAAATGGCGCCGCTCAATACGGCGGTAACAGCGAGTCTGTTCTTCGAGGCAGCCTGTTCGCTGTCGTTGTTGCCCTTGTGGGTCTTTGCATCATGTGAATGTGATCTATGCAGGCATCCTTTGCATTTTTAATGTGCTTGGGCGGATCTGCACCGACGCCCAATGTCACTGTGTTATTTGGGTTGGGCCGGATCACTTTTTGCATGGCGACGGTATCGGGATCGGACGGCGTGAGAATCGAGTGAAATTAACGGCATTCGCGTTCTACGGATTGGCAGCTACAGGTACTGGAGGATCTGCATATGCCATGGGGTGTAATCAAGGAAGAATACAAGTCATTCATGCATTCTTGGGACATGCCGCCAGAGTGTTTGCTCGACGAAGTACGAGCCGTGTAAGATTCCACATTAGATAGTACCCTCTCTGTGTATGGTTGTCACAGGCTCAAATATGAGATTGAAAGATGAGTTCGCTCCTAACCTCAGCGCATCTGGCGACCCGAAGACTAGTTCTTGATGCGGGTTTGCAGCCTGTAAGTGGGAGGGACTGTGTGTGGCTTTGGCCGCATGAGAATTGATGAAGTCATTCTGACTACAATAATAAAATTACGGGCAATGGGCAGAAAGCCAGGCTACGTTTTTGCTCTTTGACATCCACCTGCAACGATTCTCCAGCTCCATCGCTATTCTCAAGAAGGGCGAAGATCAGATTGCCATCTTCCGCAAGCTGGTGCTGTCTTCCACTCCGTCGTCGAAATCTGGCCATTGTGCATCGCATGCACTATCCTGGACTGGGTTGAACTCAACCGCCCCGGCCGGTCGAGTTACGATTGACTTCTCAATCGTCGCGGTGTAGGGCTCTCTGAACCACAATTCGCGTCTTAAAGCGAAGCATAGGACTACGGGGTCTCTCTGTGCCACGCCCGAACAGAACAGGCTCGAGCGAGATCACGACCGAGTCTACCAGACCTGTGTGCCACCACAACAGCTCTCCCAACGACTCCAGGGCACTCTCCCGGCCTATATTACTCAACTACAGAGTATCCTGCCAGAACAAGCTCGCCTCCGCCTGTATTGCCAACATGCGCGCCCCATCGACCGACCTGCTCAGGGTCCTGCGTCTCGCTACAATCCCACTCCCACCTTCATCAGTTCCTCGGCCAGTCTGTCTTTCAGCACGGCGGATCCCTCAATCCTCGAGTCTATCGCCACATCGCACCCTCCATGCTTCCTCTCGCGTCCTCGCGGCATCTGAGGGAAGCCGAACCACAAGCAAGGGTACGACCGCGACCATCAATACCACCTCGGGTACCTCCAACAGAGGTGCTGCTCGTCCATCTTTCCGAGCACACCCTATCAACCCGCGAGCTCCCAAGACACACGACCGTGGCCCGGTCTCGGAGGAAGACACTCAGACGGATTTTGCAAAGATGGATATCCTCGCCACCGCTGGTGCCGCGACCCCCGCCACGGCCATTGATGCGTGTATCCATGACGGGTTCTACTTGAACAACGGCGTTCAGACGAGTGGCGGGTTGGGCGTTTTGCTGCTCGATGGGGAGGCGTTTGTATGGGCGCCGTGGAATGGGAGTAGCATCACGGGAACAAACGATACGGACGACAAGACCAACACAAACACAAATACACGCGGTGGATCTGATGGATCTACGACGGCAGGGTTTGGCAAATTTCTCGACCGCCGTGGCATCCTTACGCTCCCGCCATCGTCACTGGGCATTTTCGAACTCGTCTACCCGAAACCCGATCTGTTGATTATCGGCACCGGAAGAAAATTGTGGATGCTGGGCCGCGAAACGAGGCAGTACCTGTCCGAACAGTTGGGAATCAAGGTCGATATCATGGATACCGCCAACGCCGCGGCTGCATATAACTTGCTTGCGACGGAGAGGGGTGTCACGGAGGTGGCCGGGTTGATGATTCCGGATGGGTTCATGGGGTTGTGATATACACGGTAAAGAGTGAACTGCAATTGCTTGATAGAGGGGTGAGATCGTCAAACTTCTCAGTTGGGTGAACTTATGGCATGCCATGTCTTTGAGAATGGGAAGCAGCATGACAACAACAAGAGTCTGTGATTGACCTGCCCCATGGATTAGGCCAGACCAGACGATCTCAGAGCTTGGAAGTTAGAAGCCGACGGACAGTCACGGCAGATACAAGGATGCAGGGACGAAGTACAACGGGCCTTTGCTAGCCGAAAGCACAAGCCGACTATCAAGGGATTGTCAATACGTGGTCGCGGTCGACAACCGTCATTGACTCTGAGTAGTCAAGCAAGAAAATAGAAATACCCAGCCTGAGGGATCCAAGAACCACCACTCCCCTCTGTAACCGCAACGGAAATTGTAGTATGAATCCCATTATACATACTCCATACTTGCGTCAAATCAGTCGGCCCCCAGCCTATATATGTCACACGTTTGACTCGTTCTAGGTACCTAAGGTAGGTAGGTATGGGCTCCTCACCTGACGGTCAACTTAACCCGAGAGATCCCTTTGACCCTGTTCTGTTAGAGAGATAGCGATTCCGATTCGGTTCTCCAGACCGGTCCAGGCGAAAAAGGGGGTTCAACAGCCTGAATTCTTCCAGCTGAAGTTTAGTAGTTTCGCCTTAGCCGTTCGCAACCACTTCATCCAGCACCTTCTCACCACAAAAGTTGAATTTTGCTGTAACCTGTTACTCCGAGACCGGTGACGAATAAATCTTTATGGTCTTCATCCGTGGCCGTCATCCGTGGCCGTCATCCGTGGCTGTCTCTGACTTGAAGTCCATGCTTCCACCGTCCTCTACTTACTCCGTACTTACTCTGTACTTACTCCGGACGGACGGGGTCACGATCACGGTCACGATCAAGGCCACCGTCACGATCACGATGATAATAGGTCTCGGTTGGACAATAAATCTTGATTGAAAATACCATGAGTCCATGGTCATAGATAGGTGCCCTGCTCCCTTGCTTCGTATCTTCATCTGATATTCCAATATTCGTCCCACATACACACACGCGGTTTACATCACACTTCCTCATCCGCATTCACTGTCCCTCAACTACCATCGTCACCTGTACACTGGCTCTCTCTCAATGATATTTGCGCCGCCATGTCTACCTCTAAGCTCAACTCCAACGCCATTCCTGGGCCTCCTCTCTTCTACCCAGTGGGGCTGATGTCCGAACCAAACTCTTTCACGTCGCCCCTGGCTATGGCCGTGACCATGACCGTGACCATGACCGTGACCGTGACCATGACCATGGCCTACTCTCCTCTCCACAAATCGTTCTGCACGCAAGCCTCGGCCCCGTCCTGGTCTTGGTTCGCGCACAACATGCACAGGCTCCGGCCTGACTGGAAATTCCCTGGCCATGATGATCTCCTGCCATGGTAGCCCGGTCGGTAAGTATCTGGGTGGCTGTCTCGTTCGGATTTGCGCCCGTCCTGGGCGCCGTGCAGTGCGAGAGATGGCTAAAAGATCGTCGGGTGGAATTCGGATGACTTCGCGGCGGTCATCGTGGTCGTCGCCGCCGCAGCCGCGGAATATGCAGTATGCCGCTGCCATCACAACTAGGATGCAAACAACGATGGTGATGGGAACCCAGACCTTGACGGAGTTGCCTTCAGGCATTTTTGACCAAAGCTAAGCTGTCTAGTAAAGGTGGAACTTGGTCGACTGGACCAGAGGACTTTTCCTGATGCTTGTTGCCAAATCCCACCAGCCAGACAAGTCAATTGAATCAGAGGCAGATGATCTTCTCAAGCCCAATACACACGACGATGGCCATGCAACTGGGAGAGCCGGCTGGTTGACAGGCTATATCCTCTGGCGAAACAAACGGTTGCCATGTAGTTTGTTTGTGGACCATGGAACGGTCGGGATGTTCAGTTGTCATCAAACAGTGTTGGTCTACCACAACAAACATGATGTCTTGTATAATAGCACCTGAGAGTCGCGGCGCATCATGAAGCCCATTTGTGCAACTCTTGCCATCAACTCATAGATCGAAGGGGGGTGTCTTGCCCGATCCGATATAGAGAGATACAAATAATCGGAATCTTCCAGATTGATGATATCACCTATTGCTGGGGCCATGTTCGAGTAGGGAGGTTGCTCGATCGACCTTATCCTTTTGTATTCCCTTGCGAATGATCGCCCTGTTTTAATCGCTTGGGCCTTCTCTCGATACTCTATCTTTCCAAACCATCTGGACTGGTGTGTGACATGGTAGCATCTGAGGTCCACAAATTCAATCAGTAAATCATGTCTGGGTAACACTCCGGCATCTCTGGCTGATAAACGTTGGCAAAATCCACCTCATTGACCGCCCCATATGCGAACGCATCAAGTGCCACGATGGGGTTGAAATCCGATATGTTGTACATATGTTGATTGAGGTCATGTTGTGGATTTGGATACACATTCTGGCTGTGTGACTGAGTTGTTTGCCGGGGTTGATATCCACGGACCTGCATCTGGATATCCTCCTCCGGGGATCGGGGCTTGCAATCTATCTCTTCTTCCTCAGATGTTCCGCCGATCGTCTCTGGCGAGCCTGGAGTTGGGAGCAGTCTCTTCTGGCTAGGACGCCGCTTCGGGCCCACCGTGTGTGAAATGTGATCAAAGGAAATGTGGTCGAACGCTGGGATGTCATTATAAAGTTCAGGATACTGTTGGAAGAAATCGGGGCCCATCGCCCAGGATCTGATATCTGTAATGCGCTGGTCGAACGTGCGTGAGACCTTGTACAACCCTGTTTCAACTTCGCGAGTATAGCAATCCCGGAATTCGTAAGGCCACAGCAGTCGCAAACTCTTGCACAAACCATACCAGAAATCGTTCCCACAATAGTCGTGCTCGTTGAAGACGAAACGCTCCCGGATTCCAGGCCAGGGGAAATAGTCAATCGCATACGAGTGGGCAAGGTTCTGGGATGGTCGGCGCATATACCATGGCGGTAAACGTGAGTAGCGCTCGGTAGTGGAGTCGGTATGGAACTGGAGAAGCAAGTGCATAGCTCTCAATATGGCCAAACGAGCGGCCTTGGGGCTTCTCGCGAACAGCGACTCGTCGATACGCCGCAAGATCTGCCACGAAGGGTGTAGAGGACCCCTTCTTACGACGGCGTCCCAACCCTCGACCATTGCTCGGACTGGTACATCGTCGGCTTGTGCGTCTGATTCAGGCCCAACGTTGGACCATTCAAAGCGCTCAGACAATACCTCATTGAAATATTTCCAGTAATTCCCCTGCCAAACAGCACGATGACCTGGTCGGCGGTCGCGGCCGCGGCCGTGGCAGCTGGTGCAAGAACAAGCTTGCCTAGGCGCAGCCCAATAGTCTGCGTAACGCAGAGGAGTTAGAGGATCCGGCTCACGAGCTGCCTTTGCCTGTACGAGCGCTTGACTTGGCGGCAACAAGCTGCCGTTGTCCAAACGTACAACTTCCGGGGCATGCTTGAGAGGAGGGGAGTGGATGGCTAGGTCGAAATTGTGCATTGGGATGTTGGCTGGCCAGACGGCGGCGCCCTCGGCCTTCAGGGGAGGCGGCGCATCATCGGCGAAGGAAGTGAGACTTGGTTTGCAGTCGACATGTGGGTTGATGGATGGCACGAGTGACTGGGAGCGGTTGCATTCCAGCGCCTGCTCAAGTTCCTGTTCCTTCTCCTTCAAGGGTTTGTGCATGTCCATGGTTTTTTGGATCTCCTTCAAAGCCTTGGCCATCAGCTCTCGTTCCGCCTGCACCTCTTGCAACTGCGCCATCAAGGTGGCCACTTGGCCGCTGGAGTCCTGCCGCCTGAAGTCCTCGACGAGACCTTCCAGGTAGGCAATCCGCGTCTTGGTGCGTTCGCGAGCTTGCCGCTGACACCGTCGGTCGATCTCGCGCTTCTTCAAACGTCGAGAGGAGACACCTTTGTTGTCCCTGGACTCGGCGGATTCGACAGGGCTGGACATCTGTCCGCTGGGAGGGGTATCAGGATTCATGATGTCGAGGGCCAACAGGTTTGTGAGGGTAGCGAGGTCGCAGATAGAGTGAAGGATGCGGGTCTACAAGAGGGAAGACGGCATGCTTGAGCGGAGGTGTGCTCCTTCGAGTCAATACGGGCAAATGCGGAGAAGGGGAGAGGTGGGCAGGAGTGCTGGTATATGTGGTGGTAGAGAATGGCGGTATGGCTTGTAATGGCACGAGAGGGCTAAAGGGCCTGAAGCCTGATAAGCCTAAGGAGCCCAAGCCCAAGCCACTCGGGGCCGCGGGCGGTCAGAGGCGCCGGGGTGAGATGGGGTTATTAGGTCCAACTGCAACCCCATTTGCCGATGGCGCCAACCCCGGAACCCAGAGTTCAAGCGGCGTCGTTTCTCTCTTGTCTCTCGTCTCACGTCCCTCGTCCCTCGTCTCCCGTCTCTTGTCTCTCGTCACCGCGCCGTGCATCACCCACCCACCGTCCAGTTGTGGAGGTCAAGGTTGTGCAGTGTGCAGTGTGTTGCTCGCCCATCTTCCCTTCGTCAGCGTGACAGCGCGCCGCCTTCACCAGCTCAGCATTTGACAGGAGGGGCAGACGCAATCATCCCAGAACTCAAACTCGGGCCGCGGCCTCTGGTATTGGACCAGCCCGGTCGCCTAATCGCCCAATCGCCCAATCCTCTATTAGGCTGGAGGTTTCTTCTCCCAGCGTTGCCACCCATTGGTCTTCGGTTGGAAGGGAACGGTCGTCAACTCACATGCCATCATCGACAGCTGCTGCTGATCACAAAGTCCCTCTCTAGGGCAACAGACATGGCGATCTCAACAATATGCTTCAGGCCAGTCAGCCTTGTCGATTCATACGGGCATTCGGTTGCCCTCGCACCGCCGAGGCCGCGAGACGGTGTATGTCGAGAGGTGTCGTTTGCACCCAAAAAAACGCAAAGACCAACATGCGCGACAAAGCCTAGAAAGAGTTCAGGGCGCCCATATGAATCAACAAGCCGGCTATCTTTGGCGGCTCTTGCCAATCTACTCCGTATAACACAGAATTTTTCTCTCTCAAGACCTTGTTAAGCTTTGCACCATGGTTTGCTTCTCATAGACCCTTCTTGTGGTCGGCAACCCGACGTCACGGCCGACCCGGTCTCCCATCGGCCTACTGTTACATTTATCAACCATGGCATACGAAGTCTTTATCCGTGTCTCCAATCGTAAAAGGATGTCTTCTGCCATGTTCGGCCCAACAAATTGGTAGCCGCTTCACCATCTTGTTCAGTTGCCGAACTGGTGGCTGCAGTGGGATTGGTTCCACTGACCAGGGATACCCTGTTTCGATCCCATCTGCCACCACTGCTGCCTTTTCTTTTTCTTGGCCTATTCCTGGTGTGCCGGGTGTTGCGCCGAACATTCACCTAAACCGTTGTAAATGGCACTCGTAGCCTCAACCAGCAAGAGGACGTTCTGATTAGGTAGTTGACCATGCTTAGTACATATTGGGGGCAATCTAGCTGTGCCAAACTCAAACTTCACCCTCGGAGCTCTGCTGCGTCCTCGATGCATATTGTTTCTCCTTGAATTGTAGGCATACTGTTTCTTCTTGATCTCAATCTCTCAATCTGTAGGAAGCCTTGCCGTAGAGCAAACATGGCTTGATGCGGTCTCCCTTTCCACATGCGCCCGTGATTGAATCACACAACACAGTTATAACATCGTGGCGCACAAAATCCCTATACAATTCACCCCTTCGGCGGTGTAGTGCAGTGGTTTAGCATCTCCTCCCCCCATCCAGAGGCTGGATAACGGTGCTATCTGGGGAAGAGGATGACCTTGGTTCGAATCCGAGCTCCGCCATTACCAGGTTGTTGTTTTTTTTGGTCGTGTTCCTTGTTGACCCTCCCTGTTCTCTCCTGCCCTCGGACTTCCACAAGACTGGTGAGCAGCATCGAGCGGTCGAGCAGAGGTCCATGACTCAAGGAAGGCCATGAGGCATGGTTGGAAATGGAGCTCGAGGATCAGCACTGGGCATCACGAAAGAAGCATCACTGATCACTGCACTGTCCACCTGATCCACCAGCCAGAGTGATCACAATGAACATAACACATTTCGAATTCTTGCCTTGGTTTTGTGTATGCAAACGAAGCGCGACACTGGAGGGCCTAGGTCGACGTGATGTAGAGGAATCAAAGACGGAGAGAGGCGATCATCCAAAACGAGACCGCATAAATAATGGGACAATCCCCACTTGGAGACATGATTTATTTCAACGTCAACCATGTATTTCCATCGCCAGCTCACTTACAGTCAACCCCCTCGCACTCATCTTGCAGTGTCATCTTACGTATTCATACCGATTCTGCTAGATGATATCGAGCAGCCAGCCATCTATGGAACGTCCAGATCGCTCGCAGGCTGATTCCACACACTAAACTTCCCAGGTCCTCGCAATTTGATCCCGGCTTGTATCCCTTCGCAATGGCTGATTCATTGCGCCGCGACATAATGGGCTGCAGGGTGATAGATCCTGTCGACAGGATTTATATATCATCTGCGCCAGGAATAATTGACGTCTTCGAATACCGAAAATCAGCGCTTTCTCTGGACGGTTTGCCAACCATCTGAGTCGGTCCCCTTTCTACCACGAACGACTGTCCCCGGTACAAACTTTGGAGCGCTCGGATTGTAGGGTCGAGCATTTGATGCTGATTTATTGCTGTTACTCCGGTCGCGCGGAGAGATTCCAGGATACGGGATCTGGGTGATCAAATTCATGGGCCGTTCGCAGGGGTCATGCGAGAAGCCCACTTGGACATCGTGGTATGGCCCTTGTCGCCTGGACCGACGAATGAATTCGTCGCGAACGATCCGAGCAATTACCGTGGAAGAGAAAACTGCAGTTGCTGCAGAACTCCGTCAGATCTGCCGATGTTGACGTGGAACCCAACTTACCGTTCCCGGTGTTAAACAACCACACCAGCTCCACATTGTGTCGTCCCACCATTTCAGTCAGATCCTTTCTGAATCGCTCCTCAGTCATGCCATTGGTGAAAAGTTGTTGACGAGCAAATGTGAGGCGACGTCGCTCGTTGGTGGGTGCTGCCATGCGCTGGAGGTCGACGTTTTCTGGGTATGGCTCTCCATATTTGATCGAGAGACCTGGGCCAAACACACCAACGCCCAAATCCCGCAGGGACTGTGAATTTTCATCCATAAAGACCATGGCTGCGCTGGCATACTGGAATATAACGCAGACCGCGCCATAATCTTCGACGAAGGCCATGGAAAAGATGGCCCCCGTGCTGATCCGATCCGTGATCGAGCTCAGAGGCCTATCCTTGGTCCACCCATAAATCCATAGGCAACGGTAGTCCTCCTCTTTGTGTTGGGCCAGGGCTTCTTCATTGGTAATGTGCCTCTTCAACCCATCAGAAGGTCGGAATTTAACCAGTCGATTGTTTCGTGGTATGTCCGTAGCTGCGACGGCTGCCCAGGTGGATACATTGGATCTTGCATCAGAGGGAGTTGTAGTCCGAGTGAGTGTGATCTGTTGACTTCTTGGTGCAGGTGCGGGCTTCATCTGGAACTTTTCCATGTCCCAAGGAGCGGTAGTGTGATTGAACGTGTCAAGCATAGAGTGGACGTCGCGTGCAATATCATTCGCTGCTTCATTTTCACCCTCGCCTCGAAGCTGGAAGTAATTAGTCCAGCAAGTAGCAAGGGCGGAAGAACCTCGTACATGCTCCACCACCCGGCTCAAGTGGCTTAAAGCTTCAGCCATCACGTCGCTGACATGGTGAGGGTCGTTTCCGATGGCCATCATATCCTGTATTGGTGCCTGATCAGCGATTCTGCTCCCTGAGCAGCAGGGTGACTGGCTAGGCTGCGAGGAGAAGGCAAGGGTGCTGTTGAAGGGAACTAGACCTCTGAGGCTTCACTGCAGCTAAAGTCGCTGTAGATGAGTGATGGCGGGTACGTGGGATTGGTGGAGGAATTGCTGGGGGCGCGGCGCGATGGGGGAGAATGTGAGTACGATGGATGTGGGAAAGCCATGTTGTAGGGAGATTCAAGAGAGATAGGTCTGGCAAAATCAGTGAGTGAATGGACACACGGCTCCCTGAGCAGCGACTTGCGTAGAGTGAAGTGGCTTTGAAACAAAGAAGTTGGAGGAGGACGCCCGCGACCACGGCGACGTGTCTTAGAAAACTTGGGTCTGAGCAGCAGCTACCCGTCCACGGCTGGTCCTTTCCCAATGCGACACGGCAAGTTGAGATGAAGAGTTCAAGGGAATCGAGAACGAGAATGTTTGCTTCCCCCAGTCCGAGTGGGAATCCTTTGATACTTCTATGCTCGCTTGCGCGTTAACTCCCTCTGCTGTAGACAACCAAGGTCATGGCAGAAGCTTCTTCATAGTATCGACAACGCCATGCAATGCAGACAGACAAGTAACAAGTATTCGCAGGGCATGCACCTACACTGTATCTTATGCCCAGTGCGACCCCATCATGTCAGGTCCACCCCCAATCGTAGAATTCATGACGAGTCAGCGCCAAAATGCCATCCTGCTGCCCAACTCTCGGCTCAGGGCCCGCCTTGCTTCGACTGTTCTGGACACAGCATCCTTGTTTTCCTGAGCCCGGCGGAGAAGGTACTTCATACATTCGCCCAGTTTGCCCCAGACCACATATTTGTACGCGTTTGGAATCTCAACGTTGGCACCCTCGGCCTCTGCTCGGGCCCTTGCTGCTTGTACCACCTCACAGCTGACATGATCCGCCATCCCCATCAGTTGACCATATGCCAACTCAATCCGTGGCTCGCCCTTCCAGGCTTGCTCGTCGCGAAGTTGAAGAGCCAGCTTCACAGATTCGGCATTGTGGGTCGCCAGCACGAGACTCACTTGGGGAAACTCAGGAGATCCTCCTTCGACCGGCTGCAGGACGTCTCCATACCTTCTCTGAATGATGCTCTGCGCAATACCGTTGTAGCACTTGTGGGTCTCTTCAATCGTTGGCCAGAAAAGTTCTCGTGGATCGCTACCCAGGTATGCTCCCCGGACAAGCTTGACTCCCAGAACGAAATTCTCTTTGCTTGCCAGTTCAAGATGGGCTGCCAAAATTCTTGGTGCTCTCTTCGCATAGGCTTGGTATGTGCCATACACCAACGCCGTTTCTTTGTTGTATATCTTTGCAAAGTACATGGTCCAGTTGTCGATGCCTTGTTGTAACGAAGCTTGCTCAGCATCAAACAAGAGCCTTACTCCCTTCGACTGTGCGCGCTTGCAGATGTCATGCACTCCTGCTTCGAACTCAGGAGAGCAGGCAATAGTTGCTTTGAGATGCTGAAGCGCTTGACGTCCCGCCCCAGTGAACTTGAGCGCCACGAAGTCGCCCGGCCGGGCAAGGTCCACAGTCTCGATGGTGTTATGCTTCCAGGCAGATATCTCTTGTGCATTACATCGTGCCTGTTCACCACAGTCTTGTGCCGAATCTAATGCTTGTTCATCCTCCTTACTCAAAACAACCTCTTTCGCGTGACCTAATATCACGCCTTTAAATCCGATGCTGTTGAGATTTGCAATGGTACTGTCGACTTCTGACCGGGTTTCGCCAGCACAAAATTGGGCGTAGAAGGTTTTCTTGAGGGCGAAATGGAGGATCGGGTTTCTGTCTGGATTGAAGAAGGGCGACTTTGTATGAGCGAGGAACGACATGGCGGCCAATGAGGGTCGGAGGAGAAGCGGTATGGACGAGATGGAGGTAATCACATATGATCGGATCAAGTTAGAGAGGGGGAGGCACGATAACGGCCTCGATCGAGGCATGTCGGGTGGCGCAGACGACGCAGACGACGCAGCCGTGATGCTGTTTGCTGTCGAGGTGACAGTACGCCGGGTATGTGTTCTCCTATGTGGCTGGCTGTGCGGAGGCTGGCCCTCATTGGGAAGAGCATCACGTCGCAATGGCGATGGTCTGGTACACAGCGACAAAAGCGCGAAGGGATTTCGGGGATATATGATGTGACAGGTTTGTATTCGGCTCGGCGCTTTTGGGCGCAGAGAAAGGGCCATCTCGAGAGAAAACGGGCTCAAGGTCGATCAGTGTAGCATATGCACTTTGAGAGGAAAATGGTCTGGGTTTGTACTCAACTTTAACGACAGTATCATGGGTTATCAGTGGACCGAGGGGTACAGGAACACAGCGGGATGGTATCTAGAGGGCCACAAGCCACCCACCTACACCGATAGCCGTGATGATACTGTACGTCAGTGCGCTTCTCCGATAAATAATAGAGCCTTGCAGCACGTAGCAGGGCGTACTACAGTATGGATTGTGGAACATTGGACCACTCCACGGCCGTGAAGGGCCGCCTCTAACCGAGAGGTACGTGTCGACAAGCAAACGGGTGGGCGTCGAGACGGTGTAGCCTCGCTGTGCAGCCCACACAGTCATCTCGAGGCCTGGTGGTATGATGCTCCTTGCTCCCTCACTTTACTTAATTCCATTATTTATAGACCCGCTGGAATCGCCCAGTCCGTCAATCGAGTACGAAAGGATTGGCGCCGGTACGTTCAATCTGGTACAGCTCGGCGCGTTAAAGAAGGCTTGCTGCAGCGAGCCAACCCGGGGGAGGATTTCAGGTCAGGCGTGGACTGTGAGGACGATGTCTGAATATTTGCAGAAGAATCGAGAATTGAGATGTCGAGGGAGGAAGGGTTTCTTGGCCATCGGGTTGTTCGTGCGTGCATTGCTTACACCATTGTCAGCTTCAGGAAATTTTCGAGTAGACTTGCACCGTGTCCACGCTGTGGTAACGATGCATCATGACAGAGTCTGCAAGGATAAGCATGAGAAGCGTAGCGCCTAGTTGACGGCGCAGAGAGCTGGAAGCGTGGACGAGACAGAGTTGAGCGCAGTTTGGTAACCCTATCCTGCAGGGACCTGGCGGTAGACAGAGTACGGAGTACGGAGTAGTTGGGCGAGATGCGTTGCTCAGCCAACCATTAGCGTTCATAACCTCAGCAGCCTTGACCTCCGAGTTCACAAGTAACAACGCCTGCTCTCTCCACACACACAGTCTGTGAATAACGGCCTCGACCATTACATCTAACATCGAACGCGTTGTTTGTGCTATTTTGAACTGGGGGTTTCATTCTCTAAGGCAACTCTCTCTCCTGTCTTATGCCTTCGCCTGGCGTGTAAGGTGTATACGGAGGTAAACAATAACCATGACTCCTGCTGGTGCTTCCTCAATCTCGGTCACCGTGCGAGTCAGGCCGTTTACCATCAGAGAAGCTGCTCAACTGACCAGATGCGATGATACGACCATCTTTCTCGGTGATGGCTCTTTGGCACCTGCGCCTACACCAAAACTCTCACAGAAGGGCCTTCGGCCGGTGATTAAAGTCGTAGACGACAAGTGCTTGTGGGTAGCGAACCGCCCGTCCCAGCAATCCTGCTGACAGAGTCCACAGAGTTTTTGATCCGCCTGAAGACAATCCCGTCCAGAAATTTTCTCGATCCCTTGTTCCCAGCGGCAAGCGAGTCAAAGATCAGACCTTTGGTTTCGACCGCGTCTTCGACGAAAATGCATCACAAGGTGAAGTATATGAGACCACCACCAGACCGCTGCTGGACAGTGTGCTAGATGGGTATAATGCCACTGTCTTTGCCTATGGCGCTACTGGCTGTGGGAAGACGCATACAATCACCGGCACAGTTCAACAACCGGGAATAATCTTCATGGCCATGCAAGAGCTATTTGAAAGAGTCGGGGAGTTGGCCACGGATAAGGTTACGGAGGTCTCATTGTCCTACCTCGAGATATACAACGAGACAATCCGCGATCTGCTGGTGCCTGGCACTGCGAAGGGCGGCTTGATGTTGCGAGAGGATGCCAATCAGACAGTCTCCGTGGCGGGACTTTCCAGCCACCGTCCACAAAATGTCCAAGAAGTGATGGATATGATCATGAAAGGAAATGAATTGAGGACGATGTCACCGACAGAAGCGAATGCCACTTCATCTCGATCGCACGCAGTCCTCCAGATCAATGTGGCCCAGAAGGACAGGAACGCCAGCGTGGAAGAACCTCACACCATGGCCACGTTGAGTATCATTGATCTGGCCGGTAGCGAGCGAGCAAGTGCCACGAAAAACCGAGGTGAGCGATTACTTGAGGGCGCCAACATCAACAAGTCCCTTCTGGCACTTGGAAGCTGCATCAATGCGCTGTGTGACCCACGCAAGCGCAACCACGTTCCATATCGCAATTCCAAACTCACTCGTCTCCTCAAGTTCTCACTCGGTGGCAACTGCAAGACGGTGATGATCGTCTGTGTGAGTCCTTCGAGCGCCCACTTCGATGAAACACAGAACACTCTCAGATATGCCAACCGAGCCAAAAACATCCAGACAAAGGTCACCCGGAACGTGTACAATGTCAATCGCCACGTCAAAGACTTTTTGGTCAAGATCGATGAGCAGATGGCACTGATAAACGAACTGAAAGCGCAGCAGAAAGACTACGAAGCTCTAGCATTCACCAAGTTCAAAAAACAGAACGAGAGAAAAGAGTCCATCGCCAGAGAAGGTGTGCAAAGAATCCGCAGTGCTTACGAACATTCTGCGGCCGAGAGACAAGAACGAACCAACAACATGGTCAAGCTCAAACAGCTTGGCCGACGGATAGCTATGCTGTCATCGTGGATTGCAGCCTTTGATACCGTTTGTGACAGCTTGGACGAAGACGACGTTATGAAGAACATGCAAGCTGTCAGGAAGACGGCTCAAGGGATCTTGATGGAACTGGAAAGTGGTCGACATCATTGCCAGCAGAAGGTGTTGAAGAGCAGCTGGGATCGGGCAATGAACACGGCCTTGGAGCATAGTCTGCGACAGCTAAGTGAAGTTGACACTGGTGATATGATCGACTCGGAAACTCTTCGACGAGAAGTTGAACTGCTCAGATCAAGCGCGGAAAGAGAAGCTCTGGCAGCTGTTGCGGATCAAGATAAATTCGGGGACGCAGCGACCATCCAAGTTCTGCTCCAGGCCCATTTCGAGACTGTTGCTGCAATTGAGAGCCTGAACAGAATGAGCGTCGACGAGGCAGTTGAGGCAGCAACCCGGATCTTGGGTAAAATGCTGAAGTCTGCTTCGAGCGCCGCCTCGTATGTCGTCAAGCCTGACGGGAGTCTTGCACCTGTCGAGGCATTCGCACCTAGCAAAGCAGGAACTCCCAAGAGGCGCAAGCAGAACGTCAACAGCTCTCTGCTGGATGGCAGTCCTATTCGCCCAAAGCCTGTGGCCATTATGGCTTCTCAAATCGCCCCATCCCCGGCCAAAGCGTCTCCTCGGCGGCGAGGGCTGCTAGGCGCTGCAAAGAAGGGCGTCCAGGTTTCCTTCACCCCTAAGAAGAGAAAGTCACCGAGTAAAGCGGCCAAACGGGTGGTGAGATGGCGCGATGATACAGAAGATGGTGCTCTAGCGGAATTCGAGAAGACTCCCCAGAAATTCACACCGTCTCCGAGAGAGGAGTCAACCACCGAGATCGCTCTACCCCAAGTCTCAGATCTGACTGCTTCGCTAGCTCAACTCAGCACTCAGTCACAGTCTCCCGGATCTTCACCCATTCCTGCACCGCCGGAGGTAACGCTGCCTGCCCATTCCAGAAAGGGTCGTTTCGAGGCCGGATTCTTGCTGAAAAAGTCTGACGGATCACCGAATTCTTCCAGCATGCTTCCACCCAAAATGACTCCGCTCTCATCATCTGACAGCGACGAGTCGCCCTTGAGAGAACTTGATCCGAGCAGAGCGGCCAACCGACGGTCGATAACGCCGAACCAGGCAGCGGGAAACGCTTGTGCTGACAATGCCAGCAATTCCTCTGCCTCGAACTCTGACACAGAAAACCACGGCCACCCGAACAAAGATGAGACGATGAAGATTCGGGACGCAGTCAAGCGATCCAACTCAGTGCGTCGATCCGGAATCAATGGGTCACGTACCCAACGTCGCAGATCACCCACTGCTGCAACAGCAGGTTCGGGCTCGCCTCCAAATGACTCCATGTTCGCTGCCGGCCACGTTAGGAGGATGGTCATGGGGAAGAACGAGAAGGAGAACGAGTGGAAGGTGGGAGTTTTGAGCCCTCGAGTACAAGGCATCGTTAGCCATAGCAGGAGCATGGGAACACACAGCGGCAGGCGCACGACCTTGAGTGGGATGGATGTCAAGTCTACCCCCAGCACTGGGGATCGCGCAGGGATGAGGATGAGCTCGATCGCGCCCACACATGGTCATAGTCTTTCAACGTCCAGAGGCAGTCTGATGCCTTCGGGGAAGACAGTGTGGCGGTGAAGGAGGATGAGTCTTGACCTTGAAATATGTACGATGGTGTATTTTGACTGGAAAATTGCCTTTGCTGGTGTTCAAGAGTTCGGGGTTGGAATCGACATGGGCACAGGATACGGGCCATGGGACAAGGGCAAGGTTGCAGGTCCATGGGAACGGACGCATGAAAGGAGTCTCGAATCCTGGCTTGTTTTGTCGGTATGGGGGATTGCGACCGTTATTCGACCGTTTTCCAGATGCTTGTTGTTATTACCATAGCTCGGGAACCTCCAGTAGAACCCAGAACCCAGGTCACGGCCGAGGCGTCGGTGGTGGCGTGGGTAGAGCTTCATGACTGATGATTCCATCAAAGTCGACTCGAATAAGTTTCACTCCAATTAAGGTAGACGATACAGTACCTGAGTGGACGCGGACATGATCCCCGAAGCCGCGGGGCTTAGGCCTTAGGCCCCTTTAGGCCCCTAAGCCCCTTGTTAGCATTTGGCACCTTAGCCCCTAAGCCTTAGAACCCCTGAACCCCTTAGCCTTCTAAGCCCTTAGTCTCCTAAGCGCAGCTCTGCTGACCATTCAGCCTTAGACTCGCGTGTCGCTGAGCCTACAGTAATCAAGGAGCCGACGATGGATGGATGGATGGATGGTCCATCATTGCGTCAGAGGGATAAGGGGATTACGTAGGACGAGCTCGACCAGTGCCACCACTGGCAAGGAGGCTGTTCGACACAGTGGCGGTGACGACAGACAACACAGCACCGAATCGCACCCATAAGGTACGGGTACGCGGCAGCGGAAACTCTGTCTGCTTCTGCTTCAATACCTACCGTACTAGTAGAGAGAGAGAGAGTCTCAGACGTGCGCAGCTACGGTACAGACCGCACACCCAGCTTGCACTGACTGGCTGACAATCTCATCTACGTGCGACGACAACGACGACGACGACAATCAACGACGACATCAACAACGACAACAATAACGTACTACAGAGAACAGAGTACAGAGTACAGAGTACAGAGTACGCCCCGAATACACTACACAGCCGGCCCCGCCCGCAAAACCCATCTAACCATCTATCTATCATGGCATCCCTCGCCGGCCAGCAAAGCGCAGGTTTAGGGTTAGGTTCCAAGACCCAACCGCCACGGACAGGAGAGGGAGAGGACGCGAAGGATGACGACGAGAAGCCGACTCTGTCATCGACCGAAACGTCACGGACTTCAGATCCTCCGAAAGACCTCGGCGGTTCCGCGGACCAGGAGGACCAGTGGTCCACAAGACCATGGCAATGAGACGGAGAGGACGTTTGTCGAGGCGACGAAGCAGGGCGCGCGGTTGGGGTCTTCTTAGTCGTCGCTCGTCGCTCGAGAGGGTTAGAGCCCGTTCTCTGTACGGTAGTGCTGTGTATACTCGTCTGTACACTAGACTGATTGTTTACACTCCTCTGTACGCTGGACTGTGTACACTCCTCTGTACACTAGACTGACTGACTGTCGGAACCCCCGAACCGCCAACATGAAGCCGAAGCCGAAGGACTAATGCCAGATTGATTGGTAGAACTGCTATCCAATACTCCGTACCTAGGTCGGCACTGGTGTGGGCAGGGCAGACGGCGCATCTGCATCTGTCATTACGAACTACAGTACAGTACAGTACAGTATACCTGATTGGCTTGGGGGGACTCGACTGTTGACTGTTGTATCTCTGGTGAGAACACTCGTTCTGGTGAGAACACTCGTTAAGAGTTAGTTTTATACTGTCTATCACTTTCAATGACCATGGGTGTGTCAAAGGTTGAAATGTTCCATGTTCTCTATCAAAGGCTCTCTATCATGAGCTCTCTATCAAAGGCTCGCAGAGGGAGCGCATGCTATATAGTATAGTATGCCTAAACCAGCCTTCTGGTTAAAGCACGAGGCTGGGAATGTCTAAGTCAATTATTACTGCCTAAGTTTGACAGGGGGAGCCAAACTGGTCCAGTTGTAGAACTAATACTGCAAAGAAACATAGTCACTCGGATCGGTCAGAAGGCGTCGACAGTGGTGAAGATATCATCATTCCTATCAACAATGTCGCCGTGTACCTCTACCTCAGAACAACCAAGACAGATACCGTCGGTAGTACCTCCCCAGTCTGCCCTGGTTAGCTAGCTTCTCAGCCTCCATCGCGGCAAACTCAATCTCATGCAGTCTGACCTCGGCCAGTCCAGACTGTAGATCCGCTTCGGCCGGCTTGACACCCTTGGTTCGGTAGACGACCTTGTATGCAAACAAAATAATCAGAAACACCGGGATGGCGATATACCCCGTGATGAAATTCTTGTAGTCGAAATCCGACGTGGCCGTGTGGATGAAGACGGCAAAGTTCTTGGTAAACGCGACAAGCACACAGAAACACAACGCCCCCCACGAGCCCCAGATGCCCAGGGGCGCACGGTAGTGCAGGCTGTCGTCGGGAATGTTCTGTGCTCGGCGCGCCCGCACAAAGTAGATGTGGCTCAGCAAGATGCAGACCCAGACGATCAACCCGAACACGGTGATGCAGTTGATGAAGTAGCCGAAGATCTTCTTGGAGTCGTTCGACACGTTCATGAACCCCAGCAGCGACAGGGCGGCTGACACCGCGAGAGCAGGCACAGGCACACCACGGTTGTTGGTCCTCGCCAAAAAGGCCGGCGCCTTGCCATCCCGCGCCAGACCGTACAGAGTCCGACTGGAGATATAGAGGTCCGAGGTGCCAGCTGAGAAGACAAACACCAAGATACACCCGTTCAAGAAGCCTGGCAGCACGTCAATCCCAGCCAGAACGATCGCTACGACGAAAGGCGACGCCGCCGCCGAGGTCGACTGTTTCGTGGCAAAGGCCAGCTTGGGTGAATTGTATGGCACGATCATGCCGAGGAAGAAGACGCTCAGGACGTAGAAGAAGAAGATCCGATAGAAGATCAGCCGTGCCGCTCGCGGGATTGTTCGACGCGGGTTTTGTGCCTCGCCGACAGTGACTCCGATGAACTCGGTCGACAGGTAAGCAAACGATGCAATACCTATGCAGTTCCACACGCCTAAGAAGCGTCCGAGGGCCCCCTTTGCCTTGAATTCATGGAAAGCGCCGGGGTGGTGCCAATATCGGAATCCTTTGGCATCGTGATCTGGCCCACCTCCACAGGCCAGCACCAAGGATAGAATGATGACACCGCACAGGATCAGCACTTTCAACGACGAAAGCCAGAACTCGAACTCGCCAAAGAACCGGATTCCGAAGTAGTTGATGAGGATGATGACCACAAGGAAGATGGCGATGAAGACTCCAGGATTGAGCTGGTCTCGAGGAACCCAATATTGAAGAACCAGTGCTATGGCGGTCAGTTGGTTGGGAGTCGAGATGGCGTACTTGATCCAATACCTGGACGACACAAGTCAGCCATAATAAGGGAGACGCATCCGCAGAGCTGTGACTTACGACCACCCGAGTGCAAAGCCCAGGGCCGGATCGACGAAGCGAGAAGCGTAGCCGGTAAACCCCTCCGCGATGGGCAGGTATGTTCCCATCTCGCAGAGGCCGGTCAACATCAGCCAGACCACAAAGCCGACCATCGAATAGGCAATCAGAACGGCAGCTGGTCCTGAACTTGCCAGAGCTGAGCCTGTACCGATGATCAAGCCAGACCCTAGAGCGCCACCCAATGCTGGCAAAAAGAAGACGTGGTCAGCCGCGGTTGCAGGGGATGGTCGCGATTGCTTTCTCACCGATCATAGTGGTGTGCCGAGACCGGAGTCCACGATGCAAAGTCGTGCTCTTATCAATGCTGATTTCGCCCTTTTCAGCCATGTCGTTGTCCTGGGCGGATGCGAAGGCTTCTTTCGAAGGCATGACCTCGAAATCGTCTTGACGTGGGGACTGCATGTCGGCCGCCATCGTCAGGGTGTAGGCTGCGGTGCTGAGTTCGCGCTCGTTTGAAACGAGGCGAGAGTTGCCATCGCTTTATATCAGCAATCATAGGCCCAGGGTTCTAGCTGATAGTATCGAATTCCAACCCGTATATTCAGATATGTTCCAGAGTGGTGGGACAAGTACAACCCTGGTAACCGGCAACCGACGGTCGCCGGTCTCTTATCAGCCTTGTTGGTCCAGGCCAGTAATTCTCGATCGCTTTATCACAAAGCTTGGGCCGTTATGGTCCACATCTTCTCCACCGAGTGGGGGATGACATGGACGTGATTTTCCATAGACATCACCGGATAGATCTGTACCTCTGTGTCAGTACGGTTGGTCCCATGCCTTCTCAGGGTATCATCTATATTAGTCAGGGCCAACTCCAGGTAAGGGCCAAATAGTACTGCTGCACACATCACGCGCACTTGCTGGCTATTGCATTGCCATGGGAAATCAACTTGGAGAGCCGGAATATGTTTCTGCACAAGGGGTGCAACTGTACAGTCCACCATGGTGGTCAGATTTCACGTATCCTTTCTCTCCGATGGTCGCTGACTCCCGCATAGTTACAAACCCACGGGGACTTGGTCGATGATGAGCAAGCGAGGGAACACCCTCTATATATCTGGTATGTCCAAGGTCTAGCCTCGTGCGTGGTCTAGGACTGATCGAATATAGGATTACGCGGCATCTGTCCCGAAACATCAGAACTGGTACCGATTGTGGCCACGGACGAGGATGAAGGCCCTTCGAGGGAGTCACCAGCGTACCCTCGTGTATTGAAAGGTGAGGCACTGAATTGATGCAATCATCCTTGACTGACACATCATCAGCCTTCCAAAACATGCAGATGATCATCGAAGCCGCCGGAGCATCGCTTGGCGACTGTCTTCGCCTCGTAGTGTCCGTCCTCGAGCACCCACGGACAGTATGCAATTACGGCTGACGCCTTCCCAGATACACTACTGACATGCCCAAATATCGGCCGTTGGTGAACGAGGCACAGAAAGAGATCTGGGGCGATGTGCCTTTCCCACCTCGCTCGATTGTAGAAGTCTCCAGATTGAACCAAGTAAATTGCTGAACCTCCCGGGTAGGAATGCGCGGCTAATGAGCCTATTCTAGGACGATATTGTCGAGGTGGAGAGTACTTTTGCAATTCCTGCTTAGTGTATCCAGAGCGCCGGCTCCAAGTGTAGACCAATTCTACTGCTGTTCCATATTGAGTATAAAATAAAAGCGGAGTCGTGATAATTTGATGTGTCATCACGGCGGGTGGGATAGTGGAAGGTCGAGAACCTCAGTTGGGGGGTGTGGGTAAGGAGGCTCTGCCGGTTGTGTCCGCCGGTGTCCGACGTAGACCGGCGGGCGATGCACAGCCAAACTGCCATCTTGCCCATGTCGCCGATTTGGACCTCCTTCATCATAAGCAAGCTCCATACCATCAGGTTTCTGGTACGGCCTCAGATTCAACCACCATGGCTCGTGACGGCCGAGTCTTCGAGAAGGACCCAGAGACGGGTTCGTCAGATGTCTTGACAAGGCCGCGACCGAGCGGATTATCAGGATACCTAAGCCAAGACATTCGCCTCCAGCATGCCGACATGATTCTCCTGGTATGCAGCTTCATATCCGGGCTGTGTGATAGCGGTGCCTTTAACGCTTGGAGTTGTTTTGTGAGCATGCAGACCGGTACGTCGTGTCGCCCCTGGCCTGACAGTTGAGACGCTAAGCTAAACAAGAGAACTGAAGGGAACACAATTTTTCTCGGCCTCGGGGCATCGGGACTGCCAGTCACCAAGCCGTATGGCTGGCTTCGCTCCATGATTGCCATAATCTCATTTCTGTTTGGCTGCTTCTCATTTTCCTTGACGCGAAACTTCAAGCCCCGGAGTCGGGGCATGCTTTCCGTGTCCTTCGCGGTGCAAGCGATACTCCTGACAGTAGCCGCTGTTCTTGTGCAAACAAAGGTAGTGCCAGACACAACAGATGGGTCCGAGTCAATGAAGGTGTTGATTCCTCTCGTCTTCCTCGGTTTTCAAGCTGGAGGACAGGTCTGGGCAAGCGAAGTCCTGGGCTTCAAAGAAATTCCAACAACCGTTCTGACCAGTGTCTACTTTGGGCTTGCATCAGATGTTCGGTTCATGCAGGGAATCAAAACGAATCCCTCGAGGAATCGACGATTGGGGGCTGTGTGCGCGCTTTTGCTGGGTGCTATCTCAGGCGGGTGGCTCTCTCGAAGCCGGGCAGGGATACCGGCAGTCTTTTTCGTTGCTGCTGGGTTGAAGTATGTTATCAGTGCGATGTGGTTGATCTGGGTGGCCAGCTCTGCGTAAACAAGAGCGTCGGCTGAGATACCTATCTGGGTTGTTACTCAAACATGCACTGTTAGCAAAGGCCCACGGGCCAATGGGGATCGCCTCTCAAGACAAGAGAATCCTGCTACAAAGTAGCAGCATCTTGGACCTTCTGGTAGATATATGTCGGGCGGCTACCGCTGCCTGCATGGCCCATGTTCAGCCTTGGTTCGAGTCATGTGCGAAATCGTCCCCAATGTCCACCATCCAGTTTTCGAAGAAGTCCTCGACGGTGGGAAACGAGGATAGATCCATTTCATGGTCAAACTCATCCATGTTAAAATCTCGGTTGAGTTCGACGGTATTAACAGGCGGATTTACATCGATCTTGTGAGAATCCGAGGTGTTGATTTCAGCGTGACTGGGGTCCTGGTGGATAGGCTGATACCGCCTTTGCCGTTTGGAAGTCACATCCCGCCCCAGACCGAGTCTCAGCTTCTCCATGGCAACACTCATGACCGCAGGAATCTCCTCAGAGAACTGACAATAGTGGGCGACGACGTCACTAAGAGTCTCCAAGACTTGCTTGGGCGGAACACCGGCTTTGTCGATGAATTCAGACAGCACGAGGGTGCAATAAGAAATACATATGTGGTGGAACTTTGGCAATTCCTGGACAAGAGCTGTCGGCATATCCAGAAAGGTCCGGGCCATCAGCAGCGCATGCTTATGTGCAGATGCTTGAAAGGAATCAGAGAGAAGGCTGATGTCGAAATGCTCCTTGGCAAGATCACCGCCGACAGGCGGAACTATGTCGTTTGAGCGCCACTGGTTTGGCTGAACAGTTGACTGATCAACCGTGTTTGATCGGCATTTGTCGACCGAACGCATGGCCATCACGAGATACGCAAAATCCCGACAGAATCTTAGGCAGATCGCTCTTTGGGATGCTGTAATACACGTCAGTATGCAGTACCAGCCCTCAATACGAAACAATGTATATACTAACATAAGAGATGTTTCCATCTCTTCTCCCACATAGTCAAGTCATGGCAAGAACCATCACGATCAAGTGATGGCGGCACTTGCTTGTTGCATAGAGTAGAGAAAAGAAGGACCTCTGCCAACACTAACCCGTCATCGAGTGTAGCTTCGGGGTGATTGAGAATGGCTGGACACTGATCTAACAGCTCTGAGGGAATTGTAGTAGGCTTGCCCGTACCAACAGCGAACCTAATGCGGTATCAGCTACTGTCACCCCCATGAACGCCACAACATATAGTGAATGTACCTGAGATTGACAAGACAAATATTGTTCCATAAGGACATCGATCTCCTGTCTCTGTTCTCATGCTTTCCTAACCTTAGGTTGGTCATGATTTGAACGAAGTCGATGGTTGATATGGCTTGTTGTGCACAGATGCCACTTAGGAGCCAACTTTCGATATATTCGAAAACGGGCTAAATCGCAGTCAGTCAAGACCTTTGATCAACGGTTGAGACGAACTCTTGGTGCCGCTTCGAAGATACTCATGATTAGTAAGGCGTATAACTCCTCAAGAGGGACAGGGCTTGCGAGAACCACCTGGCCAAGCATTTCTCGGACTTCTTCATACAGCTGGCGATGGACAGCTGTGTTGACCAAGTCTGGGTCTTTGCAGAATCGTAGTCCATGCAGGCAACAAACAGCGTAGAGCAAGGGCGATCCTTGTCTGATCGTAGCGGCCGAAGTGAAGTCCGCAATAGATCTGATCTGGATGACGTGCCCCAGGCGGGTAATGAACCTGGAACGGTCAGTGGTTGAGGGTTGTAACATAGGTGGAATGAGTACTCAGTCACCAGTTTCTCGGCTACATCTTCACTCAGGATCCGTTGATTGATAATGTCTCTGCCGGGGTCCTTGTAAAGCCTTCGTGTGCTAGGTCTAAATTTCCTCACAATCATGATGGGAGCAGACTTGTTGATATCATTTTGAGTGCTAGGAAGAGGTGGGTAGTCTAAACTCTCCAGCCGTTCTCCGGAGCTTGGGAGGCTGCTCCCGGGAATTTGATTTATGCTGGTTTCAGAGTGATCATCGCGCGAATCCGGGGATCGGTCCACGGTTTCTTGGAGAAATTGCCATATTCTGTCGACTGACTGCTTTAACTGTGCCAGAGATGACTCGACACTGGCGATTTTGCTGGCCTGGTCAGTCACGCGCAAGTCTTGAGAAAGGACATCCACAAATACCTGTCGTCGCCGGCCACACCTGAGTTCTCTTGCTCGACACTGTCCGCAGATCCAAGAGGCCTGGCAATTGAACGTAGAGAGCAGTCGAGTCTGTACACTCATCAGCCCCCTAGGCAGATATTCATTACATGACCTAAACAAACCTTAGCTTGTGGCAACGCTGGCATGAGTTAAGGCGAGAGTCATATTCGCAGCGACTTTTTAACCGGCGGCAGGTGGTGCAGGAAAGAATACGACGGCGTGATTTTGAAAGAGGCCTTCTCTGTGGATCGTTCATTTTGAATCGTACCGTACCTCAATAGTCCGACCAGTGTAACAGCCACAAAAGGGAGTAATTACAGATTGTTGTGGCAGTGGTGCGAGTTACCAGGTAGTACGGAGTACAGAGAACTTCAACATGTAGGTGAAATGGCCGCCGAAAACAGCGGTCGTTGGCGCCGCTTTCAACCTCCTCCACACCGGCACGTGTGGCCGCGCTAACGCCGTGATCGCACGTAGCCTTAGGGTTAGGGTTAGGGTTAGGGTTAAGCCCTACTCCATATATGTTTTATAATATCGGTTTTTTTTTGTATACATATCTTGCCCCTCGCCATATACGAGTTGTTAGGATCTAGACAGGAGCAAGCGACATATAATATCCAGCCAAGTTCGGCAGCTGGAACTTTATCTTAGTATTTATATTATTTCAAGTATACACGTTCGCTCGTTGCCTATGCACTTCGTGATACTCTTCATAGTCCTCCGTCTTAGAGTACTTGTCACTATATACCGTAATACTTTCCAAGACCGTTCAAAGAATATATGTAAAGTCGAGGCTCTGATCTCCTTTTTTACCGTTGGTGGTTGCTCCTTCAGCAATAAGCTCTGCCTTCTGTGCATTTCGTCGCCGAAGCAGAAACCAGCATGAAGCGTAAAGAAATCCAGCGACGATTGTGAGACCGGCCGAGATTGCATTGCCTGGGACGTATCGTGGCCCTTGTTGAGAAGGGTACAGCTGTCCAGAGACAAGGTTGGACACATTGGCCAGACTGTAGGCAAAGGGCTGGCCTATTGCTCGCTTTGTGTCAGGTGCCAGGTTCGTCGTGATCCACGTTACAGCCAGAGTCGAAATCGGATACAGCCCTTGCAATGATTGTCAGGACAGTCGAACAAGGAAAGGGCCGGCAAAACTAACCTATTACCAGCACAAACATGCCGGCATAACCCACATCAGGATTCTTTGACCCCACACACATCAGATACCCAACAGCAACAGGGATGCAGCATCCAACGATGAAGACGCCACGCTTCCTGATCTTATCTGAGTACCAGACCTGGATTGTTAGGGATATGGCGCCGAGGACATATACTGGGATGGTCATATAGTTGACCTTCAGGGAGGCAAAGCTGGAAAACGTTAGTTGACGCATCCTTTCCCTTGCAAGATCAGCACGTACCCAAGGCCGGAAATGATGGTTGGGAGAAACACTCCAAATCCGTTGATTGCAATCGACGAAGTGAAAAAAGCAATCCCCAGAAGGTATACAAAGGGGTCAGTCAGGGCGATTTTGATCCACTTGCGCTCGAATTTCTCCTCGCCTCGGATCATATAGTCTCGTTCCTTCTTGAGTCGCATCGTCTCTTTCTCTTCCTCGTTAAGAAACCATGCTTTCTCAACCTCGCCAGGCAGAAAGAATAGGCCAACGCCACAGATCACCACAGTAATACAGAATTCGATGATGAAGAGCCATCTCCATGCAGCGAGGCCGAGGCGTGTTCCCATGGTCTGGACAGCATAGGCGAAGAGCCCTCCAAAGGCGCCGGAGATGCACTGCGCGAGATTGGTAGTCATGATCCTCTTTCCTGCTAGTTCACGCGGATAAATAGTCGAGAACAAGAAGGCGAACGCTTGAGCTAGACCAGCTTCAGCGGCATTGAGCAACATCCGACAGGCAATTGTTTGGCCATAAGTTTGGACGAAGGCAGTCCCAACTGTACAGATACTCCACAAAACGAACGCAGTACCGATCGCTTTTTTGGCGCCCCATCTACGTGTGGCCAAGACCCATGGAACCTCAAAGAGAACGGTACAGACGCTGGATAGCGTTTGGATGTTACCGAACTCGCCTCCTTTGAGTCCAACGTCCTCGTCGAAGCCAAAAACACGAGCATTTCCGAGCTGGCCGATGGTGAGTAAAAATGATCCCTATACATCGCAAGGAGCACCAACTCACATTATTGCGGTCGAGAGTGGACATGACGAGATAGATGACAGAGATTGGGACCACATAGATGTCGAACTTCCTGCGCACTGCTTCTTCTCTTGCAGGATCGATATATAAAGTCGTACTGGTGCCCACGGCATGGTCATCAGCCGCGCTGGCAGTGTCGATTGTTGATTCTTTGACCATTTTCTCCATGTTTGTGTCCGTGTCTGAGTCACACAATTCAACGAGGCTGATCGAGCTATGGTTGGTTTTTGCTTGAAATGAAGCGATTTAGTTGACGAAGAGTCCGTGACCAACATGGTCGAGTCGAGGCATTAAGTGTTCCATCTTCCCATATGAGGCGCACAATAGCCAACGCTGTTGCACCTTGTCACAGCTGTTCTGGCCCGGATATACATGATAAGATACTAAGATACCAAGTAGCAGTATCGGTATCTGTAGACCCTGAGATTTCGCTTATCGACCGTCAAATGCAGCTAGTTACCGTCGAATGAGCATCGCGCCTGCGCTATGAACTTTTTACGCCATCGGGATTTCCCGATTGTAATATCTATCGCATACCCAAATCTGTTTAATCTGGCCAGCCCACGCCCTCGTCCGTGGACAAGATCACAATCTCCATCCACTCTTCGAGATCTGAAGTCCGACATCCACAATGCCGCGAGTCGCCCAGAGATTGAGGGGCGGAGTAGATGCATGCCAGAGGTGAGTGAAGATAGATTCGGATTATGCTGCGATACGATACTTATCAGGGCACAGGTGCCGTCGGAGAAAGCAGAAGGTATCAATACCAAGCAGATATGTCTAGGGATTTTGCGACTGATATCACAATTATCCTTGTAGTGCGACCAGAGATATCCGCAATGTTCCAATTGTGAAAACAGTAATGCTCAGTGCCTCACGTATCACTCCGGAAAACAGGCCGATGTAAGTATTATGGACCCGATCTGGCCGATATTGCAATCTTGCTGACCGTCTGGGAGATACCGCGAAGTTATGTCTCGGATCTGGAAGAGCAGATAGCAAAGCTCACCCAGCAAGTGAAGGAGCTACGAGAGCATCCACAGTCAAAGTCAGTGCCGGGTCGGAGCCTTGTGGACAATGCAACACCAACTCGCCCAGTATACGACGAGACAGGGGTCTTTCCCCCGGCAGAGATTTCAGTCTCTGATGAAAGATCTCCTGTACTCGAAGACCTGGAGACCAAGGTCAGAAACGTGATCGCCGCACCCTGCCAACAGCCACGCTTCGTTGGACAGAGCAGCGGCATTTCTTTCGCAAAACTAGCCATGGCAGCAATACAAGTCGATAGCGTGTCATCATCACTTCTACCTGAGCAACAACAGCGGGATGACTTTTGTCTGTTCGAATTCGCCCCAGCCAAAGCCTCGCTACCACCGCGCCATGTTGCAGATCACCTGGTGGAGGTATATTTCCAATATAGAACACCACATCTGCCGATTTTGGATCGTTCACAGGTGGGCAAAGCCATCAACAGCGCATACAGTTCGCTTGAATCGAACCAAGCGTCCGCGAAAGTGTCAGACAGAGACATGTTCATCGCATACATGGTCTTCGCCATCGCTCTTGTTGACGTACCCCATACGTCTGGCGGACGGCCAATGCAAAGCGATGGATGTTTCCGTTCGGCCCTGAGTTGGGTCGAGACCACCCTCTCATACTCGAAAAGCGACCTCGAAACTCTTCGGTCTGTGCTTCTGTTGGCCCAATTCGTCGCTCTGTCTCCTTCCCGTGGAAGCCTCTGGCATTTGACAGGTTTCGCATTGCGCCTATGCATCGACGTAGGCCTACATTGGGAGAACGACCTGCAGTGTCTCAACATGGATCCCGACATTTTGGATGACAGAAGACGGCTGTGGCATTGCACATATCATTTCGATCGTCTTCTTTGCATCACTCTCGGTCGTCCATTCGGCATTCTTGACGAAAGCACACATGTGCAGCTCCCGAATCCCTGGACAGGTTGCCGTCAAGGTCTCGGGCGACGAGAATCTAGCGACTATGACATCCACGCCCAGCGAGCTCACAACCACCTGTTCACCCTTGCCAAACTCGAATCAGAAATCAAACATGTACAGCACACTCGAGTTTGGACTCCCAAGTTGGCTTATCCACGACCGAGCTGGACCGTCTGGCTGCAAGATATTCAACCCCGACTCCAAGAGTGGTATGCGACCATGCCGGAACCTAGAAAAGCTCAACCACTCTCCATCTTCGCCTCTCAGTCATACTGGGACGTCATGTACAATAACACTATCCTGCTGCTTTATCGTCCACAGGCGGGCAACATGTACCAATCGGCAGAAGAGCTATCGATTATCTTTGGGGCGGCTTCCAAAGTAATTGCTGGACTAAAAGTTTTACAACGGGAAGGGAGGGTTGAAATGTTATGGAAATCCGTCCACCACCTCTTCATGGCTGGGCTAGGAATTGTATATGCTCTCTGGCAATCCAAGGAGATCCGAGACCAGAATCCTGTGGGAAAGAGTATCTCCATTCTTCAGTCCTGTGCTTCGACTCTCTCGGCCATGTCTGAGACTTTCAAAGGAGCCACAGGCTGTCGGGATGCCTTTGATACGCTTTCTTCCGCAACGATCGATTGGCTGGTTACCAGGAACATCGAAGAAGTGCACCACAACCGCCTAGAATTCGAGAATCATGTGAGGGATCTGATGAAGCAATTACAAGTGCCCCATGACGGCATGGCGACAACTACCCACCACTCCGCCGACAACATGTCAGCCGTCCTGTCAGCTGATAATTTCGACCTCGGTGAGTTGCTCAACACCGCTGCGCAGTGGCCTGACCTGGGAGAGTTCAACTTCATCATGGCTGAGCCAGGTCCATCTGCCGTCACCTCACTTGTCCCGGCGACCGGCGCCACCAATACCATAGAGCAGATGCTTCAGTAGCATTACAAACTTTAGAAAAGGCGCGGATTGGAAATGCATCTGCCCATGACTATGTCTACCAAGTAATATTTTCAGATCGCTCATATCATATGCTTTAGTGAATCTGATCCCGAATCGCCACTAAGGAGCGGTACCGTTGGTTTGTGCCTCTTTCGCAGGTCCATCGTCCACAATATCTTCGTACATCAAGGGTTTCTGGACAAAGCGCGCATCACTAAGACCTTGCTGCCATCGGTCAAATGCTTTCCGCGGTATGGTCGCCGAAGTCCACATGCCATTCCGACGGAATGAATCTACCACATCAACCACCACATCAATCGCAACGTTGGGGAAGAGCTCTGCAAGTTCATCCTTGAAGGACTCGGCATCACGCTGGAGCACCCAGTCTATCCCTTTGTTCAGCGCAATGCAGAATCGCTTCTGCGCCGCAAGCACCTCCGGAGTGATCGTCGACGTTTCCCGGTAGTACACACTCCATGGGACCTCGCCTTGCGTGACCATCTCCATCGCGATCGAGACGTCGGGGTTGCGTGCAACCATGACTTTGGCGGAGAGGTTATCTGTGACAAAGAAATCGCCCATGCCGCCTTGGAACAAGTTTCCCAGCATCAATCCGTCCAGATCCTGGATAAAGTCTAAGTTTCTTGGGTCGATCCCGTTCTCGCGCAGCAGCATCTTGAAGAAGAGACCGACACTGGCACCGCCAATGGACTTCATCAGAACGGTTTTCCCCACCACATCAGCCAGAGTGAACTTCTCTCCACACTTTGCGCGCCTGAGCAGTGCTAGGGGACAGCGGTTCGCGATCTGACCGAAGACTGTATAATCTTGTACCCGACCACGGTACATGGATGGAACCCAAAGTCCGCCCAGCGCCATGTCGGCAGAGCCATCGGCTAGAGCGTCGAGAACGCCATCCCATGGTGTAGGGATTGTTGTAGTGACATCCAAGCCTTGCTCGCGGAAAAACCCCAGCCGATCAGCAATATACTGAGGCAAATAGTTGATGTTGTACCCTGTAGCTGTAAGGTAGAATGGCTGCATTGTTTAATGCGTTTGACCACTGACGATCGTAGGTTGTGTCAGAATGATTTTAGCAGACTGGGGCACTTGGTTCGATGTAATGTCATGTGTCGAGATTTGAAAGTGCTGGGAAGAGAGCCCTGCCTATCAGTAACTGGCCCATCGTCTAAATAGTCCTCCGTTCCAGAGGACTTATAGGCCGTACGCAGAAAACAGGTCAGACAAGTCGAAATTTGGCTACCCTTCTCGGGCATCGCCATCGCCCCTGGCGCCACCCGCTGAGATTGTCTATCTCAGATCTCGTCGGAAAATCCCGACCTCTCACACGGCGGCGATTGTTGATTCCAATCGGCATTTCCCGATTGGCATATCATATCCAGGGCTGGAGTATTGTTCTGGTCGGCCGCGATCTTTGGGCCGATTAAGATTATGAAGATATTGATGAGTCGTTACTGAAGTCAGCTCGGAGGAAAGATGAGATTTCGGAAGGCCTTCCTATCGCAAGGCTGGGCCATCTAATGATTGGCAACACAAGTGAATGCTTGGTTTCAGAGTCTGGTGTCGCAAGGATTGCGGGTTTGCATATATTGTATTGGCAGAGCAGTCGGACAGCATACTTGCTGCCGCATGCTTTTGCTTCACTGCTCACGTCAACCGCCCAGCACGAGAGTGTCCCAATCACATATACCGCCAATGGCTCCCACCATCACCCTTTACACAGATCACCACTGCCCATTCGCTCACCGGGTTCAGGTTGCGCTTCGTGAACTTGGGCTGAAGTTTGAGACCTGCCTTGTTGACATCACGGTCCCTCGCACACCCGAATACCTCGCCATAAACCCAAATGGAATGGTGCCGGCCCTTGTCTATGGTGACCTTGTGTTGACAGAGTCTGGTCTCATTTGTCAATTTCTGGCCGACTCCTACCCGAGTCACCTTTTGAAAGCCAGCACAGAAGCAGCCGGTGCACTGCAACGTTTCAAGATCGGGTACTTCGTTGATACATACTTTGGCAAGGCCCATCCATTGTTTGACTCGACCGTCTTCTCAAATGAACCCGACGCGAAGATGGCCCTGGCGACTCAGTACATCGAAGCTATTGTCAGACATGTTGAGCCACTCCTCGGGGATGCGGCGCCGTTCCTTGGGGGTTCAAATCGCCCAACACTGGCAGAGGTATGTCCGTGTCACAGCGTACCATGCATCTTGAGTAGACTAATCTGACCATCCGTGATGTCTAGGTGCTGACCGCGCCTTTTCTTCTTCGCGTTCTGATGCTGCCCAAGCATGATGGACTAGTACCGAGCTTTGTCCCTGAGACACTTAAGCGTAGGGCGCCGAACTCACATAGGTGGGCACAAGCCGCTACAGCTGAAAAGTCCGTGACTGCCATTTGGGACGAGGATCTGGTGGTCAAGCGCACACTGGAGAGAATTGAAAAGAGAAAAGCCGCAACATACAGTGGCGGCAACGAGGTTGACAAAGGGCCATCTCAATCCTGATAATACTAAGTACCTACCTAGGTATTAATAGGGAGTCCACAGCCTCGCGGCCGAAGGGCCCCAATAATCAAGGGGTGCTGCCTTAACTCCGGGCATATTGGGTTTGGGTTTCGGTGGAGGCTGGCTGGCAGACTCGTTGCTATCTCAGCATTGAGCCCACCCCGTTCAACGGCTCCGCTGGGTGATGATGAGATCTTGTTGTTTGGTGGGTGGTGACTATGGCTGTCTATCAGAAAGCTGTCACCATCACACGTCATGTACGGATAGACGGCTGGGAATGCTCCCCAAACACTCTCGAAATAGGAGGGACAGAAGGAAGAGTATCTAGACGAAAAGGGCGGGTTTGATAAAGCCCGCTTCCCAACCTGTCAACATCCACTCACCTTAGGACAGAATCTACCTATAGTACGGAGTAGGCAGTGCAATGATAAATGATAGTGGAATCATTAGGAATCATGACCACTAGAACAGCCGGTAGACCGGGGTGTAGATATGCTTGGTACTCCATACTCCGCTCCTTACTGCGCCTCTATGGAATTGTTATCCTCGGCTCCGAATTGGTGCGAGCACGGAGATGGATGACGTGCGAGGTTATTTGGACTCATGCGGCACATCCATCCTTTTGTTTGTCGTTATTGTCCAGCAACCAGTCTGGCTTCTGGCTTCTGGCTTCTGTGTATATAACATCTGCGCTCGTAGTAGGCCCCGGAGCATACTCCGTACTGTTTTCACCACCTTCAACCTCCAGCTCCAGGCAAAACATTCAAACTGCAGACTACCGCCTTTCTCGCAACTTTCCTAATCGCTGCCCTTGCCGCCATGGCCTTCCAAATGCCCACCTTCCTCACTCGATTCCTGCGACCTTTCACCTCCTCAGCATCACTGTCCCTTCAGCCCGATTCACTGTCTGCCTTGCAGTTCCCTCCCAACTCTCAGAGGGCGATCTTCGCAGGAGGATGCTTCTGGGGGCTCGAAGAGTTCTACCGAAAGCACTGGGGCAATGGCAAAGGTCTGCTGGACTGCAGAGTCGGTTATACCGGTGGAACTACCGAAGCGCCTTCATATCGGGCCGTTTGTAGCGGGCAAACTGGCCACGCCGAGTCACTGCTTGTCGTCTTTGATCCAGATCGAGTCTCCTACCGTCAGCTGCTCGAGTTCTTTTTCAGGATGCACGATCCGACCACGTTGAACCGACAAGGTGCAGACACGGGGACACAGTATCGGTCCGCTGTTTTCGCGGAGTCCGACGAACAATTCAAGATTGCCACCGAGATTAAGGAGAAGGTGCAAGACCAATGGTACAAAGGCAAGCCCGTCACAACTGAAATCAAGCGCGCCACCCAATGGTATGATGCAGAAGATTATCATCAGGACTATTTGAAGAAATTGGAAGAGCGGGGTGAACACGGCTATCAATGCCCTGCCCACTACCTTCGGCGATTGCCTGACCTGAAATAGAGGTGACGAGCAGTGGCTGTTGAAGCGGGAGGTTGATACTTTGACGCTGTTCGAATGCAACATTTGTAACTATGAATTCCGAATCAATATGTAGCACGACCAGCAAAACTCATTGTGCCCTTTGCTTGTATGGAAAACAAAGGACTGAGACTCGGATTCAATCCGATCGGCATTTTGACCTTTTTGAACTCCATGTTTTGGGTGCTTAGATACACCCAGCTATCTAATCGTCTGGCAGTGCTTCTGATGTCAGTTGACTTTCTGTGCGCGTAATGCTGATCAGCATTCTCCCAGCAGCGGCTGGCGATATCTGGCTTCACAGAGGGGAAGATACCCCCTCCAGAGCAGTTCAATAGGTTCGCGTGTTTTGTCCCGAGCGAGGACAGGGACGATCCCCCATGAATACCGGCCCGCCCAGCTAGATTGATTCGGAAGGTTGGCCCAGACGAAATGCTGGACAGCTGACTCATTATTCAAGGAAACATAGATCATCTCATGGGCCTGACGGAGGCCGAGACAGCAAGCTCACAGGCGACTGGGCATTCTCACGGCACCATCTAGTCTGACAACTCCACCATTGAGCATGGGATTCTCGACAATCTCCTTGACAAGACGGGCGAATTCGTCCCCCCGGCCCATTCGCGCCGGATACTGGATCATTTCCGGATTCACTGACGTGCGCGAGCCAGTGTTGCCTTTTGACTTGCTCTCATTTCCCTCCTTCTTCGGGGGTGACGCCGATTTTTTCTTGGGTGGCACAGTCATGCCAGTTTGGAAAACTCCTGGTGCGATTCCCATAGCTCGTATACCCGCCTTCTGACCTAGTTCGCGTGCCAGGGGTAGAACAATGCTACGGACAGCGCCTTTGCTTGCGCTGTATGCCAGTTGGCCCACCTGGCCTTCGTAAGCGGCGACTGATGAAACCACCACCACAATGCCTCGCTCCCCATCTGGACCTTCGGGCTCATTAAGGGCCATGTGCGGAATGGACAAGCGGATGAGGTCTACCGTACCCCGGAGGTTGATAGCTAGGGTCCGGTCGAATGCTCCCATATCCATATACTTAACACTTTCATGTGTTGCAGACGGGTCTTGTTTGGGCAGAGATAACGTGGCGGTGCCGATCCCGGCGCAGCAGATTGCGCCCGAAAGTGGCTTCGAGGTTGTTTCTTGAATCCATTTGAGTGTACTCTTGACTGCGTTGTGTAAAGACTCAGTGGACGCGACGTTCGTCTTGGTGAAGAGGATTCGCGAGGAGTCGGTGTGGGAGAAGGTATCTGAAGGAGGTGGATTGAGATCGAGTATTGACACATTGCCGCCATTTTGGAGGAAAAGGCTGGTTGTGGCGAGCCCCAGGCCGCTGGAGCCTCCAGAGACTATGAACGTCCGGCCCTTGATCTGCATCTTGGGTTCAAATAGGATCATACAATTCACAGCAGAGGAAAGGGGACAAGAGCGAGATAGGATGGCAAAATATTGTAAGTGTGCCACAGCACGGGCACTGCCTGGCCTACCTCGGTTCGCCTGCTACATCACATTCCTTCACGTGCTTTGTTGTAGCAGTGATGTCGAAGCGTCGGGCTTGCTCGATCTCAAGCTGCGCCTCTCTTTTGACAGCAGGATGATGCTGCTGCGTCACGAGGGCGAGGGTGAGGGCGAGAGCGAGAGCGGGGACAAGAAAGGGTTGTGCCTAGAGTCCGCAGTCGCGGACGAGAATATCTCTTGGTTCGGAGTACCGAGATACTGTTAAGTACCACCGTACTATACGGAGTACACAGAAATTAGACTCACGGGGCGGGGATGGGCGCTTCGTCATTTCCTTGCACCGCCGCCTAAGCCTGAAACCGCACCAAGGCTCAAGCCAAATCAACATCGCGGCAAATGATCACAGCCCAAGTGTAGGGCCAGTGACGAATTCACGCATCTGCTTCGATCCTTCGACTGTTGACAAGTCTGCATGACTGACATGGTCGGTTCAGGTCCAAAGCACAAACCCGTGTCCTCATCACTGCACCGAAGTTCACTGTGGCTGGTCACGGCAATTGGACTACAGTCTCAGAACCAGGCTGATCCTCAATTGTCCCGACCAGCTGCATCGACCAGCCACAAAATATCCTCATTGCAATCCTCCTTCTCTATCGCCTTCAATACTCTACAGCGTCTTCGTTGACCCAGTTAATGCCTACCCTATGTCCCAATCCTCGCACCGCTCGAAAGCGCCCAACCGGAGCGTGCACAGCATACACAATGGGAGCAGAAAATCTCAGGACTCTTCTAGGGTGCGCAGAAAGTCTATAGATGCGAATGAGGCTTATCTCTATGCTCTCCGTGTGGCATACCTTTCCTACCTCTTGCAACCTCGCGTCACTCGAAAGAGGCATGTGGAAACGAAGCCTCCCCTCCACCGTTCGACAACGTCTCACTCCTTTCACGATCTCATGAACGACTTCACCGTGGTGCGGGATTCTAAGAGTACCAGGTTTCCTCATGATTTCATAAAAGAGCTGGAGAAGAGGTTGAAAGGTATTCTGATAGGAACGGAGAGGCGACCAGAATATCACGATGCATTGGTCAAGCGAATATTTGCCATATTTCTTAACACACTGTCCGATCCTGCCTTCAAGAAGCGCATGGAGGCCGATCGAAGAGCCGAGGATTTGGTGCTGATATTCTTCTCGAATGCCACCAAAGAGCTGCAAAAGGGGAAACCGCCCGGAGACGATGGAGTCAAGCGCATGGTGGATCGTCATGTCGCTCTGTTCGTTCGTCTCCTGACTCTCATTCTGAAAGATCGAGACTGGGCCAGAGACAAGCCCGAACTGGCAAGCCGTTTGAATGCTCTGGAGTCGAAGCTGCTGAAGGGAGATGACAACCTCGCCACTTCGCAAACCAACGGACAAATGACTATCGTGGAGGAAGTTGTTCCTTTAAGCTACGACGTCAAGGACATGGCTTTGGTTCAGGTGGTGGGTCAGATCTTTGGCTTGACCAACACCATGATGCAGTCCGACATCGCCAAAAATAAACCTTTCTGGACAGAGAAAGCAGCTCTCCAGGATTTGAAAACATACCAGCAGCACCTCAACCTGGGCACAAATTTGACACTCAATGCAAATGATTTCGATACTCAGGAGGCCTACGAGGCATGGAAGAAAAGTGAAGGACCAGAACTCTCGCAACTCATGCTGGCTATCATGCAAGCCAATCCGGAATTGGCCAAGAGCACTCCTGGTGGCAATCTCCCCCAATTCAACCCTCAGGCCGTAGCTACTAGTCCTACAGACTCTCGTTACGCCGAGTTCTCTAGGGTTCTCTCGCAACCTGGGGACCCTTCTTCCTACGTCCTGGATCTACCGGCAGATCTAGGCTCCCTCGACTTGAATGCGTCCGAACCATCACAGCGCCCCCAAGACGCATCGCAAGTTTATACCTTTATTCCCTCTGACCCTCGAGCTATGTTTCGCTTCATACTGCGCCAAGCTCTTTCTCATGACCTCAATGATAAGACGAATGATGGAGGCCAGCCGTTTTCCAAGAAGACCACGGAACTGCTGAGTGAGATTGCACTGCGATGGCGTTTACCCAAGTTTACTCGAATCGTTCTATTCCTGGATGTCGTTCGTGAAAAGGTTGTCGAGCAGGCCATTGGTTTGGAGACGGTGGATGCCGCCTTCAGCTACGTCAAGGATCCTCCGCAGGAGGATTCGAAGAACAAGAGAAGCTCCTTTATCGTGAGTTCGGCTCTTTACGACAGATACAACTGGACTATCGCCGACTTTGCCTTGATGGGAAAGATACTCCACGCGCTGCATGAGGCGCTACTCCGGGATCTGTACGAAGTAATCATGACTGCTTACGCCGATAAGGCGGAGCTGCAAAGAGTGGGAGCCATCATGGCCATCGTAGATGACCATATTCAGAATGACCCCAACTTTACGCAAAACCGTGAGGATTTGCAGAACTTCAAAAATGCAGTCATTGATGGATTGGCAAATGAAGCTCGAAAGGTGTACGACAGCTTGCTGGATCGTCAACTGCCCCAGCAGAATGAGAAGTGGGAATTCTACCACATTCAAGAACTGGCCAAAGCTGTGCTAAAGCTTGCAGAGAGAGTGCAGAAGAGATTCCGAAAGAATCCGGAGATCCTGGGCATCAACCCGTTGATGATTCTGCTGAACTGTACTCTACCAGCATTTGCTGAAGATTCAAAGGCAATGGTGGAACAGATTCTGAATGTTGCGCAGAGAGAGGGCTTCGAGGTAGCCATCCAGGACGGATTCGACCTGTATAAGGAACTGAGCGAATTTAGGCGAGTCCACACCGAAGCCTTGCCTCACGTGCCGTTTCCGTACAAGATTGAAGATTTACTGGCGGATTTCGTCTGGCGATGGATCAAAATCACCGAAGAACAAGTTATTGGGTGGGTCGAGAATGCTGTCAAGCAGGACCGATTTGTTGTTAGAACCCAACATCCAGGTCAAGTCCCGACTGAAGACGAACGTCACTCGACCTCTGTCATCGACGTCTACAGCTCCTTTGGCCAAGTTATAGACCAAGTCAGTCAGCTGAACTGGGATGATGATCTCAGCTATGCGAAATTCATGACAGCCCTTTCTAAAGCCCTGGGACTCGGCATTGCAAGATATTGCGAGTTGCTGGATCAGATGTTCGGCAAAGAAATGGACAGGCTGACTCCGGAACAAGAGGCAGCGGCTACAATGACCAGGCAGGAGAAATGGGTCCAACTGGCCAAAGATACTTGGAACAACAAGGAGCGTGTCGAGCCGTTCCAATTCTATCCGGAGTCATTTGTGAAACTCAACAACATCTCCTTTGCCATCCACCAGTGGGACAAGCTCGAGTCAGATGTAAATGTTGACGCTTGTGCTGAAGTGATCAAGAAACATACTCCACCGGTGGCTCACCGGCCACGAAAGACGTCGAATTATGTGTTCACGATCAAGATTGTCGAGGCGGAAGACCTGAAAGCGTGTGATGTGAACGGGTTTAGCGATCCATATGTGGTCTTGACCGACGAGTACCAGAAGCGCTTATTCAAGAGCAGGATAGTGTACCGAAATCTCAATCCGCGTTGGGACGAATCCGTGGATATCACAACGCAAGGACCTCTCAATCTCATTGCCACCGTTTGGGATTGGGATGCGGTTGGCGATCATGACTATGTCGGACGAACCTCGCTCAAACTGGACCCATCCCATTTCAGTGATTTCTTACCGCGTGAATACTGGCTCGACTTGGATACACAAGGGCGAGTGATGGTTCGAGTCAGCATGGAAGGTGAGCGGGACGATATTCAGTTCTATTTTGGAAAAGCCTTCAGAAATCTGCAGCGTACCCAACGAGACATGACTAGAAAGATCACCGACAAACTGTCCGCCTACATCAGCCATTGCCTTTCACGACGAGCGTTGCGGTCTTTGCTCAATCGCGGAATATCCATCTCCAGTGTGTCGTCTTACTTTGCTCGGAACCGAGCATCGGTAGTACCAACCACGGCTATGCCGACAGACGCGGAAATAGTCAATGCACTAAAGCCCTTGTTTGACTACTTCGACGATAATTTTGCTATCATGCAACAGACGCTGACTTCGGATGCAATGAAAGCCGTCATGACACGGATCTGGAAAGAAGTCCTCGCAACTATCGAGGGTCTTCTGGTCCCTCCTTTATCCGACAAGCCATCTCAACAGAAACCTTTGAACCAGCAAGAATTAGACGTTGTCTTCAAATGGCTACAGAGTTTGTTGGAATTCTTCAACGCGGTAGACGAAGATACCGGTGAAGCCAACGGCGTCCCCCTGCCGGTATTGAAGAATCCAAAATATCACGAACTGCAGATGCTCAACTTCTTCTACTTCGAACCCACGGAAAGCCTGATCCGCGAGTCGGAAAGGATGGCCTCTGCAACAGTCGCCAGTCAACAAATGCAGCGCTCTCGCCTTTCAGCCCCAGCCACTCTAGGTACCGTCGGCGGAGGTGGTCTGCTCAACCCTGGAAGTTTGGCAGGTGCCCGACGTGCTAAGAGCATCATGTTGAGCCGGAACCTAGGCACGATGCGAAAAGCGAAAGAGGAGAAGTGGAAAGCCGCCCAAGCCGATCCTAATGATGACATGATCCTGCGCATCTTGAGAATGAGGCCGGAAGCAGCGGGGTACTTGAGGGACCGATCCAGACAGAAAGAACGTCTTGCTGCCGCTGCCGCTGCTGAGATGATTGTCAGACAGAGTCTTCTTGCTGGTGGAGGAAGGATGACTGGACCAAGTGTGATCAGAAGGTAGTGCGCAGTCCTGCATTCGACGTGGGAACTGAGAAAGGACGACTAGGAAGAGAGTTGACACCGTTGAGGTTGTCATAAACTTTTTCTGGGCCGTCGTATGGGAATGGAAAGGGAGACGCGGGAACGGTTAAACGGACACGATCGAATAATGATGACTATGAATATGCATGAATATGGATACGGATATGGACTATGGTCTAAGGCGTCGAAGGAGCAGAAGTCATGTCATGTTCATTGTTGCAAGCGGGACCAGGAAGGATGATTTGGCCTTTTCCCTTGTTTCTTTTCTAGGGTGCAATACAACGTACTAGGTATCCAGGTATCTGGAAATTGATACCTTAGCAATGATGGTTTACGAGGTCGTAATGGAGCTTCAGCAAGAAGTGGCCCTGTCGCAAAAGCGGCAGACATATAGACGGTCATACATGTATTAGCACTAATAATTAGTAGCGGCTGGAGTCGACATCGATTGACGGACTTCCAGTTTTGCCAAGATTTCGCCGCCAAGACTCGGGCGGCTGCGTTTTGCACCGCCGACCGCGCACATTCCCAAGGCGAGCATTTGAGCTGCGGCCCAGTCGACGACATTCATTTTTCGACGACACCAAATCTTACGACAACTCAACCCGTGAGACGACCAGGACCGACTCCTCCAACCCAAGTCCAACTTTCATCTTTCACACTCAGCCAAAATGGAGAACGAGAAGGGCGAAATCGTCGATCTGTAAGGACCTTTCCTTTCCCTCCTCCCTCAACCCCCCCCATGTCCAACACAGTCCCCAATGGCATGGTGGAAACATCACACCAGGCTCTTTTCTCTGGGGGGGAGCGGTGAAAAAGCTAGACAGGCTACGCTACTTGCGCGAGAGATCCGAAACGAAATGCTGACTGATTTTGTGCCTTCTGTCCAGCTACGTCCCCCGCAAATGCAGCGCGACCAACCGCATCATCCGGGCCAAGGACCACGCCTCCGTCCAGATCAGCGTCGGCAAGGTCGACGAGAACGGCCGGTACACGGGCGAGAACCATGTGTATGCGTTCAGCGGGTTCGTGCGCTCGCGCGCCGAGAGCGACGACTCCCTCAACCGACTGGCCCAGAAGGATGGCTTCCTCAAGAACGTCTGGAGCGCCCAGGCCACGAGATAAATCCGCCCAACGTCAGTGCTAGGAGCTTGGGGTGAGACGCGGAGAAGATGCAAGGCCGCGAGAAGGGAGAAGTGGCAAAGGAGAAAAGACTGTTTGTTCAGCGACTTGGGAGAGTGGGCAGAGTAGGGGCGCGAGGGAAGGCAGACAGACGTCTACCTCTGCAGGCATACTGACCGTCACCGTCACGGCCTAATGCGGGCTTGAGAAGCTGGCGTGCATGCAAAAGGGTCCCACTCGACGTGGTCTTGTGGTCTTGTGCTTCGACGTGGACTCGAAAATCGGAAAGTCTGGATGGGATCTTCTTCGCTAGAAATGGACCGTCTGGTGTTCAATGGCTGGAAGGTCTGAAATCAGTTCAGAGACAAATGACAGAATCAAGAATGAATTAAAAAAAAAATTACTTCCCCAAGAAGAGAAATCCAAGATCAGATCGGATTGAATTCCAACCACTTCAACACATCTATATTTTATACACGTGCGTCTTTTGTTTTTATACTATACACAGTGCGTCGTTTGTTTTCGGGAACCACACCGTCCATGCCGACCGCTTCGAACATGGTATGGTCCCTGTTCAGTGTTCACGCTTTTTTGCGAACTGTAGCGGAGAAGTGTAAGTGTGCCACCCGTATCTGTGCTCTGATTCTTGATCTCGGATAATCACAGCTCTTCAGAAGGTGGCTAGTGTACAATCTTCGGCGTTGGATGTACGATGTGTGTTTTCCTCTCTACTTCCTCAGTCATGGAGCGCTGGTCTGAGGAAGCCTTGATATGCCGGTGCCAAAAAATAGATATGCTACAGCAGACAATGCAAGCGAGCGCGAGAAACAATGGGCTGGCCCCCTGTACAGAAGCAAAAAAGGGTATCATTTCTAGCTTCGCGTGGTCTAGAACTTTTGGCCCGCTCCTTCTACACCGTGGCTGTCGTATTTGACTCGGAGCCTCGTTGTCTTCGCTTCGATAGGCTTTAATCTTTGTGCAGTCTGACCGCGGGATTCTGTTCGATGAAGTTGAGGTCCACCTTGTGGCCCAGCAGTTCACGGATGTTGTTCACACCATATCTGATCCGGATTAGCAGGCTGATGGGTTGAATTGGAAAATGATAACTCACTTGATCATCGTTGGTCTCTCCAAGCTCAACCCCCAACCGTATATCCTCATATCCTTGGGCAGGCCCATGGGCTCCAGCATCTCCGGTCGGAACATTCCGCTATTCCCGATTTCAACCCACTTTTTCAATCCCTCATGATAACTGAATATCTCCATACTGGGTTCCGTATAGGGATTGTAGGCGGGCTTGAATCTCAGATTCTTGATCCCCATCTTGTTGAAGAATACCTCCATGAATCCAATCAATCCACCCAGCGTAAGGCCCCAGTCGGCGATGACACCTTCTACCTGGTGGAACTCGGCAAGATGGGTCTGGTCGACGGTTTCGTTGCGGAAGACGCGATCGATCGAGAAGTATCGGGCGGGTCGAGGATCCAGTGCGAGCTTGTGCAGCATGTAGGTCGAGATTGCAGTTGTGTGCGTTCGGAGGACTAGGCGGAGAGACTCGTCCGCGGACCACGGATACCTGTAGCCTATCGACCCAAACTTGCCACTTTCGTGGACAGCACGCACATCCTCCCAGTACTGCTTGAAGTCCAGTTTCTTCGCTGCGAGCTTGTTATCCTTGTCTGTTGGAGGAGGCGTTGATTTGGCCCCAGGAGGCGTGGGCTCAGGATCTTCGCGCGGAGGATCGGCCTTTACAGGGTCTGAGATATAAAAGGTATCTTGAAGGTCACGAGCAGGGTGCTGTTGAGGAACGAAGAGAGCATCGAAATTCCAAAACCCAGTCTCCACGTAGCGGTTGGTGGGCATCTCTTCGAAACCCATCTCGAAAAAGATCTCTCGGAACTCTTGCCGGACCTTGTTGAGCGGGTGAAGAGCGCCGGCCACCGTGGGTGTACCTTTGGCCTTGAAGTTGTACGGTTTCAGCTGCACAGTTTTCCAGGCACCCGATGCTAACATTTCCGACGTAAGATCTGTCTCTTCCTTCACAAATTCCGTCGAAAACTTGGGTCCCTTGGCGAGCTTGAAGTCAATGATTTTCTCCTCGACCACGTATTTCCTCTTCTTGAAATCTGCCACAACCTTTGGGTTTTCCAGCTTGTGGGTGGCTTGAATCTCTCGTAATTGTTGCCGGACTTCGTCTTGAATTTGATTGACGGTGGCTTTGAGGATGTCCCCGTCTTTTCTAACCCATTTCTGCTTAAAGGCGTCTCCTGACCCAAATTTGGCAACATTGGGATCGCCCACGGCGGCAGGCAGGTCTCTGATTTTCAATCCCTCTAGAGATGCCCTCACTGCCTCGAAGACCCTTGCGCCATTGCTGCCGTGATCCGCTATTTCCTGGCCTTCTTTGGTAAGAACAAGTTCCACCCGGCCGATTTGCTCGGCTTGAATGAAGTCTCGTGATCTGAGCTTGTCAACAACCGACTTGAGAGAGGCAAAAGAAGCCGTAGGAAATGCTTCGGAGGTGGTGATAGGATCGTCGCTGGATGCTAAAACGCTGAGGACCTGAGGAGTCAAGTCCTCGGCCATGGTTGCGTCTATTGACGACCGCAGAGCCAAAGGTAGGAGAGTAGGGCGAGCAATGGCAAGGGAGTAGAGGGAGCTCCTCAATTGTGTTTTCTCAATTCTTTCAGGCAGGTAATAATCTCAAATGTACCGAAATAATGACTCCCACCGCAGACCAAGGATGCTCCACTGGTACGGAGTTATCTGCGCCAGGGTTGGAACATGTTAAGGCGGCAAGATATTTATGCTTGGTGTGAGAGAGTAAATGATGCCGCTTTAATTGGTCATCCTGTCCATGTACGGAGTAGAGGTACCCATGAACACTGGTACAGTGACCGATACGAGTGATGGGCCAGAACAGGGCCTAGAAGGAAGATCTACCTGCCGGAACAACATCTTTGCCCTTGAAGTATCTCATTGAGGTCTACCGTGTTACGCCCAAATATAATATCAAGTTCTCCGGTTCAATATCGACATAGTCTGATCAGAGATCTGGATGGGGAAAGCATGCCCGCCACAGGTACAAAACATTTCCTAGCTCAGTGGGTAGTTCAAACAGCTTCAGGAGTCTCCTGGCCATTTTTCTCTCCATCTGAAACCGGCTTGGGGACTTGTGTCAGTGGCTCGGCATCTTGCTTTCCAGTGTCATCGTGTTTCGTTGCAGTCCTTTTCTCGACAAGGCCCAATTTTTCCATCCGAAGTTCCATAGCTCTTCTATGTGCATCAAGACCCTCACATCTTGCAAGCTCCATGACAGCATATCCGACCTGGCCTACGCCCTGCTCGGTAACCTCGCTGCTTGTGATGTTCTTCATGAAGCTGCCTAGATTGACTCCGCTGTACTGCCGCGCGTATCCGTACGTGGGCAAACTATGGTTCACACCAGCTGAATAGTCGCCTACAGACTCCGGCGTCCAGCCACCTATGAACACCGAGCCCGCGTTCTGAACGTCAGGTAGCGCAGATCGCGGGTCGGCAATCTGCAAGATGAGATGCTCAGGTGCATAGTAATTGGACCATTTCATGGCTTCCTTCAAGCTGTTGACAGAGATCGTGACACTGTGTTCGATCGCGCCTCTCACAATGTCCACCCGCGGCAGTTCATGCGCTTGCTTATGCACCTCGTCTTCAATGGCTTGGAGCTGTTTCTCGTCCAAGTCGATTGCAATCAAGACGACCTGGCTATCTGTGCCATGCTCAGCCTGACTGAGAAGATCACTGGCCACAAATGCAGGGTCGGCGGTCTTGTCGGCGATTACAAGCACTTCGGACGGCCCGGCGGGCATGTCGATGGAGACTGCAGCGGAAGTATCGTTGCTTACAATCATCTTTGCAGCGGTCACGAATTGATTTCCAGGACCGAGGATCTTGTCGACTTTCGTGATCGACTCGGTGCCATAAGCCATGGCTGCAATGGCTTGCGCGCCACCAGCTAGCACAATCGCTTCAGCCCCTACCTTGTGTGCGATGTATACGATTTCCGGGGTGATGGTGCCATCAGATCGCGGGGGTGAAGCGAGCACAATGTTCTTGCAGCCTGCAGCCATGGCGGGCACACCCAACATCAGCGCGGTAGAGGGTAACACCGCGGTTCCTCCGGGAATGTAAAGTCCGACTTTCTCAATCGGGCGGGAGAAGCGGGAACATGTAACACCGGGCATGGTCTCAACCACCAAAGGAGCTGAAGATTTTTGAGCGGAGTGAAATTGGAGAATGTTGTTGTAGGAAATGTTAATGGCTTTGATGGTCTCTTCTGGAAGTTGCATGAGAGATTGCGGAAAAGGTGCTTTTAGCACTGGGGAGCTGAGGCTGGTGGCATTTTCGAATTTGTGAGTATACTTCAAGACAGCAGAGTCGCCGTTGGCTCGAACATCAGCAATTATGGGGTGGACGAGGGACATGATCTTCTCGTTGGACTTTTGTGAGGGTCGCTGGAGGGCAGCCTTAAGGACGTCGTCAGAGAAAGCTTGCGTGGTCGAGTATCGCTTCAGCTCTATCCGGCCAGATGGTACTTTGCTGGCGAGGTCCGCGGGTGATTTAGGTATCGAAGCGGCTTCTTCTTGATGGCCATTGACACCGTTGATCTCAGCCTGACTGCGTTCCTTAAGTGGTTTGTCTTCCACATATTGAGGTTTGGCGTCACCCTTTCGTCTCTTAACCTTTAGACTTTTCAGATCAAGGTTCTTCTCAATATCCTCCAGAGTGACGTCTGCCGCAATGCATCGTGCAAGTGCAAAATAAAGGAGATCCGCGGCCTCTGATGCAATGTCTTCCTTTGTAGTTGCTTCACAAAGCTCATCTGCTTCCTCTTTGATCTTCGCGTTGAGAAGTTTAGGATCGTTGAATAGTCGAGCGGTATAGGAGCCCACCGGCGCGTCCACCTTGCGTTTTTGGAGGGTGCCTTGCAGTCTAGAGAGCCCGGAGGCCTTCCCCCAACACGACATGGTGCCCAAGTGACAGAATCCTCGGCCTTGCTGGTACACCCTGAATAACAGGCAATCTTTGTCGCAGTCAAACGCAATGTTAATGAGTTTCTGCGTATCCCCGCTTGACGCTCCTTTATGCCAAAGGCCTCTCTTCCGACTCTGATAGACGCCCGTACCGGACTTTAGAGCCTCTGCAATACTCTCCTTGCTGCTCCAAACCAGACCCAGGGCGACATCACGCTCATCCACCACCGTGGTGGCATAGAGACCGGTTTTCCTGTCAGGGATGGCGCCCGCAAGGACCAAATCCGCTGCGGGTATCAGCTTTTCGTGCCCCTCTCTGGACTGGTCAAATGTCAAGAGTTTGGAAGACACAATGAGCGCATTTCCAGGATACTCGTGAAGGAGATTTCTGCCTTCAACCTCGCTTGTGATTCTGACAAAGATGGTTTGATCATGGCTGGGAGGATAGTTTCCCAACTCTTTCAGAACCTCATCTACCTGCTCGTTTCCTTTGTCTCCATCGAATGCCCATGCCCTAGTCATCCATTCGGGGTAGGTCTCAAGGAACGATTTGAGCTTGGTAATGTCGGTCTTTGGGTTGACAAGAGAAATCGTGAGGACCAGGCGGTCTGGAGATATGGTGGGCTCCTGCGACAGGGCTTTCAGCTGTTCGGAGGTGACAAAGAGCTTAGAAGCGCCATTGTTGAGCAAGTCAATCACATTATCCCAGCTCCGCAGTTTTCGAACGTCGAAGTCGATGGCGAGTTTGGAGAAATTCTGGCGCAGAAAGGCGAGGTTTGACTCGAAGGTGTCGGGAGTGGCTTCGACCAGGCACTGACCCAGGTAAGCTACCTGTGGAAGCGCGAGACCTGTTGGCTCCGACCCCAGGATCTCCGCTGGATCGACAGATACAAGGAGTCCTGCACCCATTTCCAGATGTGTAGAAGGAAGCCTGTGCAAGAGAGGTGGAAAGGATGGGGGGTCTCGCCTCAAACTAAAATTGACTCAATGACTGCGACTGCGGGAAAAAGTTGGGATCGCTCGGACGATAAGGATAAGAGCGGCAGGGCAACTTAGCCGAGACGGGACACCATGCCGCCGTCGCCTGATATGGATCTGCGAGATGTTCATATTATCCAGTGATGATACTTCTACATATCTCTCTAGCTGCAACTCGCCCTCAAGTTTCACATGTCAGGGAGTCAGATGGAGTGGCATGAACTACGGACACCTAGCAGACATTTGAAAGGCCGGATGTGGACGGATCAATGATGGCTTGCGCCCCTCAACATCGATTGCTGTTGCTCCATCATGTCTGCTCGTTGAGGGCCTCTTTTCCCTCCACATGCCACTGTCCGACGGTCTCACTTGTCATGGCGACAGATTCATACACGCCGTAAGGGGCCAATCCCACCCCGAGTCTGGAAATCGTCCGATCATAGTTACATCCCTTTCATCCAACCCAGCGTCCCGCGTGCTGTCCGCTGATAGCCTGGATAAACGACAACGCGCCTTCAGGCTTTGGAACGATGCCCGAGGCCAAGACGTTTCGTTGGTACAGTTTCGTTATAGTGCCGGAAGGGACGCCGAACGAGCCATCAAGATTGGCCGCCATACGTATAAGATGTTGTACAATATATCCCGTCCGGATTTTTTCTGCGGCGGCAACCAGCGATCAATTTTCTTCTGTCGTAATGGTGATTCAGCCTCCAACTGCGGCCAGGGCGGGCCGATTAGCAGAAGCCACTGTCGATGACTCCCAGTCAGGACGAGCGTCTTGTGTCTCGGCGTATCAAATGGCCCCTTTGCCAGCAACGCCCCCTGCGTGATCCTCGAGTTTGACCATGATGTCTTCCTGCCTCGAACTCATACTGCTGTGTTTGTGGATGAAAACATGAACGCATACAACAGGCACGCCTGCAAGCTAGGGACTGGAAGTGGTCACGGACAACGTGCTGTTCTCGTGAGTCAGGCTGCGGTGAAATGTTGAAAAGATTGCACTTGCCCGTTGCAGTAGTCTTGTCAGTTCCTGCTCGATGATTTCGCGGACCGGTCCTTCGCTTCCGGCATACAATCGGCCAAAGGCTCACAAATGGCCCTGCCACATGCCGACTAGAAGATGAAAGATGGCCTCCGGTTCAACAAGGAACATGCTAACTGGGCCACAGCTTGGAAATACGAGCCACAAATGTCATCGTCGAAGATGTGAACAACCAGAACGAAGCCGGTGTGCATCCACCGAGCATATCAAGTTGAAGTACTCGAAATCTAATGTCTTCGGGGCCAACGCCCGCACATGATTGACCGTCGACGTGACTGCAATGTTAGACGCAGCTTCAACAGCGCCCGAGGGTGGGCCGTCGTCGTCGTCAGAAGGCTTTGCTTTGACAGAGATACAGGACATGTTTCGATGTCTACATCTCGAGCAGATTGGTCTTCCGGAGTCACACCGCTCCTTTGATACCGAACGGTTGTGCATGTCCGGATACTTGCAGACATCCGGCTTCTGACTCGCCCGGCCTAGGCCCCACACTCTCCCACACTCTCAGAAGACGGCACTCCGCACCTTCAACCCCACAACCTTGGGAGCCTCAAGCCGGTAATGCGTTTAGGGATTTACCACAAACAGCCCTAAAGCCGAAAGCCCTAAAGCCCCAAGGGCCAAGTCGCTGGGCTTCAGCCTCTGCCGGAATTAGCGGAATACCATGGAATTAAAACGACGTTGGTGGTGCTCGAGGTGGACGTGGACGGAGATGGAGATGAAAGCAGTGAATGCTGTTCTATCAAACTACCCGCGTAGAGCTGGTGAATAAGCAAAAGAAAGACATTGGTGATATGGCCACAGCACTGGCAGGCCTCTTCTCCCTCCGCTGGACCAACCCTCCCACGCTCCACCCGCTGCCTGACCACATCTCGCGCTCTTACGTCTCGACGCCCGGCGGACCACTTGAACTGCTCTACGCCTCACCGTCTCAGAAAAGTAATGCTGAGAATAAGAAGTACCCCGTCCTCTTCGTCCATGGGGGCTATGGACGAGCAACGGTTTGGCTGGAGTGGATGACGGTGCTCTCCCAGAAACACAACTTTCCCTGCTACGCCATCTCTCTACGTGGTCATGGCGCCAGCTACGACCCAGGCTACTTCTCCACGCTCTTCTCCACGACAACAGCTGCTATGATGGACGACCTTGTCGCCGCCATCCACGAGGTAGAGATTCGGGAGGGTCAGAAGTGTATCCTCGCTGGCCATAGCGCTGGAGGTGGTATGGTGCAAGGTGTGCTGGACCAAAACCTCGCCGTTGCCCGCGCTCTGGTGCTGGTCGCGGCGATTCCCAACTTTGGCTCGTACGTTTTCCCTTCTGTATCTCCATCTCTCTCTTCCTCTCTTTCTCTCCCTCTCTTCCTCTCTCCCTAATTCTAATCTCTACTCAATCACCCTTGACCTGTAGGGAAAGACTGACCTAATCCCAATAAACTCCAGGATGGGCATCTACTCGAACTGGTTCAGATTAGACCCGTGGTTCCTCGTGCGTTCTTGCTTCCACCTACAGCATCCACGCTCGCCACTCTCCCACCCGTCTCTCGTCCACCGCGCATTCTTCTCTGCCGAATGCCCTATGTCTGTGGCCGAGGATTTTTCCCACTGGATGCCCAAGTACGAGTCCGTGCGCTGGCCAGGCGGTATGGCGAGCCGCTTCGTAGACGTTCACCGCGTCCTCGCCAACATCCTTGGGGGTGGCGACGGAGGTAGGATCAAGGTCTTGATCATGGCAGGCGAGAAGGACAAGATGGTCTCGCTCGATCTCGTCACGCAGACGGCTGCTGAGTACCGGCAGGGCGTGAGCGAGTCAAAGGGGAGCGAAGATCGTGGCATCGAGATGACGATCACGCCTGGGGCGGGGCACCATCTACAGAACGACGTACAGCGCGACGAGGGCGCGGAGCAGTTGGCGGCGTTTTTAGAAAGGCTGTGAAAGGTCCTTCTTGACAAGATCTGTAGCTATGTTGGTAGGTATTGGTAGTAGGTGTAGGTAGTAGGTAGAGTTAGTAGTAGTTAGGTACCTACCTAGTTACAGTTGCGTGTCGGAGTGCGGAGAAACTAATTCGCCGAAGGCATCCGTCGACGTTTTCGTATTTCAAAACCTCCCTCCTGTTTACTTATACTACGATACACCTCAAGCGTTCCTCTGACAACATAATGAAACCCTGCTGGAAGAGATAGAGTAGGCATCAGGCATTTCCAACCAGTACCGACTACTCTTCATTGCATCAGACAACCACCTTACGACTGCCGCAAGCCACAGTATGGGCCCGGCGGAGGACCCGACCGTGCACAGCGATGCAAGCGAAGACAGCGACGAGGACACAACGCCATCAAGTGCCAAGAGAGCCAGATCGAGCCGAGCATGTGTAGCCTGCCGGCGAATGAAAACCCGGTGCGAGTTCGACGAGGCTCTAGGCAATGCGTGCAAGCTATGCATCAGGGCCCGACGGCAATGCGTCATGCAGTCTCTCCCTCGTCGAAGGAGGCCGAAAACCACTGACAGGGTGGCCGATCTCGAACGAAAGATTGACGCCCTTACTGCACTGTTGTCTAACAAGGAGTCAACAAAATCTACAGAAGCATCTCCCACGGCGGCAGACACCAGGAATGCTTCTCAGCACCAACTCTCTCCTTCGACTCAGGCACCCAGCGCGTTGGATACGCTCATCGCAGACGTCCTCAACCGCGGCATTCTCGATTGGAGCACCGCCTGCCTAGCCTTCGATCAATACAACCAGAAAATGTGTCATTTCTTCCCATTTATCGTGTTTCCGGCCACATCTACTGCAGACATAGTCAAACAACAGCAGCCACTCTTGTTCTTCGCCATTGTTACTGTGGCATTGCGGTTGACCCAGTCCAACATGGCCACCGAACTTATCGACATGCTCGCCAAAGATCTGTCCTTGCGTATCATGTATAATGGGGAAAGATCTCTTGAGCTGGTTCAGACCCTCCTCATGTACACTTTATACTACTCTAAGCCAAAATATGCTCGAGAGCTGAACTTCAATCAAATTGTGCACATCGCCAGCACGATGTCGCTCGATCTTGGTCTGGGGAGGCGATCTCACAAAGACTCTTCAGCGCAGACCCAGGACCTCAATCAGCTTGAGTCACTTGCGGGCAGAAGAGCTTGGTTGGGATGTTACTATCTGGCAACGAGGTATGCAACTTGCAATGCTTTCTTGAAAGACTAGGACTGATCCTTTGATCTTATGTGCAGTGCATCCATATCCCTTCGCCACCCGGCCTTCGTCCGCTGGTCTGTTTACATCGAGGAATGTTTGAATGTTCTTTCATCGGAGCCGCAGGCTCTGCCCAGCGATGCCTGGCTGTGCGACCTGATTCGTCTCCAACATATTGCTGAAGATGCATCTGTCGTGTTCGCTATGGATGATCCGGGCTCATTTGTCACACTCAACGATCCCCAAACCCGATACCAAGTTGGGAGTTTTCGCCAGCGGCTAGAACATTGGCATCGATACTGCGAAACAAGTCTACAACGTAAGATACTCTGTCCCGGTATTTACCGGTCGACTTCTCAGCTTGAGCTCACATCTGAACAGCGTACGTACGCCATACAGAAGCCATTGTAAGCCTCTACATCCACGAGTCAGCGCTCCATTCGGAGCATCATAATATAGATGACTTCCGCCTGCCCTTGACTGGAGCTGGAAGTGAAGCGGCGGTACAGGATATGACTTCCTCATGGGAGAATCTGCAGTTCCCAGCGGCAAGAATCGAATCACTCTTTGCCTGCCTCGCTGCTATCCATGCATGCTTTGACGCCATGCTCTCTATGGATCTTGCAACAGTCTGCGCTCTGCCCAACATGTTCTTCGTCCGCACAGGGTACGCAGCATGGGCGCTTCGAAAACTCTCCACCATATGTGAGAGCCAGGCACAAGCAAATGGGCAATTTAGCCTCGACACTAAGGACTTGAAATTTGAAGAGTACCTGAGCTCGTTTATTGAGTTGCTGGCCAAGGTACACGCAGAAACCGGCTCGCAAGTGGTACGGGCCTTTTATATTGTGATGACACAGATCAAAGCACACGCCGCTGCTGGTAAAGCGGGAGTGAACGAATTCCCTCCGAGATGCCCAGAGCGACCAGCTTCCTCCCATCTCAAGCCCGTGGACTCGGCAAGCCAGCAGTTAGATCCGACCATACCCGTTGATGCCGAGCCCGTCATCCTTCCCCCGCAGTCGCAGCTGGATGGTCGCACGCCCTATTTCCTCCAACAAGGTATGCCTTCTTGGGCACAAGGCGGTTTTGATGATTCAGTGATGTCGAGCCTTGAGGCTTTGCAGTGGCTTGACCAGGATTTCGTATTTGAAGACAACCCGATGTACGGACCCGGTGGTATTAATTAAGTGCATGAAGGCAGGGATTGTGATGGCAGATGAAAATCTACTGAGAACTCTTCGTTCACGCTGGCATACTCAACTCAATCATATACTGCTCTAACGAGACCAAGTCCGTTGTTTGCTTTACATATAACCTGCTCTGACACAGAAGCGCGGCCAAAGGTACGACATAGTGGGAAGGGTGCTGTCCCCTCCGACCCCTGGTTCAGAGAAGACGATCCAGGTGGTGCGTTGTGAACCGAACTGATCTGCTGTCCGCAGCAACTAGGCACCGGCTTTGTCACCGCATCCCAGCCACAGCAACGAGTCAGTGCTTCTGCGGCATGCTTAAACGAGACACTGACACCAACGATTTCCGGCAATGCGTCTTTGGACTGCTCTTGCTCTCTCGTTCCTTTTCCTGCTCGAATGGATCATCATCCCGGCACGTTACCAACCTTCCGACGACTCAATTGGACTATGAGTCGGGAGGCAGCATTCCGCGACTTAGCGTTGGGTTCTGTTGTTGCACAGGATTATCAGCCTCGGGATGCCCCAGAATCCCTCTTCGCTGTACAACACAGCTGGCTCCCCTTGCTCATGCTTAGGACCTTGCATTGGTCTATGCAGCCATGTCTCGAGCCTGCTAGTCTCAATGCAGGATCGGCTCGTCACTGCCTGGACTGAGATTGCAGCCCCTCTCGCTGCTTGTTCAACATGGTATAAACCGGGCGTCTTCCCGACGGACCCATGGCTTCGCAACCAGAAGTCAAACTGTCCAAACCCAGAAATCAGGAACAACTATCACCACCAGCTGTGAAGCTGCACGCCCTGTGAGAGCCCAGCTGTCGTCTCAGCTCTGGGCTACTAATATCTGATCAGCAAGGCTTGCACCATCAATATGCCATCCACCGGCCGATTTCATGCCTGGAGCCCACGCAACCCCCGACGTGCAGAGCTGGTCCAAGAAGACGTCTGGGCTGGACACCGAAGCGACATCACCCAGTGGTATTCCGCTGGCCTGACGAAGAAGGAGATTCTAGGGAAGTTATCGAGTGAGAAAAACTTCTACCCGTTGTAAGTAGCTACTCTCGCGGGTTTGCCCATGTTCAGGCCTTGTGTCGAAGTGGCTGACCAAGCATGGACGCCTACCACACAGGATGGGTCAGCTTGTTTCCTGTATGCGCTCCTGGGGCCTTGAGGCCTCTAGAGGACTCGGCCAAACGAGCGAAGGGGACTGGTCTATGGATGACATATTCGAACAAGCTGAGGACTACCCATCGAGTAAACCAACTGGAGGCTCCGTACCACAAACCACGTCGGTCTCTTCAACGCGGCTGCCATACGGCCCTCACAAATCCAAGAGTGCTCCCATCTTGAGCCTGATGAAGGTGGATGCGAACTCGGAAGTACCACGCGTCTTAGACAAGCTTTGCTTGCCGCGGTCACAGAGCACGGCACTGCTTGGGCCAAATACCAAGTCTCCTGCTGCTCTTTACGGGGCCTGGTTTGGTGCGCCATGTCCAATTAGAGCGGTCGACGCCTTCTTTGCATATTGCGGCAGCGCAGACGTATATCGCACACTGCCTCTTGGTCACGGTGACATTGGGGTCGATTACAATCAAGTGTGGAAGCTGTTGTCTTTTAGCGATTGCCTGGTGGCGGCAGGACTGTGTGACGATGCTTTCGACATTTATTATTCTTGCTTTCGAGGTACCATTATGTTCGACCCTGCGAGTGCTGACCAACACCATGTCTCATCGCTGAAACCGGACAGCTCTGCGTGGATCAAACAACGAATTGTGGCCCTCATCAAGCATGACAAAACGCTCCTGACCATTTTGATTTGTCTGGCAGGCTGCATACGAAGCTCCACGACATGTGTGCATGTCACCTGTTCTGGCAGGATACTCGCCGCATTGATCATGGCGTTACGAGAAGAAGGCGGTTGCCATCCCATATTTCTCCAGCTTCTCCTTCATTACCATTCGGAGCTGAAAAGATTTCCCGACGAGGTCGCAGCGTGGTCGCTTGCAAGTGTTGACAGCGCCCCTCCCTGCCCCGCGGCTATGAGCAATGTCTTGACCGAATTCCCGCCTTCAGTCAGGGACCGGGAAGCTTTGTTCTTCCTTGCCAAAGAGCAGCCCGATCTCGATTTTCCTGCCGACAACCTCCTGATCGGGATAGGCTGCGTGGACATCGAACCCTGCAAAGTCGCCAGGCAATTCGTGGCAAGTGCGTTTATCAGAAACAGGACGGCGGAGATGATTGAGTGGTGTGCTGGTGTCCTCTTGAAGCGCCAGCGGTGGGTTGACAGGGAGATTTTGCATTTTCGGCGAGGACTGTGGATCGACAACAGTCCTGTACGTGTAGTGGAACAAGTCATCTTCTGGTGCCTGATGGCCGAGAGAATGTCAGCAACCGGAGACCAAGCAATGACCGATGCGCGCTTCGCTTCGTCGCAACAATCCGTGTTTGGCCTACATATTCCAGAGGCAATCGATGCTCTCCTCGAGCTGGTTCTGGTGCAAGAAGACGTTGCGGAATGCTTTGACGTCGTGCCCACCTCCGGCCATACAGCGTTCAGTCCGGCTCGATGGACCAACGAACGACTTTTGAAACTGACATGCGCTGATGGCGTCTCCCGGTTCGCCAGGCACTATTACCGACGCATCACTTCCATCTGCAACATGTGGCCATCTGTGGCCGACACGGGTGCGAAGCAACTGGGAATTGAATATGCGCAGACTCTGGTCGGCTCTGGATATTTCACCCAGGAGTCCCCGACTGCGACTGCGAGGAATCCCGATTTTCAAGAAGGAAGCACTTGGTCCTTGGGTGCCGCTCGGTATAGAATGAAGAAGCCGGATCTCTGTCGTCAAGATGGTCCAGACGTGGAGAGATCGTTTATTCTAGACCTCCACACTTCGACTTTTGAATTGCCCGCATGAAGATTAAATCCGACCTTCTCAAAATCTCTCATTGGCCTGAATGGAGTGGCTGATCGAAGGCGGATCAACATGGCCGGAAAAGCACGGATCTGTCGGATCGACCTGGTCAAACCACAACTGCTGTGACTCCACGTTCGCACATGCCTTGCCTCGATATATGAAACCCCGAAGTCTGATTTGCCGAAGCTATCATCACATTGGTCTAAAGCGCAACACTCTATCCGTATATGCGGAGCACAGAGTAATCAAAGGTCGGCACCTACTTAGCGTGTACGAGGCTGTACTGTTGTATCCTGTCTGGCAGATGTCATGGTGTCATTTTGTACAACACTGGGGGCTCAGGCTCCGTACGATTTACGCATGTGTATTTAACTACGGTTCTTAACCTCCCTTCTGACATTGCTCAATTCTGGAAACCGAAACACTACCCCGTACTCAGCCATTCACTCTCAGCGGTCAACCAGCGAGAAAGCAGCATCATGATCCGACTCAGCTCCGACGACAGCGTCCATTTTGAGCTCCTTCGCATCCTGGGCCTCTCCCGATACTTCGGCGCCGATGTAGGCGAAGTCCTCCAAGCGGCGGCCCAGATCCAGGCAGAAGATCTCACAAGCGTCTGCCGCGTATTCCACAAGCTGGCCACTCGAGTCAATGGCCAGGCGGAGCAGATTGACGCCTCCAAGTACCCCGTCTCCGCGCGTGACGCGTATTTCCGAGCCGCGACATACTTTCGCTCGGCCGATATCTATTTGCATACCAGTAACGACGCTTCGGACCCGCTGAGTGATGAACTGTGGGAAAAGCAGCGCCTGGCCTTTGACAAGGCCATCGCCCTCCTTCCAATCCCCGGGGAGAGACTTCTCCTCAAGGCCGACGGCTTCGATGTGGCCGCCATCTATTATCGGTCTACAGTCGGGGATCGCTCGACTCCGAAGCCGGCGCTCATCATAGGGCCTGGGTATGATGGCTCCCACGAAGAGATGCTCCATGCTATTGGTTTCGCGGCGTTGGAGAGGGGATACAACGTCCTCACCTACGAGGGCCCCGGCCAGCCGACAGTCCGACGCGACCAAGGCTTAGGCTTCATCGTCGAGTGGGAACGGGTTGTCACCCCCGTCGTAGACTATCTGTACCGTCAGCCGGATGTGGACAGTTCGCGAATCGGCTTGATCGGCGTCTCAATGGGCGGGTGGCTCGCCGTTCGAGCCGCGGCCTTCGAACACCGCCTCGCGGCTGCCATGGCGATTGACGGCGTGTACGACTTCTATCAAGCCGCCGCCTCGCACTTTCCGCCCCCAGTGCGGGCTCTCCTGGACTCTGGAGATTTTCAAGCACTGGACTCGCACCTGGGAGAGTTCTTGGCCAGTGGGATGGCCCCCACCGCGGTGAGCTGGGGAATTGGTCAGGGTCTATGGAGCTTCAATGTCGCTTCTCCCGGAGAGTTGGTAGCCAAGATGAAGGGCATGACCCTCAAGGGGATCGAAGATAAGGTACAATGTCCCGTCTGGGTCGGCGAGGCCAGCGAAGACCAATTCACAAAGGGCCAGCCGGAACAGGTCAGAGACGCGCTGGGAGACAAGGCGACATATGTCAGGCTGACGGCCGAGGATGCCGCGGGGTACCATTGTCATGAGGGTGCGGCGGTGTTGATGAACCAGCGGGTGTTGGACTGGTTTGGAGACATCATCTCGAAAAGATGAGAGTCTGTGAGGAGTCTGTGAGTCTGGAGCAGAGTGACGGGTTTGGGTTTGGGTCTCAACCCGTCATCACCTGACCTCCGCCTGCGCCTGCGGCTGCCGGTCAGTAAGTAGGTAGTGAGTCGAAAGTGAGGTGAGGCCAAAGATAGCATCCGATGGACACCGCCACCTTTTTGGCTACCACCAGTAGTGAAGACAAGGCGCGTTTCACCAAGCGAACTCCCGCGACGCCTCGTTTCTCCTTCTATCCCGCCCCCGCCTTGGCATGAAGACACACAAAAAGGAAAGGAGAGAATCTTGTCGCTGCCCAACTCGAGAGCACGGGTCACAGAGTGCCGAGGACAAGGAAGATTCAACCATTCCCGCTCCACCTGTTCAGCACCATGTCGTCAGACACAGGTAGCGAGTTGTCGGATGAGGACGGCATGATCGACCAGGATTCCCTTTGGAGAGACGAAAACGAAGACGAACTTGTGAGGAGGCGCACTCAAAATCTAGGCTTGACCAAGAACTACTGTCGCAGTTGGTGTCGTGCTGATGCTTTTCGAGAATTCTACCAGAACTGGTGAGTATTTGGCCACAGCTACATGCCTAACGGGATCCAATAGTGATAGTCCACTGACCGTGCTCAGGCGGGATGCTCTTGTTTCCACCTTCAACCTCGATCCCCGTGCGTTCAAGCCTGTACTGAAAGAGACTCCTGGCCGTATTGCCATCACCGTCCACTCCGACGTCCAGGCGGGAGATAGGATGGCGAGTAACAAGCTTCTGGGCTACATACTGTTCACGAAAAAGACAGGAGTACTGGAGATGACGAACTTCAAGGCTCGGCTGGTTCCGTCAATGCTGAACTTGGGGGGCACTGACAAGGGAGACAACGACAACCTTGCTGGCTGCCATGGCGAGGGCTTCAAGCTTGCAGCTCTTGTCATGTGTCGAAACGGCCATTCTGTCGGATACACCACAAACTCACAGTACTGGAAGTTTCGCTTTCAGGGCACTGGGCCTTCCCCTACTCTCCGCTGTCAGATGTCTCCGGCCAAACCTGAATCGGTGGCGAGGAAGAGAGCCGACTATATGCAGAAAGAACGATCCAGTTCCTTTCGACGGGGCTTCACGTCTAATCTCTGGCAGGACGTTAGGGTAAGAATCGGAACGGCCAAGGGCGAGGAAGGACGGCAGATTTCCCTCCCGGAGTTTCGTGCCTGGCTTGAAGTTGTATTGGAAATAGACAGTCCCAATGCTGCCCAGATTGTCCAGACAGGCCATGGAGATCTCATTGTTGACGAACGGTTCTCAGGCCGCATCTACCTCAAGGGCCTGCGAGTGTCCGGTCACAGTCTCGACGGGCGAAACTACGAATTCGGCTACAACTATATTCGTGGAGAAATTAACCGGGATCGGGATTTACTCACGAGCCGGAATGAAGAGGCGTTGATGCTCGCACGAATTTGGGAGGAAGCGATCGATGAAAAGGGCGACGCCTTCGCTGATCGCTATATCTCGCTGTTCCAGGACAAGGAAAAGGCGCCTGACATCTGCCTCGCCGATGACTTTGCATTTCGGCATACAGTGCGGACCATGTGGGCGCGTCTGAGATCTCTCCACCCAGATACGTTCTTTTATTCCGAGTCGAAGAGTCAGGAATCAAACATGACTACAGATGTGACTCCTCCACTCCCCCCTTTTAGTCACCCCCACTGACGCTGCAGCAGTGTGATATCATCACAAAGGATTTTAAGAAGACACCTATGATGCTCAACAAAGGCTTCTGGAAACTACTCGCGAAGCACGCTCTGGTGCGGTCGCCATATAAAGAACGTGCCCATCGCTTCTCCGCTTCCACACCGATCCCGGTGCCCGGTGATATTTTCGCTGTCAACGTTGCACGGGGGTTGCAGGGGTCATTTCAGCTGAACCCAAAGCTGCAGAACATCCGGATTGAATTCGTCCAGGCCGGAGAAACCGAGATTGACTTGATGTACACCGCCAACGAAAATCGGCTGCGAATTCACGAGAAATGGCTCGATTTCGAGCGCGTACACGCAACCAGCGAATGTGAATACTATCAACTCACACACGATCACTCAGTTGAGCGGCCTGTCTTTATATGTGACCATGTTGTGTTGGACCTGCTCGAGATTGCACTGGAAGAAATCCGCGGGCCCCTGGGAATGAGCCAGGGAGAGTGTGTAGCGCTTCGGAGCAAGGCTGATAAACGGGTTCGACAGATGCCGAGACTAGTGAACATCTCGGCCTCGGACGCAGGAGACGAGCTTTGTGTCTCCTGGGTTGACAGCGAGAACACTGTCCTCTCTGAGATGTTCAATGCAGACATCATGTACCAAGTTGAACTACATAGCATGACAACTTGCTCAGAGAAGTGTCGCGATATTGTGGACCGTCAAGGTAAAGACCCCTTTGATATGCCGATTCAATGTGCTAAGATGACGCTGATGCAGGTGAGGTACCAGATGGCAGCCAAGTCTGTCCCTGTCCGCGCCAGAGAGTGCCCCGGTCAATGTCCAGAGCAAGCTTCGGCAACCTCCTGTGCACGGAGTCTTACTTCCCAATGGTGTCGCGAGTAGGTGCTTGTTCGTTCTTCGGGCACCCGCCTGAACCAGTCTCGCCACTGGATGCTGCTACCAGCGCGCCACCATTGCCTTGTTCCAAAAGCCCTCCAATTATGGTCTCAACGGCAGTGTACAATACGGCCAGCGGATCGGACAGTGACACCCTCATGTGTCAGGGCAGCGACTCTGGCTCAGTCAGCGAGGAACCGGGCGTCTTTTTAGGTGCCGAAGCTGGCACGGCCGCCTTTCCCAGCCCACGAACCAGCAGCACGACGCACAGAAGTGGGCAAATGTATCGCCGACAAGAATCCTCCCCAACCTCCTGTGCAAAGTTCTTGCCCCAAGGGGTGATTGAAGCACGCTCCCGCCAACGGCTCCAGCGGGATGAGGAAAGCTGGCGAAATTGGCATGACGAGAAGCTTCCTCACATCTTTTCGCAACTCATGCCATATCGGCAGGTGACATCGACGGTATGCAGAAAGGAGCCAGCAGTGAGGAACGCATCAACTGACAGACTGCCTTTGACAGGAAATGGAAACCACTCGCTCAAGCTCCGAATGGGAGCCTCTAAACTCAACGTTCGTGGACGAATACGCCCATGTCATCATCAACGACACAGAGAGATCTGAGTACGTTCTTTTCGTGCATGACTTTGGCTTGAACAGTGAAGAATCCGAAGGAGGCAGACGGTACGTACTCGTGACTAAGTATTCGCTCCTCTTCCGAACCTATCCATTTGAGGGTCTCAAGGGTTCAGAGAAAGAATTGGTTCTGCACTTCCGAAGCTTTGAAAACATGGCCAAGCGACAGGATGCCGAGTGGCTGCCGCTGGACGTGATTTTAGCTGCCAGCTGGCTAGAAGTCGACCACGTTGTCGAGGTTCCTGAAGGTGAGAGAATGCCCCTCAGAAATGCCATTCCTCCCCCTCGATACTGAACGTGAACGCGTGGACAAAAGATATCCAAGGACACTTCTGCCGCTTTGCAATTCGCTCTGCCGTCACCGCGACCGAGGACATGGCCTGCATAACGCCTGTGGCATCCCATCTTCTGTCAACCAAGCAGCGGTGGCGCCGGCCCAAGTTCGCCAGCTCATTTAGGCCGCTGGTCCTCGAGCTGAGTCCAGGAGTGCTCGGGCCTTCGGAAGGATTTGCCCAGGCAGGGTTCCCGATCTGCACTGCGCTCGGCTTTGACGAGTCTCGCCATCTGACGTGGAAGGTACGTATATGTAGAAAGCGGTGTGTACAATTGCGGAACGCTGATCGGTCGGGTCGGGTCCAGATGCGCCATCATTCAAGTTTGGTGTACGACGGTTCAACGGCCGAAGTCATGGACGACTTTGACGACATCAATTTCCGACTCCAGCGGCTCCAAATCGCCAGACAGGAGCTGCCACAGGTGGTCCTCTTGGCCAGCGGGAACCGTTGCTTCAGACTGTCGGAGGACAATCAAAAGATGGCATCTCTCGACGAGTTTCTGAAACCCCTACAGGCTCTAAACGAGGCTACTCAGCATCTAGGCGGGGATTTCATCGTGGCCTTGTTAGCCCCGGCTATGCTGCATGTTTCAACTATCGACAGACTATCATCTAGCATCCTCAATCTCCTGGAGAAACGGATGTCGGTCCATGTTCGACTCACCCCGCTCAAGGAGCATGGTCTTCCGCAAGATAGGAAAATCCTGACCATGATAGCATCCCCGTACTGCACCGAGTTGCCTTGGAATGCTGATAATATTGAACTGGCGGCGGGCAATACCAGATCGACCGTGGAGGATGCCATTGGCGACTTGGGCTTCCCAAACCCCCGTGTACCCAGCCACACAAGGAGCGGCTTTGTCTGCAGGAGTCCTAGCCAGATGGGCGACAACCGAGTCTATAATCATTACACAGGCCAAGTATTGGAAGCTGGTCAAGAACCGATCGTGGTGGAGGCAGACACGATACTCGACGGATTCGACGAATGCAAACCATGGATTCACTCTGGTAAGTGCCTGGCCTGACCCCAGTTGTGACGACCCTTTCCTAGGTCTAGGGTCTTGGATCTTGGGTCTTGGAGTTTGGATTTTGGATTTTCCGCTGACCATTGCTGCTTCTTACAAAGTTCGCCGCGATCGTCTTACTGTCCGTGAGCTCGCCCGCATCCAAGGATTTCCCGACAACTTTATCTTCTACGGCTCCATGGCCGATCAGTACGACGATATCTGGCGAGCTGTGCCTCCGACCGTGACCAAGACTGTTGCGCAGCTGGTTTGGCAGCTGATTGAGGGACGGGGGCCAGTTAAGACGGAACGACTGAATCGCCGGTCTCATCCTCGGTCTCATCATTGTCCTCCCTCTTCATCTACGCCCCTGTCTACGTCTGCATCTACATCGACCCGAGGGTACAAGAGACCGAGAGTGGACAGTGCGGACGAAGATTGAGGGAATGTTTGGACTTGCCGGCACCAGGACGAAGAGGACGAAGAGGACGAACATGACGAACAGGACCAACATGAACGAGGACCAACATGAACGAGGACCAACATGAACGAGGACCAACAGATATGAATGATGACTAACAAACACCAACCGAGTGATTGCACGGTAGAGAGTAGAGATCAAAGTTTGACTTGGAATGGGAAATGAGAAATGATGAGAGGAGGCATAGGACCTACCCTACTGTAGGATACTGAGGACATTGCCATGGTCTTGCAAAGCTTGACTTGGAATGGGAAATAAGAAATGATGAGAGGAGGTATAGTACCTGCCCTACTGTAGTATACTGAGGAATTGGCCATGGTCTTGCAGCGAAGTAAGCTTCTGGTAGTGGTGGTGGTAGTGGTGGTGGTAGTGGTGGTGGTAGTGGTGCTGATACTGGTGCTGATACTGGTGCTGGTGCTGGAGAAGCAAGAATAGCTACCTCAGCAGGGAGGACTGTTCAGTACAGTACAGTACATACTGACACTGACACTGCAATGTCTAATATGACTCGCCGGGACAATATTGGTGCTCAACACGCAGACGTAGACGCAGACGAAGACGCAGACCAGGGGATTGGGAAGATAACGTGACATGTCGTGACATAGCCTGGATCTGGATGAATCAAGAAGATATTGATTGCCAAATAGGGATTGAGTGCTAAGGTGTAGAATGAGCAAGTAGATATTGAGTGCTAAGGTGTAGAGTGAGCTGAAGGAGAGATTGGTAATAATAGTGTCTGGTGTCTGGTGTCTAATTTCTGGTGTCTGGTGTCTAATTTCTGGTGTCTGGTGTCTAATGTCTGGTGTGTGGTATTTGAGGAACTAACTACCTTAGGTACCTAAGACTAGGAATTACTACGTAGTAGTGTGTGTAGTGTAGTGTAGTGTAGTGTTGTGAATTGTGGTGGTATGGTACGTACGTAGATAAGCTACCTTCTAAAGGGAATACTGGTAAAGTGTCGTTTGTACCTCTGTACCTCTATACTTCTCTCTACCTCTCTCTGAATCTTAGAGATACTCTCTACGGAGGAGGAGGAGGAGGAGGAGGACAGCAAAGAGCAAATATACCCGTGAACGACCCATTTGTCAACGATGCTCCGATAGACATTTACAGTGTATCCGTATCTACAACCGGAAGCGTGGGCGAAGTCGGGGGCATCGATCTCTTCCGTAAGTGTAGGCGTAGGCGTAGGTGTAGGTGGAATAAGAGCAGGAATAAGAGCAGGAATAAGAGCAGAATAAGAGCAGGAATAAGAGCAGGAATAAGAGCAGGAATAAGAGCAGGAATAAGAGCA